TCCTATCCACCTCACCAGGCCCATCCCTATCTACCGAGTTTGCAATCCTATCCACCTAACTGGGCCTATCCATATCTACCAAGTTCGCAATCCTATACGTCCAACTGGGCCCATCCACATCTACTAAAGTCACAATCCCATCCATCTAACTGGGCCCATCCCTATCTACTGATATCTATATATCACCCTAGGCCCGCCTGCTTCAGTCATCATGCACTTTCCCTTATCTCCAAGAGGTAGCTATCATATACTACACAGCTGGCCCATTTGTCAGTGTCGGGTACCCTGATGCCTATGGGCCCATCGACCCTACCAGGGCACACCTACACCTGGAGCCCATCTCACTTGGCAGAATCTCAACTTCGGGTGTCCATATAATATAGGAAGTATTCACTGTATTATGTGCGACCTCCATCATGGATAAGACCATTCTGGGCAGGTGCCTGGTGAATATACTGGTCATCCTCTGCCTCCTCTGCCTCCTCTGCCTCTTGTTGGTGCTGTTCATTTTGCCGGATTCTTCTCCTTTCTAATCATCATCATGTTGTTTCTGAGATGCAGGATCATTATATTCACATAGTGCCTCTTCTAGATACTCCTCCTGCTCATGAACCCTCTGCTCCCAGTGTTGTTGAATCTCCTCCTCCTGTTGGAGCTCGTAGAAAATCCTGCTGATGATCTTTTTGGTGCTGCTACTGGTGAACAAATTCCAGATTGCAAAGATATATTTATTGATCTCCCTGCTGCTGCAGTTGAACAGCCTCCTCATGCTAGTCTATCAATCCACTCAGTGTGCTACTGCTGTAAGTGGAGAGCATTCTGAGCCCATCCATCAATGCATTGAGCTTCCTGCTGCTATAGTTCAAGATCATGCTGAGCCTGTCTATTAATTCATTCAGCTTCCTGCTGCCATAATTCCTGCTGAATCTGCTGTTGATGAAATGCTTCCTGTGCTGGTCTCTGAAGCAATTCATTTCCAATCCTTTGATTTTCCATCTTCTCTCCCTGGAAATGGTGCTGAAATTGAATATTGAATGGTTGATAATCAGGTTGAGGTGGTACAGGTAAAGGTAAAGGTGGTGCAGGATTAGGTGCAAAGTAGTGGAGGTGTCATATATCTGATCCGACTGCTCTGACAATATTAATATCCACTCCGCCCGACCTCATACTTTCCCCGCTTCCCTACCACCTCCGCTCCAGTCTGCCCTCCACTTGTCCCAGTCAGCTCCCGCATCAGCTTCTACATCTCTACTCAACTGCCTCATCGGTTTACCTTCTGCATTGTTTCCACTCTACTGTAAACTCCTTCCCCATTTAGGTATATACTTTCCCCATTTGCACATAACACTTACTTCCTGGATCACCAGTACTTTCTATAACCGCTTCACTAACTGATCCAATGCGTACATATTGATATCCACTCTGACTTATGTTTTTCACCTGTGTCTACTTACAAATTATGCTCAGTACATAGCCTCATACCAAGGCCTAACTAGTCACTGCCTCCTACATAGAAGTATATAAAAACATATCCTGTAGTTAGCTACTCCCCAGTCTTAATATTACTTGTCTTCCTGCTGTCTCTACTAGTGGGAATTCTCTGTAGGCTTTGCTCCCTCTCTGGATACAAGTTTACCTTGTCGTCACCTCCAACCTTCTGCTCTGACTTAGGGCCGCGCTCTAAGTATTCATCCTTACCCCTCCAACCCCATCAATCAATCCCCTTACTCCCCTCCATCCCAATAAACTTCCTCCGCCTCCCCTGCTCTGCTCCTAGTCAGATTACTGCTAGTAGCACTTACCTCCTGACCCGACAAGCGGACCAAAGCGGTCTGCCTGTCCTATTGTCGGACATTGTCGGACCCGCTCCAAATTCGGGGCATGTACTCAGCTAAGGGCACAGTGCAAGAGCTGAAGCCAAGCCCTGACCCCTCCGCTTCTTCGATCCAAGCACGGTCTCTAACAGGAGGGGATTTTCAACATTGTGAGGATCAACTGCACCCTCATAATGAATAGGTCCATATATAGGAGGGGCAGGAGGAATAATGAGTTCATTAGGGATGTGGGGTTGCTGTGGGGGCTGCATCCCAGCCACCATGAGCTCTGCCTGTGCCTGCTGTCTTATCTCATCTCTGTCCTGTTGCCAACAAAGATTATGCTGATGGCATCTATCATTATGAGCTGCATTCATTTGCTCATTCAAGTGTGCATTATAATCAACCTGAGGAAAACAATAGTGGTAGTCAGAGTGAATGATTTTGAGACTGATTCAGCGTGTGATTACAGGACAATTACAAAATGCGAAAATTGTGTGAAAATTGCAGTTACTTTGAACACCCCAATAACCAGAACAAATTATTAACTCGATTCTCATGTAAATATGCATGTATGCTAAGTACCTTACAGGTGATGCCAATAGATAACTCCTCCCTTTGTGACACAGCCACTCAAGATGCCGCGACGGACTGCAAAGGCAAGTGCAAGTACAAAATCTAATTATGTTTGCATTGCAGGTAAAGAAAAAACGAGCACAAATCTGCTTGTGTCACCAACAGAGGCTCAAAAACCTCACAGAACGTGAATTCAATAGCTTGGATGCTGTTCTCGAGGACAGAGACTCAGAACTAGTAGTATTAACATCCTGTTCAGACCTCGACTCAGATGCTAGTATGTCCGGCACGAGTTCCCCCAGCAGCAGCACCATATCCTCAGTCTTCTGCCTCAGACTCCAATGAATTTTCAGATGACTCGTCTGTATACTAGATCCATCCAGCTTGAGTACTGTGTCAGGGCTTGACTCAGGGCATTTACTCAGACACAGACTCTGAATCTGCAGTATCTCACTCTAACTCAGGCACTGATGCTGACGATGAGCTTGACGATGACAACATTGCTGCCAGTGCACCCACTGCGGAGGCACAGCTTGTTCGCACATTCATTTGGGATTCTTATTTGCACCGCTACCAGATGGCTTGTAATCAGCTTCCTCGTGGTCCATCTCAAATGCGCCATGTGTTAGATGTGCTGAAGCCATAACGTCCTGACAAGTTTCGCAAGAGTCTTTGAGTCTCCCCATACACCTTTGACAAAATCTGCACTGAACTTGTGCTTGCGAAGGGCCAGGCTGGTCACTGTGAGGCAATTGAGCCATGCAAAATTTATGCTTGAGCTCCAGCTTCCTCAATGCATACTCAGTCTTCCTCCTCTCCTTCTCTGTCTTGTGTCTCTCCTTCTCCAGCTTGATCTCAGCCTTGGCTTTTGCTTTGACAACAGCAAGTGATGCCTTGGCTGTGAGTGCATCAGCCCGTTTCTGTGCAGTCAGCTCTTCCTGCTCAGCCACTTCGGCATACCTGTCTAGGAATGACTTTGTCTTGGATGGTTTGGTAACCTTGAACTTCTTCGCAGGCTTGCAATCTTCATCAGCGAGATTCTGAATCTTTGTCAACTGCTGGTGTTTTGGGGGTTTTGACTGTTTCATGTCATCGCCACTTGCCACAAAGACATCTCCATCATACTCTACATCAGACAATCCCACAGGCTCACTCTGTGACTCGGAGAATTCTTCGCCATCATTTGGTAACAAAATTGAAAAGTCAGCCACTGAATCCGCATTACCAACACCGGTAGGAATCTGACTAGGATGATTGGCAACAAGAGCATGCATCTCAAAGAACCATGGAAATTCTTCTTTATTTGTGCTGGCGAAGTTGTCTCAGTATGGAAAACAATGTCCGAGTTAGTGGTACTTACCCCATCTTGTGGTGAATTTGTTCACCTGACTCATGTTGATATCTCCCTCATGCTCAATGCCAGCTCCTGTTGTTCCCATCTCCTTGACATAGACAAGGGGTTTTCATTCTAAACTGCCAAAAGGTCAGTATACAAACATCACAGAACCAAATGACGCCATACATCTGCATTCGGTTTTTGATCTTTCGAACCCATGCTTGTCGCAGGCCTTTTTCTTTCAGGTTGCCAAGTGCGATTTCGAATGCACTGCCATACTCCACATGGCCATCAAACAAAACTTTGCAGAGTGCCCAGTGGTGTTCCATTTTCTTCACACCTCCTCCGTTTTTGGTCGATGCATTCGCCCCTGGTTCAGGGTACAATCCTTTTCGAATGGTGTCATCAGATGTCACAGCACTAATGAGGGACCACGTCAAAGTCTCTGTCCAACTGGCAGTTCCTAAGGTGAGTTATGTTCTATAAGTTTTCTGATATATTTCACGGACTCAATATCAGGGACTTCCTCATCATCTTTCTCGTCCTTGACCTTTTCAATAGTCCCCGCAGTATCTCCTACTTCGACCTTGGTACCCATTGGCTGCGCTATTTTGCCTTTTTTCATGGGCGCTTTTTTAAGGCCTTTCAGCAGAGATGCTCATTGGATGTGTTTTCCTTTGGGTGCCATGCTGCTTGAGTGTTGAGGGGAGCTCAGGTGCTTACTTGCAGGACAAGTATATATTTTAATTAGATATTTGTATTTTTAAAGAGAAATACAGCTGTTTACAGTCCAAAATCTGATTCATAATTGCGTGAAGCGCCTCCAGAGGCGCTTTGACAATTCAACGTGATTCAACGTCAAATCCGATTATCAGCGTCTGAAATCGTTTTCTGAATCGCACGCTGAATCATCTCAAAATCATTCACTCTGACTACCACTAATGAGCATACTCCACATGTGCAATTACATTTCGTGGCAAGCTGGGATATTGCCAAACTGGTAGAGGTTGATATGGAAAGTGAGAGGGAGGTTGCCATGCAAAAGGTTACAGGAGAGGCCATGCAAAAGGCAAATTAGCTAGCATGAAATGTGGCTGTGGTACAGGGAGTGGAGGCCTGTTCTGATTATCATGGGCTGCATGGTGATGATTTCATCTACTGGGAGATGTCATTTGAAGTTGATTAAGTCTATCATGTTCACATTAGGACTGTCAATCATGTTCTGGTGTTATCTGTTGTGGATTTCTAAAGTGATGTGCAGACATTAGCATCATGCACTTTACATGTAGTAATATATAGTTGGTGACTCACAGGACAGGTAGATTTTGATTCATGTTCATTATTTAAATGGTGTTTTAGCAAGTTGTATGATCTGATCCTCCATTCTAATTTAGCTTGTTATATACTATGGTTCGTTGTCCCTTTTATTATTACTTTGTACTCCACTGCACTGTGTCGCATAGCCCAGATTCTTGTAGTATATAAACCCTATGTATTCCAGTATTGCTTCTACAATATGAATATAGACTTGAACCTATCCTAACAACCCCTGACTCAACTTAAGTCCCGCTTGTCAACTAGTCCGACTTCAAGACTTATCTCACCAACCTCCGCTTCTCTCTTCCAACAGTCCTCACCTTACTTTCTACCTCGGACTTAGTCCCTTGTAGCCTTACCTCTGTTGGAGCGTGTCGGACATAGTCCCCCAGCTACTGAACCTCTGTTCGGACCATGTCAGAGTTGATCACTTGCCTAAAGAGCGCAGCATACGAACTGAAGCTAAGCCCCTCCATAACCTCTTTCATACCTACTAGGCACGGTTCTGACAGAAACACACAAAAGGTGTATTACACTTTATTACACTTGGCTGCAGGGGAAGGCAATTTCACTCAAGAATGCAATTCAATTCAATTCAAAAGCAGCAGCCAAGTTGTGTAATGAATTGTGTAACCAAGGTTCTATTATTGCTTTTGCTATTCTTGTGTCAATTTTCCCCCATGGTAGGAAGCTGTGTTGTTTGTCCATGTTGTGCCCAGAGCACAGTAGGTGTGCGGGTTACTGTCCACTATATCATGTTTGGGAGGAAATTTGGACTTAGTACAATTTTACCACTCAAAATTCTCAAAATTTAGATTTTTTATTCACACTGTTAGCAGCTCAAGCAAGAAAACTGCACAAGTTTCCAAATTGAGGTTTGAGCAAGGTAAGCACAAACCATGTGGCCTTTGCCAAAATATGCAGTGTTAATGAGATATGTGAAAACCACATGAGCAAGGGAGACACTTCCCTAGATCGCTCTCCCTTTCTTCTTAGATGTCGGTTTACACTAGGTAGGAGGTCTCATAGGTTTCAGGCAAGCGGAGTCCCCTAGCTCCATGCTCAAGGGACTCTGTTATATTTATTACAAGCAGAGGGTCAAGAATATGAGACATTGGATGGGAGATTGACCAAGTTGACATGCTCAAAGTCATCAGAGAACTCAGGGAAAATTTAGATAGTCATGTATAACAACATATAGTACATAATCACGAGCATCTATATAATTCTGCAATCATGCATCACATAGTCATGTTTGACTTTATATGTCATATCCCACATTTCCGGACCCAGAACTCTGGATCCTCACCTAGAGACCTGAACTTCCAAACTGATTTCTGTCCAGCCCTCCTGTTCCATTTTCAGGCCTGACCTAACCTTGCACCTATCTCCAGTTAGACTTCCCCTCCTCCAGCTATTGGTTGTACTCTTTTCCATCTTGCTTACTGATTGTCATATCCCGTACCTCCAGACACGGAATTCCGGATCTCCTGAAGTCTGGTTCTCCGTCCTGTTTTCCACCCGGCGCTCTGCCTTCATCTCTGTACTCACAACTACCTCCTTTTAGAATAACTGCTCTCTGGCTACTGGTTATGTCTGTTCGTACTTCATTTTCGACTTCACTGCTTTGATCTGTTATACTCTTACTAATAGACTTTCCATATGCTTGGGGCATAGCCTTTACTTTGCTGACTGACTTTACTTACATGATACCTACAGTATATAAACTCCTGTAATACTCCAGTACTCCTCAGTTGGAATATCATCTTAGTTCTGCTCATTCCTGCTTCTCCAGACTTGAGTCTAACCTCTTGTCCACCTCCAAGTCTTAGGGTTAATCCTTAGGACTATATCTCTGACTCTACCTTGGGGTAGTCTAACTTTGTTCCACTTCTACTCTGGACTTGTCCGCAGTAGCCTCACTCTGTTCATTCCTAGCCTTCTCAAGTTCTGCCAAACTCCCCCTGCGTCTGACCTCTGGACTTACCCAGACTTCCCTCTGCCTCCCGGAAATTAAGGGCACATACTCGGGTAAGTGGCGCAGCGCATGAGCTGAAGCCGAAGCCCTTTGAGTTACATTTCCCTTGAGCATGACCTTAACACTGATCCATTCTCCATATTCATTTCCAACTCCATTTCCTTTGATCTGTTAAAGACTTACTAATAGACTTTCTGCATGCTTCATACATAGCCTTATACTGTGCTGACTTATTACTTACTTGATACCTGTTAAGACCATGCTCATGGGTGAGACAGAGTCTGAGGGGCTTGGCTTCAGCTTGTATGCTGCGCCCCATACCCAAGTACATGCCCCTAATTTCAGATTGTAGTCTGACTTGAGTTCTATGAGCTCTGACAGGATGTTGGAGCGGATGTCCTCTGAAGGAGGACCGACGGACTACTAGATAAGCGCGGGAACGTCAGGCAGAGATTGGTCCGCCCTACAGGGGAGAGTCAGAGGGCTACTGCAGTCAGAGCTAACAGTAGGAACGGAGTGGGGGAGACTGCTCAGACAAAGTCCAATGCAGGATGGAAATACGGAGGATAGAGGTACGAGAGGATTGGCCACAAGTCCGACACGCAGGAAAGGCAGCGGAGGCACAGGAAGTTGGATGAGCGGAGGAGGTGGATGACCTAGGGAGTCAATCCCCTAGGCCGGCAAACAGGGGTTGTCAAGGGTTTTGCCCAAGAACAAGGACAAGAGAGCAGGGCTTAGAAAAGGTAATATTCAGACTGAGTATCCACAGACAAATGTACATAGGTTTATATACTCTAAATAATGAGCATAGCATAGCAGAAGGCTATGTGCTAAGTGTACAGTATTACAAGAGGATGACTGAGACATATGAAAATAAGGCTCGGAGAACAGTATGTATGCAACAGATCAATAATCGCTAGGGTATAGGGATTACTGGTGATCCAAAAGGAGGGACTATGATACCAAAAGGGGATAGGACCAGTTGAGTAGTTCCTAGTCTAGGAGTGGACTGGTGAGGCGGTCAGACAGACTAATAGTCGGGTGGGGAATATGAGCAGAATTGAAGGATCCGAGTGGGTCAGAAAAGCGGAGGGAGTAGGAGTAGGATCGGGCAGACTGATAGAGTGGAGGAGCAGAACTCCAGATAGGGTCGGATGGAAAGGGTATGGTGTTGGAGGGAATAGGGGTAGCATTGGAGGAGCAGAGTGGAGTTGGGCGGAGGTAGCAGGGCTAGTCCTGCTGAGATGCACTTCATGTATTGTCAGGGAAGGAGGAATGAAGCAGACGGGGAAACAGGGGGTTGGACCAGCAGTAGGGATGCTCACAGGTGGTGTTGGAGGTGCTCAGATCCGGTATATGACAATACCTATAGTTTATAAACTCCTGTAACACTCTGTACCTCCTCAGTTTGAATATCATCTTAGTTCCTGCTCATTCCTGTGTCTCTGGACTTGAGTCCTTCCTCCTGTCCACCTCCAAGTCTTAGGATCAACTCCTTAGACTATATCTACAGCTCTACCTTAGGGTAGTCTACCTCCAGAGTTCCACTGAACTCCTCCTGTGTCTGACCTCCTGATATCCTGGACTTTGTTAGACTTCTCTCCTGCCTCCTGGAAATTAAGGGCACATACTCAGGTAAGGGGCACAGCACACAAGCTGAAGCCAAGCCCTTTGAGTTCTCCTCCCTTTGAGCATGATCTTAACATTATGAAGGAAAGGTGAATCTCTGATTTTGCAATAAAAGCATATAATTAACATACAAACTCTGCATCATTTAAACTCAGAGTTGAATGCAAGGTGGAGGAAAAGTGTGAAGGGTCTAGCGATACTAATTATGATGGCCCCATCAATAGTAAGATTGGTGAATTCAAAGCCAAGAGAGGTCGCTGGTGTTGTCCAGAAGACGAGAAGATGTTCACCACTCCAGCAACAGGAAAACCAGTTCCAGCTGGGCATTGTATTAAGATCTTGCTACAGTTGCAAAGAGTGCACACTAAAACTACAGTTCACTGCCAAAATATTCTTTAAACTTGTAAAGAGAGTCAGTTTTGAAGGATTCACAACTCCTTCTCTATATTTTATCAATTTCTCTGGATGCAGTTTCTTATGATGTAGTAACCTGATGCAGGACTTGGCTGTGAAGAGTCATGTGCCATGTATATACCCCTCTTTTCATTGAATAGAAGTCTTATATATTGTGCCACCATTAGGAAAGGTATGCTTCTTGAAGCTCTGCAGAAGCTATTGTATATACTTTCATTTGGAACATCATTGATTTTGCTTCTGCATCAAACCACATACCATACTATCTTGAAAAAGGAGGAAGTTTTGTGCACATTGTCAAGCTTCTTCAAGATGTACAGGATTGTTATATGTTTCAATATGTTCTTTCTACTGATTTGAATGAGAGCTGGATAACACTGTGATTGTACTGAGTTTCATCATTAGCCCAAAAGGTAAATTTGTACTTTGACTGGAGTGCAGCAGACTGACAATTATAATTTATAATTGTTATTGAGCAGGCATAACTACCAGGATGTCATAGTGAGATAAATTGCAAGTCAAATTATTATCATAGGATCAACATTTGTGTCATATACCAGATCTGACTGCTCCACCAATATTGATATCCACTCCACCTAGCTACATATCCTTTCCACTTTTCCTCCCACTTCTGCTCCACCTGTCTCTGCTTGACCGAGTCAGTCCACACATCCACTCCTACACTCCTGCCCGACCACCTTGTCAGTTACCTTCTGCATAGATACCATTCAACTGGAACCCCTTTCCCCATTTAGGTATATACTTTCCCCTTGTCATGTACCAGATCTGACTGCTCTGACAATATTGATATCCACTCTGCTCGACCCTACACCCTTTCCGCCTTTTCCTCCACCTCCACTCCATCCACCCTCTGCTTGATCCAGTCAGCTTCCACATCCGCTTTCGCTCAACCACTTCATTGGTTACCTTCTGTATCAGTTCCATTCAACTGGAACCTCTTTCCCCATTTAGGTATATACTTTCTCCTTCAGCACATAACCCTTACTTCCTGGATCACCAGTATTTCCTATAACCACTTCATTACTGATCTATCGCATACATATTGATATTCGCTCTGACTTATGTTTTCACTGGTGGTAACACTGACAAATTGTATACTCAGTACATAGCCTCATACTATGGACTTCTGATCACTGCCTCCTTACTTAGAAAACACATCATGTACTTAGCTACTTTCCTCAGTCTTAATATTACTTGTCTTCCTGCAGTTTCTACTAGTGGGAATTCTCTGTAGGACCTTGCTCTCTCTGGACACAAGTTTATCTCGTTGTCACCTCTGATCCTCTGCTCCAACTTAGAGTCATGCTCTGAGTCTTCACTCTTACCTCTCTGCCCAATCAACCAATCCCCTTGCTCCCTTCCACCTCAACTGACTTCCTCCACTTCATCCACTCTGCTTCTAGTCAGTCCGCCACTAGTAGCCTTTACCTCCCAACCCACAAAGCAGACCAAAGTGGTCTACCCATCCTATCATCAGACATTGTCAATCCTGCTCCAAATTTGGGGCATGTACTCAGCTAAGGGCTGCAGCACAAGAGCTGAAAGCCAAGCCCCAACCCCTCCACTTCTCCATCCAAGCATGGTACCTAACATCTTCCCTCATTTTCTACTGGTGGGAATTCTCCATAGGACTTTGCTCACTCCAGACACAAGTCTCATCTTGTTGTCGCCTCCACTCCTCTCTCTCTCCAATCCATCATCACTTACACCTCATGTATCATTGTCTACTTACAGTAATATTCCCGACTTTCCTGCACTTTTAGATTGTGGCTCCTTGCATTGTTTTGTAGAGACCAGCTTTCATATGCAAGAACTCTCTTACTACCTATGCAATCTCACCTGTTCCACTCTACCTCTTTGACAGCTCCGCTAATGCAACTATTACAGAAGCAATTGAGTTGTCAATCCAATTCCCGACTGGGGAAGTTACCTCCGAAACATTTTTCATTACTCTGTTGGATTGATTGTGTATGATCATTCTAGGATATAGCTGGCTCTACCAACATAATCCATTGATTAACTGGGTACTGGGCAGCATTGATTTCTGTCTGACATCTCACAGAATGCCTCTGTCACCTCCGATGTCACCTCCATTTCCTAAAGCAAAACTTGCACCTCAGAACAACCCTAGTCCCTAAGCTGCTCCCATCATCACTTCCAACTCGACATCTCCACCTATAGCTCTAATAAATACCATAGCCTTTTGTCGCACCTGTAAGCTAGATGGTTCTGTCCTGTTCAGTATCTACCTCCATCCTTCTGATCCCAAGCTCCGTGTTACGTCCACTTCAGGGGCACCCACTGACCTTAGCAGAATACCTTCTGACTACCATGATTTTGCCGATGTCTTTGACAAAGGCAAGGCTGGAAAACTACTGCCTCATTGCCCCTCTGATTTGAAGATAGATCTAGTGGACAGTGCAACCACGCCCTTGGGAACCATATTCTCCCTTTCCCCTGTTGAGCTAGAGGCTCTTCACAAGTTTCTTGATGACAATATTCCAACGGGATTACTCCGATCATCCTCCTCTCTGCATGGAGCCCCCATCCTCTTTGTAAAAAAGAAGGATGGCTCCCTGCACCTCTGCATCAATTTCTGAGGACTCAATAATATTACAAACAAAGACCGCTATCCTTTGCCTCTCATCACCAACCTTCTCAATTCTCTGAGCCACGCTAAAATCTACACCAAGATCAACCTCAATGCCACTTACCACCTTGTTCACGTTACAGAAGGTGGAACAGCTTGCTTCATCCCTACAAGCCACTATCCTAGCTGAACCAGTACTCTGTGCAGTGGTTGTAATGAACACAGAAGTACTCCACAAGGATATTTTCCCCACCCTTTCCTCCAACCCCATTACTAGTATCCTACTCTCCAATTCACCTGATCCAAGATGGACGGTTGACGCCAAAGGTTTCCTCCATAGAGACAATCACATATACATCCCTGACATAGGTGATCTCCACCTGAGGATTCTCCGCTATATGCATGATCACCCTCTAGTGGGTCATTTTGGCCAGAATCAGACATTAGAACTTATTTGACACAAATATACTTGGCCCGGTATCCATACCTATGTCAAATACTATGTCAAGTTGTGTACTACTTGTGGACAAGCTAAAGTTCCATGCCATAAGCCCTATGGTCTACTCAAGCAGTTACTGATTTCACAGAAATCCTGGAACTCTATATCCATGGATTTCATAGAGCAACTCCCTGTCTCCACCAGCTTCACCACCATTTTAGTTATCATTGACCATCTATCAAAACAATCCATATTCATCCTGACGTTTGATACTATCACACCCTCTGACCTTGTCAAGTCATTCTTACTCCATGTCTTCTCTAAGCACAGAGTACCCTCTCATGTCACCTCCGACTGCAGTACTGAATTTGTGTCCCACTTCTTCCACTCCCTCGGCAAAGCCCTCAATATGTGCCTTCACTTTACTTTAGGGATATCACCCCGAAGATGATGGCTAGACAAAGTGTGCTAACCAGACATTAGAACAGTACCTCTGCATCTACTGTAACTTATCAGCAAGACAATTGGTCAGAGCTGATCCCATTAGTGGAGTTTGCATACAACAATGCTCCTAGTGCTACCACTGGAGTTTCACCCTTTTTTGCAGATAAGGGTTACCATCCTAATATTACAGTACATCCTGAATGCAACCTTACCTCTGCTCGTGCCCACGACTACACAGTTGATCTAGATGAGCTCCATGCCTTTCTCCACTCCAAAATGGCTGAAGTGCAACAGTGCTACCAGGGTCTCCACTGATGCCCGACAAAGTCCCACACCTGAAATTCAAGGTCGGAGATCAGGCCTTCATCAAAGCTAAATATTTCAGCTCAACCAGACCCTCCAAAAATCTATCCAAAAAGAATCTCAGTCCATATACCATCATTGCTCAAGTTGGCACATTATCCTTCACCCTCTGCCTACCTGATACCATGAAGTCTGTTCACCTCATCTTCCATGTTTCACAGCTCAAGCCCACCATGCCAACCTCCTCCACCTCCAGTTGTAGTCAATGGAGAGCTGGAGTTCAAGATTGCAGAAATCCTAGATTCAAAAATTGACCAAAGGCACAAACATTGCAATTTACTCTACCATGTGCACTGGTCCGGATATGAAGGTACTGACAAAGAAAACTCATGGCTGCCTGAGTTTCTTTTGTATATTACACTTTCCGTCTACTCCTGGTACCTTGTATGATCCGACTCTCCATTCCAATCTAACTATGGTATAATGTACATTTTGCTATTACTTTGTACTCCACTGAGCTGTGCCACATAGCCCAGATCCCTATAGTATATAAACCCCATGTATCCCAGTGAAGTTTCTACAAAATGAATATAGACTTGAATCTATCCTAACTACCTCTGACTTGACTTACAGCAGTTTGCGAATCTAATTACACTCGCACAAATGTGAGAAAGTATTGATACATTTGTGAGACTTAGAATTTTTTTACTGTTCTAAGTTACATAATGTTGCGTTGCGTCCCAATATTGATTTTATATCTGTACTGTGCCATACTGTGTTCCTCATAAATCATACAATGGCGAAGGCATTCAAGAGTGCCGAAATTGTTGATGACACTGATATGGATGTCATGGAGCTGACGTCCTCAAGCCTCTCTGAATCAGATTCAGATGAGAACTCGGGGTCTACAGCCATTGTGGAGCAAGCACTGTGTGCACGAGACAGTATCGACTGTGAGCTAGATGCTATGGACCGACCACCACTGGAGGCTTCTGTACCAGCAATGGCTATACCCCCAACTCAACAGCAGCGAAAAAAAGGACAAATGAGTGCATATATCAGGTTTCTTCTGGAGAATGATTGAGTTTGTCTGACTATATGCTTTAGAAAATGCAGCAAAGCAGTGTCAGGCCACGGTAGCTGATGAGTCACCCCTACTGGAGTCTCTCATCACCATGTACAACATCTCGATCTTTCCTATTGCTGAAATGAAGAAGGACGACCCGAAGAAGAGAAAAGGGACCAATACATACTTGAAACTCGGTCTCAGTGAGCCTTTTGACACCTTCAAGGCTCAGGTTCTTCAGAAGATCAACGAGCAAACCAAGCCAGAGAAGATTTCATATGATAACTACACAGCCCTTTATGCCATTCCTTGAGTTTCACCAACTCCGATGTCACTGTCTAACAAAAAAGACTATGAAGAATTTATCAGATGCATCACAAAGGTTAAGGGACTTACAGCATCACTGTATATGCAAGAACTCCGTGTTCTCAAGGTACTAATTTTGTCACTGACAATATTTGTGTGATGTATCAAGCTCACCAGCCAATATTGTCCTGTCGCAGCGCAAGGGACATCCTTCTGATAAAGAAAATGACGGAGATATAGATTCTGGTAGCAGCACAGATGATGATTCTGATGAACCGAGGAAGAAGAGGAAGAAAAAGAATGACAAAAAGAAGACTCAGGTATGATGTTATACTCTGAGTCATCACACCAGAGCTTATATGATTTGTACTAGGCACCAAAAGCCAGTAACATTGACGATAGTGACAAACCTCTCAATAAGAATATCTGAGATCTGTGTAACCAATGGGTTTGCCACAAGAAACCTGGGTGCCCCAGCGAACACTGCTATGTCAATGCAGCTGATGGCAGGTCCCATGTTGCCCTCTCCTTCCCCCTTCTTGAGTGTTGGGGTTCAGCAATGGAACACCAACATGTTTTCTTTATGTTTGAGTTGCCCTTGCTGAATATATTGGGTTAGCTCAAAGGTGCCAAATATGCAACAATCAAGATGCCTCCCAATCATGCCCACTTTAGCATCATTCCCACCGAGTTACTTGGTCGCCCATCACTTCTGTCTATCCGTCGTCAACAACTCGATGAACAAACAAAGGTGAAGGCTGCAACTGCGGCTCTGAATCCTCCTCTTGCACCATCTCTGAGTCAACCTGTCATCAATGTGAATTTTCTACCTGAAATGTTCCAGCCTGTCCAAGCCATAGATCCCATTCCAACCCATATTCCTGCAGCCTTGGCACCGCTCCCTGGTGTGCATGCTACTGCATCCTTGTTGTTACCAACTCAGCTTGCTACTCCTGGGCTGAGGATGAGTCTTGCTGATTTTTGTGTTGCTTTTGATGTTTCCAATGCTCTGCAGGCTAAACTCTCAAATAATAGGTTCACATCCTCACATTCTCTTCGCTTTGCTTCTTTGGATGATCTCAAAACTATTGGGATACTTTGTGGCGAGCTTGCACAACTCAAGGATGCTGTTTGTCGCTGGTGCAGCGAGTAATTATACCTATGTTTTCACGTCTTCAAGTTCTCCATTGCATGTCTATCTCACTGCTAGCAAGAGCGAAAGGTTGAAGTGTATTATAACATTGCTGTAACTGTATCCCAAATGTTGTACTCTAGAAATAGTCCGAGTGGCAAATGTAACCTTCAGCATCATCAGCTGTGATGATGTCTAGTATCTCGCACAAGTTATGGAAAATACTGTCCATGCCCGTTACAAAGAGGTCATGGTTCTGATGAATCCATGATTTGATCTTGGAGAAGGCTTCTTCTATTGGGTTCAAATCTGGTGAGTACAGTGGGAGAAATCTGATTCGAACACCTATGAAACTTTGACATGATGAGTCCCGATACATAAAATTAATGACAGACCAAATCTCTCTGCCAGCTTGCGGATTTCTTCCCCATGATGAATGCGAGCATTATCCATGACAAGAACACTATTCTTGCCAGGATATGCATAATGTGATAGCCACATTAGTATGAATGTAGGAGCTCACAACTGAATGTTCTAGAAAATGTAAGTAACCCTTCCGACGTAATGATCCTTCTATGATGTGGCCAGCAATGATTCCATCAATAGACATGGCTGCAACAGCTGTCAGCCACCTGCCTCACACAAAAACACCTCTCATGCTAGCACATTTGCTTTTCTTTGCCTGGACATATCTCCAAAATGAGGTATGTTCATCTACTGAAGTCTCATCAATGAAACAAAGTGTTAGTTGTGGTGATTGAGCACCTTATGGTGCGAGTTATTTGTGTTATGATGTTGCTTCCTCTATTGGACTCTCACTTAGCATGTGATGTGAATTCCTTACTTACTTAGGCAGTGTTTACACTTGTTTACATAGACTCGCCCATAGGTAGCAAGTCCTGTGTTGGTTGCTCTTCAGCAACTGACACTGGACTATAGGTATAGTACACTCATTAGTTTACACAACACAATAGCAACTGACACTGGACTATAGTCCTGTTCACTCTCATTAGCTCACTTGTGGCTTGGTTCACTTGGTTATTCTAACACAGCTTCCTTATGCATGTAATTCAGGTACTTTTACAAGCTGTTAGGTACCGTGCTGGCTCAGGAGGCAGAGGGGTCAGGGCTTGGCTTCAGCTCTTGTGCTGCGCCCTTAGCCGAGTATGTGCCCCAAATTTGGAGCAGGTCCGACGTTGTCTGATGATAGGACAAGTGAACCGTTTCAGTCCGCTTTGAGGGTTGGGAAGTAAGAGCTACTAGCAGCAAGCCGACTAGGAGCGGAGCAGAGAAGGCGGGGAGTGATGTGGAGGGTGGATAGGAGCAGGGGAAGGTTTGGTAGGAGTGGGGAAGGCGGAGGATGGGAAAAGGGACAAGGAGAATATTGATAGGGGCAGAAGAATAAAGCAAGCACTTAGAGCACGGCTCTAAGTCAGAGCGGAGGGTCAGAGGTGACAACAAGTTGAGACTTGTGTCCAGAAGAGGCAAGGTTCTACTGAGAATTGTCACAAGAGGTAACTGCGAGAAGACAAGTCATATTAAGACTGAGGAAAATATCTAAGTACATGATATGTTATATACTTCTATGTATGAGGCAGTGACCAGGATAACTATGTTGTAAAGCTATGCACCAAGGATATAGTTTGTAAGTACTTTACACAGGTGAAGCCATAAGTCGGAGTGGATATCAATATCTACGCGTGGGATCAGCGATCGAGTGGTAATAGGAATTACCGGTGATCCGAAAGTCTTGTTGATGATGCTCCCTCCCATGACCCTCCTGCTTATGATGCCACTCCCCCTCAAACAATACTTTTGGAGGAGGCACCCTGCCCACCATGACAAATCAAGACCCAAAGAATGAAGAGGACAGTCACGGTAGTGGCCGATGGTCTTACATCCAGTTTCTAGCTGTGGGGAGAAAATATCTAGGAAATCCACTGTGAGTACCACTAGTATTAATGTCAATAGCTTATTGATGTTCTTACCCCAGGCAAAGATTCAAAAATCAAGAAAGAGAAAGCAGCCTCACCTTGTCCAAAATTCACACAAGCTGCCCACATTCAATCCTGCCAATGTCACTCTCCACCAAATCATTCTGAACACTGATTCCTTGAATATGCTAAAGCATGCTGTTGGCACCACCTCCTTTCTTCACCAGAAGGTTAGAGAAGCACTGGTGAAGGAGAAGTTGAAAGCATGTGCTCTAGCATCCTTCAATTTGAACCCACAAGATGAATCAGCCATAGGCAGGTATCAGATACATTCACAGAGGTGCCAAGAGTGTGACACTGTGCAAAACAGTTGATGCTGAAGTCTGCCAAATGTGCTAGGGAGTGGAGTTTATGTAGTACTTTGCAAGATGTGAGAGCTTATGTAGTGGATGTGGAAAGTAGGATTATACTATGATGAAAATAGTGTATATGAAGTTGAGAAAATAAATAGTGGACTCAGCAACTGATGCGCATGTCTATGAGGACACTTGCTCTGTCGACTTTTTCACTCTCCCAGGGAAATATTTCCTGGCAGATGCAGGATATCCTCTACGTCCTGGGCTACTTGCGCCCTACTGAAGTGTGCATTATCACCTTGCCGAATGGGGTCGCACAACCATACAGTGAGTTCTTACTTGATTCATAGACCTCATGCTAAGTTTTATGGGCCCTCAAATAAAGAGGAATTGTGTCATATACCTGATCTGACTGCTCCGATATTGATATCTGCTCCACTTTCCGACCACCTCCACACCATCCATCCTCTGCTCTGTCCAATCACAGTCCGCATTCCGCTTCTACGCTTCCGCTCGACCACCCAACCAGTCCCCTTCCATAACATCTCCATTCAACTGGATCCGCTTTCCCCTTTTGGATATATACTTCCCCCTTCAGTACATAGACCATTACTTCCGGATCACCAGTACATTCCTATTACCGCTCAATCACTGATCCACTCCGACTTATGTCTTTGCCTGTGTAAGTACTTACAAATTATATCCTTGGTACATAGTTTTGCAACATAGTTATCCTGGTCACTGCCTCACACTTAGAAGTATATAACATATCCTGTACTTAGATATTTTCCCCAGTCTTAATATTACTTGTCTTCTCGCAGTTTCTACTTGTAAGAATTCTCAGTAGGACCTTGCCTCCTCCAGACACAAGTTTCACCTTGTTGTCACCTCCAACCCTCCACTCCGACTTAGAGCCATGCTCTAAGTCTTCTCTTAACTTCTCCGCCCCTGTCAAGTATTCCCCCTGCTTCTTGCTGCCCTCCGCATTATCCTCCGCCTCCTCCGCTCCTATCAAGTATTCCCCCAGCTCCTTTCCACCCTCCCCATTATCCTCTGTCTTCTCTGCTCCGCTCCTAGTTGGTCCACCACTAGTAGCTCTTACTTCCCAACCCTCAAAGCGGACCCAAGCGATCCACTCATCCTATCGTCGGACAACGTCGGACCCGCTCCAAATTGGGGGCACGTACTTGGCTAAGGGCGCAGTGCAAGAGCTGAAGCCAAGCCCCGACCCCTCTGCTTCCTGAGCTGGCATAGTACCTGACAAATTGTTTAATTTGTGTCATGTGTCAGCATGAAACATTGTCAAGCATATCTTTGGCGTTCTCAAGCAACATTTTTGGATACTACTTCTGTCACCCATATATTCTATGGAGGTACGGGCCCACATTCCCACCACTACGTGCTATAACATACATGACCCTAGTGTTAGAATAACCAAGTGAACCAAGCCACAAGTGAGCTAATGAGAGTGAACAGGACTATAGTCCAGTGTCAGTTGCTGTTGTGTTGTGTAAACTAATGAGTGTACTATACCTATAGTCCAGTGTCAGTTGCTAAAGAGCAACCAACACAGGACTTGCTACCTATGGGCGAGTCTATGTGAACAAGTGTAAACACTGCCTAAGTAAGTAAGGAATTCACATCACATGCTAAGTAAGAGTCCAATAGAGGAAGCAACATCATAAGACAAATAGCTGGCACCATAAGGTGCTCAATCACCACAACTAACAGATATCTATGCCAATATCAAGCGTGCAGACTTACGGGCATCTCTCGCATATATTCTCACACTTCAGAATGCATCATTAGATGACCCCGGCACTGGTCTCAGTCCAGACGCCATCGAGAGACTCAAGAATCTACCCAACTACGATGACCCTGAACTCAGACTTGCTATCTGTCTGTACCTGGCACTCACCAACGCCGACAATGATTACACAAAAGCAGTCTCTGCTATCAACGAGTACAATGATGCTGAGCTCTCTTCACATCATCAGTCGCAGATCACCGGAGTTGAGGAAATGAAGCACAATATGTGCATCAACACTTGCATTGGCTTCACTGGCCCTTTTGCATCTCTCAATCACTGTCCGGAGTGTCAGGAGTTCCAACATGCTTTGGTTCTGACATTATGCACTTATTATCACTCAATATCCCTGACCTCTTAATCCCTCTCTGGCGTGGGACATTTGAATGTGACAAGGACAATGATAAATCCACTTGGACGTGGGCAGTTTTTGTTGGCAATGTTTGGAAGGAGTTTGGTAGATTTGTTGAGGAGTCCACATCACACCTTCCTGGGTGTTTTGACCATCCACCCTGAAATCCCGAGAAGAAGATCAATAGTGGCTACAAAGCATGGGTGTTTACACTACTCCTCTATGGCCTATGCATCGTTTTCCTTCATGGCGTGCTTCCTAATCAATATTGGGTTCACTTCTCCAAGCTTGTCCGAGCTGTCCGTATCATCTCACAACACCACATCACCCAAACTGAGCTTTGTGTGGCTGCTCGCCTCATGATAGAGTTCATTGAGGAATTCAAGGACTTATACTACCAGTGTCATGTGGACCACATTCATTTCATGTGACAGAGTATTCACGCTCTTGGACACTATGCTACTGAAGTGCAAAGTAAGGGTCCTCTCGTGTGCGCTTCACAGTGGACTGTGGAACGAACAATTGGAAATCTTGTTGTAGAAATGCGCCAACCATCAAAACCTTACAAAAATCACTCGCAGCGTGCTTTTTGGCACACTCAGCACAACACCCTCATGTCAATTTTCCCCATTCTTGATCCTGACTACAACAAGCCACCCTTTCCCAAATGGTTAAAAGATATTGGTGGTGGCTACGCACTACTCAAACAACAAGAATGTCATTGACACTCAACATCTATTGCTGAAGGGCGTATCATTCAACTCTACCTTGAAGCTTATTATCCACAGTCACCTGAGTTTGGCTATTTCAATGATGATGGGAGTTTTCGTGTCATATACTGGGCTCGACTGCGGCTACCAAATGGCCAAACAAGCCGGTCATTATTTGCAACAAGGGAACAACAACACAATGCTCGGTGTGCCCACATCACAAAGGCATTTATTTCATCCAAGTTTAGTCAAGCAAATACTAATTTCATTGAGTAGCTGATTATCGAGGGTGCTGTATACCTTGCCGAACCATGAGTCCGCATCACTCCCATGACAACAATCCTGCTTATGACCTGTTCTCAATGGATTCAACAGCACATAGACACAGATCTTATGTTCAGCATGACCCTTACTCATCTACTAGTGACCTTTCTGATGCACTACTGCAGTTGCCAGATTCCATGCATTGTCCATCCTTTGATCATCGTCCATCCTTTGATGACAGCCGCAGGAGAACAAGTTGGACAAAACACGACAATGATTTATTCTATCAAAGTGTATGTACTATTTTCTTCATACATGTTGCGCTTGCAAGCTAACAGTGTCCTTGTAGGACAGCAATTCATTCAGTGGCAGGTCTGCAAGTGACAGTTCATCTTCATTCTCGCATTCTTCAATTTATCCTCACTCACACATGCATTCGCATTCTCATACATCCCATGGCCCCCATTCACAAAATTCCCATGCATATAATCAGCATACTGCCATTCCACATCCCCAGTCACAACACAAGTCACTTTATCTTGAAAACGCAGAACTCACAGATGTACTATGGCAAGAAAGTCAGATTTTGAAGAATAACTGGTATGACATGAAGTGCAAGCACAATATTGAAGTTGCAATGCTCACATCACGACTTGAACAGACAGAGTAAGTCCCAATTCATTGTGCATCACTATGAGTTGCTAGCTTATATGTGAATCTCAAGGACATTATATCAACAACTTCTTAAGCCCATGGATGTGTTAGCTGCTAGTACCACTGGGAGTGGCCCACAAGACCCCTTCCTTGAGCTTTATTGCATGGTGCGTGATGCTGACAAGACACTACCTACATATCAACGAGAGGATTACCATGGCACATATTATTAGACAAAGGAGGAATGGCAGTGGGAGTATCAAAATGGCCGTGGCATTCTTACCGTCAAGAAGTCATCAAAGTCAGGTGCAACACATTTATCTTGTTGCTGAAGATGGCCTTGTTGCTTCAGAATCAGAGCAACCAAAAATGCGAAATCAACTTCATGCAGCCTGGCATACACTGCTTGATGAAGGTCTAGCCCCAACAATGTGGATGACCGCTGACATCCATGCCCTCAAATTCATCCGTTTCACTATGTGCTGATCGTTTGTCCACTTCCGACTCTGTGACGGATACTGGAAAATAGATACCTTCACTAGTCGACATTATCCGCAGTGGACATCTCACCCCAAAGAAGATAACCAAGTCAAGGTGAAGCGAGAAAAAGTGGACGCCATGAATGTCAAGGTCGAACAAGTAACTCAAGACTCCACATCTGCTGCAGTACCTTCCACATTTAAACAGCCCCAGTCAATTGCTATCTCACCTCTAGTGCGCATCTCAAAGAAGAAGAAAGAAGTTCATCGCATTCCCTCTCCCCCAGTGTTCTCTCCTGTGCCCTCTGCTGCTCATCATGATACATACCTGGTTGCTGAAATGACTCAAATTGGTGCTATGCCTGACAGACCCACCTTTGAACATATCTCTGACAAACCTGTCGGAGCAGCTCGTGACAACCCTGTTGCTTTTGAGCCTGGTGCTCTTGATAAGCCAATTAACCTTACTAGTTCCGATGCAAATGTTCAGTTGTCTCAACCTGCCATAGTAGGTCCACTGAGGCTCGAAGTTCAGGAAAGTCTCTCTTGTTGTTGTATGACTCGGATCTAACATCAGTAACAATCACCATTAGATTATGAATCCACTCAAAGGTCTGTTTCCAGACCAATCAGACAGCCATTCTGCAGATATCATCTCTGTACCTGGGCCTTCCAGCATTACTACGGTGCATATAGCAAGCACTTCCGTTGGCGACATGGATCCAAGTCCTATGGTGATTGAGCACCTTATGGTGTGAGTTATTTGTCTTATGATGTTGCTTCCTTACTTACTTAGGTAGTGTTTACACTTGTTTACATAGACTCGCCCATAGGTAGCAAGTCCTGTGTTGGTTGCTCTTCAGCAACTGACACTGGACTATAGGTATAGTACACTCATTAGTTTACACAACACAATAGCAACTGACACTGGACTATAGTCCTGTTCACTCTCATTAGCTCACTTGTGGCTTGGTTCACTTAGTTATTCTAACATTTGCTGCATAGTTCTGTCGTCTACTGCGTAGTCTGTCATCCTGCATATCCCACATAGTTTGCAATTGCTTTGTCGTCATCGACCCACATGTTTACATGCCCATACATGCCTGCCATATTTGGCGAAATTCGTTACAGTTCATTACAGATATTGGTTGAAACATACAGGCGCATACAGGTACTGTTTTGACGTCTATGGGCCTGGAGTGGCCTTTGACTGGAGTGTATGGCTTGTGTCAATAAGTCATCACTAACTTGCACGCTGTCAGGCCCTCCTTTGACAAACCATTCAAAGACATCAGTGAGCCGGTTGATGAGGCCTTGCATCTCCACCACAGCGGCTGCCGGCGTAATCTTTGCTGCCTTCGAAGCACTACTGATCTTTGTGGCATGGCTATGCTGGGACCGGATTGATTTGACTAGCAAGATATTAGCTATTGAATACGTAAGAAAAAGTAAGAATACTTTGGGATGTGACGTCAATACAGCTGCCGCCACAGGTCCTTCAATCCCAGCCTCATTCTCATTGTCCGATGCTCATATAGATAATTCATAAGGGTGGTGATCTCGCCATCAGTCCACTGGGCATGGGGGAGCTTAGCCTGAGGGGGGGCATTTACTTAGGGTTGGGCCATGAGGAGTGGTATATTGAGCACAGATCACAGTATCGCAACAGCGCCAGCAAAAAGTCTCTTGCGCCGCTCTAGGGTTAGATGAGGGTAGCTATCCATCAATAATATGTACAGTAGGAAGGAGGTAAAGTTCAAGCTCTGACATCTCGGAATGATGCTGATGAACTGTTGTGTGAACATCAACAAGCAAATGTTGGCCAGCATCAGGTTTCCAAACTAGCTCTAATGGAATCAGATCCTCTGCTGTGCAGTGTTTGAGTCAGTCGAGGCCAACATTGGATGGCAATGGGATGATGGTGAGCTCAGGGGTGTTTGTGTGGGCATTGAGTGTCTTGGTGAACTCATCAGGATCATCATCGACATCATCAAGAATTGCACAATTCAAGTCCTCCGGATCTTCATGGTTGTCGATCCTAAGGACAGAGGGTGCAGTGGCAGGGAAGCCCATCTCAAACAAGAGATTTCGCATCCAGCGGATCTCCTTGCCTGCCTCAACTGCAGCCATGTACTCAGCTTCAGTGGTGGACAAGGCCACAATGCTTTGAAGCTTCGACGACCAGGAGACAGCACCAAGGCCAATCTTGACCAGGTAGCCACCAGTGGAGCGACCAGTGTCTTTGCATCCACCATGATCAGCATCAGAGAATGTGGAGAAGAGTTCGATGGAATTGGGATCAGGAGCATAGGTGATGGAGTAGTCTGCAGTGCCCTTCAGATAGCGAAGCAGGTGCTTGACAGCTTGCCAATGGGCAGGGCCAGGGTTGGAGTTGAATCGAGCTAAACAGCCAACAGCGTAGGCAATGTCTGGTCTGGTGGTGGTGGCAAGATACATCAGAGCACCCACAGCTTCAAGGTAAGGAGTGGATCGCATGTCCTGAGTCTCATCAGCAGTCTGGGGACACTGAGCACGAGTGAGTCGAAGATTGGGCTGCATGGGAGTGGAGACAGGCTTGCAATCAGCCATGCTGAAGCGATCAAGGATGTCAAGGCAGTACTGGTGCTGGGAGATGGTGATGGAGTGCTTGGAGCGATCCCTGTCAATCTTGATGCCTAGAAGCTGGGTGGTAGGGCCCAAGTCTCGAAGCTTGAAGTGCTGAGACAAGTCCTTGATGATCTGATCAATTGCAGAAGCGGACTTCGATGCAAAGGTCATGTCATCAACAAAGACAGGCAAGATGATCCTGACTTCACCCTTGACATAGATATAGATGCTGGCATCAGAGTAGGACTGGGTGAATCCAATAGACTCGAGAACAGAGCGCATTTTCTTGTTCCAGCGATTGCCACCTTGCTTGGTTCCATAGATGCTCTTCTGAAGAAGGCAGACCATCTTCTTGGGATCACCTTCAGCAAAGCCTTCAGGTTGTTCCATGTAGACGTCGCAGTCCATCTCCCCATTGAGATAGGCATGTGAGATGTCGATGGAGCGAAGGTGGAGGTCATGGATGGCAGCCATAGCAAGGACAATGCGAATGGTGGGCATATGCACAGTTGGAGCAAATATTTCGACATAGTCAAAGCCAGGACGCTGGTTGTAGCCCTTGGCAACAAGTCTGCCCTTGTAGCGCTCAATAGAGCCATCAGCATTGCGCTTCACCTTGAATATCCACTTGGAGCCAATGACCTTGATTCCAGCTGGTCTAGGTACGAGTTTCCAAGTCCCATTGCTGCGATGAGCATTGAGTTCCTCAAGAGCTGCTTGATTCCACTGCTCTGCATCAAGTCGAGTCAATGCCTCCCTATAAGACAATGGCTCAGTGGAAGAGCTGGTAGACAAGGCAAGCTCAAATCCTTGAGCAAAGTCAGCATCCTCAGTCTCATCATCAACAACATCAGTTAGCTGAGCTGGAGAGAGCTTCCACCAGTCTCTGGGAGGTTGCCTGTTGCATCGAGGCAGTCTGGCACCAATGCCTGTGGGAGATGGTGGTCTAGGAGGTGGATTGGGACGAGCTGCAGGAGGAGGAGTGACTGGATCAGGAACAGGGACGACAGGAGGGACATCAGGAACTGCTGGAGGCACCACATCTCCCCCTTGATCCAGTGACTCATCAGAACTGGACTCATCATAGTCAGAGTCAGAGTCAGAGTCATCTGAATGAGGAGGATAGTAATAGGAGGGCGCTGCTGGGGGCTCAGAGGTAGTCTTCGACTGTCTGGGAGGATGGGGAGCATTGACAGGAGGTGCTGGAGCGATGGGAGCTGGAATGGATGGACTGGATGGGCGCTTGGACAGAGGGAAGTATCTTTCATCAAAGTCAGCCCATTCACAGATGATTGTCTTCTTGGAGGTGGGGTTGTAGAACTTCCAGCCCTTGTAGCCAGCAGGGTAGCCAATGAAGACGCACTTTTCCATGTGGGAGCCAAGTCCATCTCTCTTGTCCCTCTGGACGTGCACATAGGCAGTGCATCCCCAAACTCGAAGATGTGAGACATCAGGCTTATTACCATGCCACAGCTCATAGGGTGTAGCCCTGTCTACAGCTTCAGTAGGGCATCTGTTCCAGACATGGACCAGAGCAGCAAGACACTCGCCCCAGAAGGCCTTGGGAAGCCCAGACTCGTCCAGCATAGCAGTGAGTCGCTCAGAGAGGACTCTGTTAGCTCTCTCAGCAACCCCATTCTGCTGTGGTCTAGCGCGAACAGTGTGCTGCCTCTCAATGCCACACTGGGTGGTGAATTCAATGAAGGCGTTGCTCATGTACTCCCCTCCCTTGTCATCTCTGAGGATCTTTAGCTTTCGCTCTGACTGGTTCTCAGCATAGGCCTTGAATGTCTTGAAAGCCTCAAAGACATCAGACTTAGCTTTAATAGGGAGCACAAAGCGAAATCGAGAGAAGTCGTCGATGAATGTGACCCAATAGCGATAGCCAGAGAAGCTGGGGTAGGGGACCTTATGGACATCGGTGTGGACAAGCTCCAGAGGTCGAGTAGCACGCCATTGAGATGAGGGGAATGGGTTTGCATGCATCTTGCCAGCTAAGCATGGCTCACAGATGGGATCTGGCATTTTCTTTGAATCTAGCTTCAGTCCAGTGACCATGTCATGATCAATAAGCTTTTTGACACCTGCTAAGTGATGGTGGGCGAGTCTCCTGTGCCATAGATCCAAGTCCAGAGGTAGAGTGGTCGCTGCAGAGGCATATTCAGAGAGAGGGATGGTGGAGCCATCTAAGAATGCTGCATTGCTGCTGCTGATGGGTGCAACAAACAATGTGGTGCCTGCAGGACGCTGAAATGACATCTTGGTGGAGTCAATGGTGACATGGAAGCCACTGTGGCGAGTGAGGTGGAGGACAGAGAGCAGGTTGTTGCGAAGGTCAGGGACATGTAACACTCTTGAAAACTCGACAGGTCTAACGCTCTTGCCATCAATGACTGGGTTGAAGACCACAGTGCCAACACCAGCAGAGTAGACAAAGGTGTTGTCAGCTAGCTTGATAGGGATGCGATTGGGAGTGTAATTGCGAAGCCAGTGACGATGAGGGGTCATGTGGGATGTGGCACCTGTGTCTGCATTCCAGTCGACAGTAGCATCAAGTTGAAGGGGACAGATAGTGCTTGAAGGGTCAAAAGAGCGAAGACAAGCAGTGCCAGCAAACTCAATGATAGTAGAGTTGATAGGAATAGGAAAGGAAGTGGGAGAGGGCGATGCAGTGGGGTCTGTGAGACTCTGAGTCTTCCTGGAGAGCTTCTTGGTCTTCTTCCTCCTGCTACGACGCTGTCTAGAGTACAGGGAGGCAAGGGTAGACCAGATAAGCACAGGATGATCTTCAACAGCATCAATCTGGGACCTCATCTCCAATGGGCAAGCCAGATAGAGTTCCCCAGCAGCTTGGTCAGCCTTAATGTCCCATACAGCCTGTGCCTCAGGCTGTGAGTCTGCAGGACGCTTCTCAGAGCCACTGACAAGCAGCCACAAGCCCTTGGAGCGCAGGTAAGACTCCATCTCTGATCTCCAGATAAGATAGTTAGAAGAGCTGAGTTGAGTGATAGTCATGGGTGACATAGCAAGGGATCGGGTGGCAAGTAGGACGGTCTAGGATGATGCAGGACGTTCAGGGAAGCAATGGACACGACAGGGAGCGACAGGGGTGGGAGTGAGCAACAGGGGGTAGATGACCAAAAGGGGCTATGGAAAATTTCAACAAAGCCACTTGGTTGAACTCCTCAAAAGCAACACAATGGGTGTTCCAACAGTCCAAATGGTGCTCAGACACAAAGATAAGGGTTTCCTGGGGCGTAGAATGCGATGGAATACACTAGGGAAGGAGTGGAGCAGCAGTTGGATGAGGAATGAATGACTTGAGGTCCTTAAAGCGCAGGGCTCATAACCTGTTAGAATAACCAAGTGAACCAAGCCACAAGTGAGCTAATGAGAGTGAACAGGACTATAGTCCAGTGTCAGTTGCTATTGTGTTGTGTAAACTAATGAGTGTACTATACCTATAGTCCAGTGTCAGTTGCTGAAGAGCAACCAACACAGGACTTGCTACCTATGGGCGAGTCTATGTAAACAAGTGTAAACACTGCCTAAGTAAGTAAGGAATTCACATCACATGCTAAGTGAGAGTCCAATAGAGGAAGCAACATCATAACACAAATAACTCGCACCATAAGGTGCTCAATCACCACAACTAACACAATGTTCAGAAAAGTGTCCTTGATGGTGAGGATGATGCTCATGCTGCAGCTGCAGCCAATGCGGACTCTGTGATTGTTGATAAAGGGCAGCCTGTGTGACGGATCACTTGTCAACACCCAAAACCTTGATTGCCGGCAGGTACTGGAGATTGCCGGCAGCTGACTCGCTACACTGGTTTTGACCAAAACTGAGACCCTCTGGCAAAACATTTGTAGACCCTCACAATGTTAGTTGTGGTGATTGAGCACCTTATGGTGCGAGCTATTTGTCTTATGATGTTGCTTCCTCTATTGGACTCTTACTTAGCATGTGATGTGAATTCCTTACTTACTTAGGCAGTGTTTACACTTGTTTACATAGACTCGCCCATAGGTAGCAAGTCCTGTGTTGGTTGCTCTTCAGCAACTGACACTGGACTATAGGTATAGTACACTCATTAGTTTACACAACACAATAGCAACTGACACTGGACTATAGTCCTGTTCACTCTCATTAGCTCACTTGTGGCTTGCTTCACTTGGTTATTCTAACACACAACACTTCTCTAAATTCTGACAATATATGATTATGATAGCCAGAATTGTTTTCTCTCATTCTATGTACTTTTTCTGTCACAATACTCCATCATCATACTCGAAATCATAAATTAAGGCTAAGTGACCCGTTTCCTATTTAGGCACAGTAGTCCAAACACAACCCTTTCAATTCTTGTCTTCAACACACATCCACACTCACAAATCATCCTGCTGTGCAAGTGCAGCTTGTTCAGTCACCTCCACATTTAGTCTCACACTTTCAAATACTAATTACACCATCCTCCCACTCTCAAACTAAGTGCTGCACCGTACAAAGCAGATCTTGGAGCCTCACTCACTCATGTTGGCTTGCCTGCTGCAGCATACACTGAAAAGGCTACGATCTTGGTAAACATGGAGGGCTGGTCTCAAGTGGGTTGTGTCACACCTGGTACTTCCCATGACGATTGGAAAATTATCTAGTACACTGCCATTTTCATTCCCATTATTTATGCTCACTTCCTATCTTCCAGTGCTCTTTCTGAAGTCATCAGTTAGTGAGAAGGGCTTAGAAGCAGCTTATGCATGATAGATGTATACTAATAGTGGAAGTAGTTGTGGCAATATCTGAGATTGATCTTAGACATGCAAGGCTCCTGCTCAAACCTGATGCAGGACTTGGCTGTGAAGAGTCATGTGCCATGGTATATACCCCTCTTTTCATTGAATAGAAGTCTTATATATTGTGCCACCATTAGGAAAGGTATGCTTCTTGAAGCTCTGCAGAATACTTTCATTTGGAACATCATTGATTTTTCTTCCGCATCAAACCACATACAATACCATCTTGAAAAAGGAGGAAGTTTTGTGCACATTGTCAAGCTTCTTCAAGATGTACAGGATTGTTATATGTTTCAATATGTTCTTTCTACTGATTTGAATGAGAGCTGGATAACACTATGATTGTACTGAGTTTCATCATTAGCCCAAAAGGTAAATTTGTACTTTGACTGGAGTGCAGCCGACTGACAATTATAATTTATAATTGTTATTGAGCAGGCATAACTACCAGGAGGCTCCTGCTCAGATGGCAACCAGCCCATCGAGCGTAAGTCTAGGTCCCACTCAGTGATGTCCTGTTTGCAGCTGTTTTTGGCATATTGATCATCTAGACCAGATTTCACACAGATCTCACTATGTATTCTCCTTATTTACTTGTGATCAACTTTGAGTTGGAACATTAATTGCATTCACAGCTCCTCAATCAACCATAGCATGGCAAAGCTCTTGCTCATCTTTGACTGTGGCAAGCTCAAGCACACATTGGATATTGCTGAATCACTCTTTCCTTTAATGTCTGGTCCTTCAGAGGCAGCATACAAGTATCTGGATGTGACAGATGCTGAGCTTACGCTCATTCAAGTTGCACTAGGCCAGATCTATGAGCTTGAAAATAGACCCTTGATCCTACCTTTGCTTGGTCACATATGAGATAGCATACATCTTCAAGTTACTATAACTCCAGCTTGTCCTATGGTGTTGATGAAACACCTGATGATTTGTGCCCTTACTACTAGACAACAACATCTGATGCATTATTTCAGTGCCAACACTGACTACAACCCCATGGAGGTCCCTGCCTGATTTGAAGTCACTGATTTCATGCACGCCAGCTGTTCAGATGAAGAAATGGGTTTGGATCATCAGGATAACTGTCAGTCTTTGGAGCATTCAGGCAAAAGTGGGTTACTTGTAATGCTTAGCATTGCCTCACTACTCATTGTCTGCAGGTTAGAGGCAGTGTTTGTCGTGCCATAGATTGCCTCCTTCCTGCTATACCATGGATGTCACATGTGTCTGTCATCCAAACTTCATTTGACCACAAACATGGTGACAACTTGTGTTACAGGATGCAGAATATCATACAAACTGCTTGGATTTAAATGTTGGCGCTTTTTGCCCATGTCGAGAAGGGACTAAACATTGGGAGAAAAAATAAGGGACATTAGGCTGGTGGGTGGAGAGATCGACCCAAGCGGCATCCCGGACAGTGAACTCGTTGGTGCGCCATGGAAACCCATTTCCAAAAACAAAGAGTTTGGGAGTGACCATGTCGAATGCAAGAGCGATGAGTCCAGGTGCGTCAATCCAGGCATCAACATCCTTCTTGCCTTCACAGATGTTCTGCAAGGAATTCAGATCAGGATTACAGAAAAGCCAGAGAACGAACAGCAATGTTTATGCTGTGCCCAGCTTTCCTCTGTGAGTTCCCCTCATGGACTGCTGAAATCTCCAAGGTGATAGTTTCCACCGGAGGTGGAGCGTATGAAAGCTTTGCCCACTGTTCACACTCTGAACTATATTGTGCATGGTGGAGAGAATATCCTGCAGCGCCAGCAACCCTGTGCTGGCCTAAGCTCTGTGAATGTTGCCAGGATGATGGCACCAGAATATCTGGTCCTGGTGTGCTAGTCTGACTGATGCTACTGCCTGACAGTTGAGAGAATGGAACCACATGGGGTGGATTTATTGTAGCTAGTAAATAAGTCAATGTTCTGGATGAGCACTGTCCAAAAAAATTCTCATTTCCTCTGTGCATCATTCACACTTTGATGTATGATTTGAGGATCCGGAAGACGACTCATACCAGGCCTCTGCATGCTCTGGGTAGCTTGAATGAGTGGTGCATGCTGACCTGAGACATTTGAACAAATTTAACATCATAATTAGTCAATATAATTATTGTACTCACCTGAAGGTCGGACCGATGATGAAATCTTCTGCTGATATCCTATGTAACATGTTTCACACACGAAGCGACCTGGCTGGCTGGGAATCATGTTAGCGACATAATGACATGGGTCATTCTTGACTATGCACCAACGGCAAGCCGGTCTATCGCAGTTACAGTCTTCTTGGGCAACAGCGTCCTCTGTGAATTGGGAGACAAGTTCCATGGTAAGGATCTAAGGGTTGACTTGGATGGCACCGACTAACTGATACTTTATACTTCTAGTCCATAACATGCTCCGACTGATGAGTTCCAATTTGTCGTGTGCATGTTTGACTTACTGGTATGTACCCTCTACTCTCCTGACTATTCTGCAGGATTTATTGCCAATTAGGGAGTGGGCAATTCAGCAGTGTGCAGTGGCACCTGAGCATCTGACTGGTCTGGTAACTGTCCTGCAGGATTTGTTACAGTGGATTCTTCCCAAAGAACAGGTTGGGAACTGCCCTGCAGGATTCATCGCCGACCAGGGAGTGGGCAATCCCGCAGTTCGCGATTTTTACTTGCAGGGAAATTCATTGCCGACCAGGGAGTGGGCAATCCTGCAGTTCATGATTTGGAAGTTCATTCATTATATCATGCTGTTCTCAGCAGTACCTGAGCATCTATCTGAATACAAGCTCCATTCTTTGCACTGCCTGAGTCCATGCCTGAGTTGCCCGAGTATCTATTGGACCAAAACTCTGCCTGAGTTGCCCAAGTAACTCCATTTGTTCTTCTCGTTCTTCATAATACTTATTTATTGGACCGAAACTCTGCCTGAGTTGCCTGAGTAACTCCATTTGTTCTTATCTGAGACTCTATGTGACTTGGAATTGCACAATCCTGGCGCACTTCCATTTGTTCTTATCTGAGACTCTATCCGATGTTCTATCTGAAACTCTATCTGACTTGGAATTGCACAATCCTGGTGCACTTAAAAGAGCCTCAATGCTATGGAACTCACTTGTCTACACTCTGAACATCCTGGCATGCCTAACCAATGGAAGCCGACTTGTATGTGGACTTTTGATTTTTGGTGATGTCAGTCTAACTAACATTGTGCTGGTAGCACCTCTTGAGGAAATAACACCTCACATGCTGCGCTTGTGGAAAGCCTGTCAGACTGACAAGATGATCGTTGAAAACTTGTGGAAGGTCATTGATACATCCCGCTATGGAATAGGGTCAGTTGAATGTTACTAATTGTTATTGTATCCTAACAATCTGTTGCGCGCACAGTATTACAAAGTTCAAGGAGATACGTAATGCCATGGGTCTTCTGTTAGTTGTGGTGATTGAGCACCTTATGGTGCTAGTTATTTGTGTTATGATGTTGCTTCCTCTATTGGACTCTCACTTAGCATGTGATGTGAATTCCTTACTTACTTAGGCAGTGTTTACACTTGTTTACATAGACTCGCCCATAGGTAGCAAGTCCTGTGTTGGTTGCTCTTCAGCAACTGACACTGGACTATAGTCCTGTTCACTCTCATTAGCTCACTTGTGGCTTGGTTCACTTGGTTATTCTAACAGGTTATGAGCCCTGCGCTTTAAGGACCTCAAGTCATTCATTCCTCATCCAACTGCTGCTCCACTCCTTCCCTAGTGTATTCCATCGCATTCTACGCCCCAGGAAACCCTTATCTTTGTGTCTGAGCACCATTTGGACTGTTGGAACACCCATTGTGTTGCTTTTGAGGAGTTCAACCAAGTGGCTTTGTTGAAATTTTCCATAGCCCCTTTTGGTCATCTACCCCCTGTTGCTCACTCCCACCCCTGTCGCTCCCTGTCGTGTCCATTGCTTCCCTGAACGTCCTGCATCATCCTAGACCGTCCTACTTGCCACCCGATCCCTTGCTATGTCACCCATGACTATCACTCAACTCAGCTCTTCTAACTATCTTATCTGGAGATCAGAGATGGAGTCTTACCTGCGCTCCAAGGGCTTGTGGCTGCTTGTCAGTGGCTCTGAGAAGCGTCCTGCAGACTCACAGCCTGAGGCACAGGCTGTATGGGACATTAAGGCTGACCAAGCTGCTGGGGAACTCTATCTGGCTTGCCCATTGGAGATGAGGTCCCAGATTGATGCTGTTGAAGATCATCCTGTGCTTATCTGGTCTACCCTTGCCTCCCTGTACTCTAGACAGCGTCGTAGCAGGAGGAAGAAGACCAAGAAGCTCTCCAGGAAGACTCAGAGTCTCACAGACCCCACTGCATCGCCCTCTCCCACTTCCTTTCCTATTCCTATCAACTCTACTATCATTGAGTTTGCTGGCACTGCTTGTCTTCGCTCTTTTGACCCTTCAAGCACTATCTGTCCCCTTCAACTTGATGCTACTGTCGACTGGAATGCAGACACAGGTGCCACATCCCACATGACCCCTCATCGTCACTGGCTTCGCAATTACACTCCCAATCGCATCCCTATCAAGCTAGCTGACAACACCTTTGTCTACTCTGCTGGTGTTGGCACTGTGGTCTTCAACCCAGTCATTGATGGCAAGAGCGTTAGACCTGTCGAGTTTTCAAGAGTGTTACATGTCCCTGACCTTCGCAACAACCTGCTCTCTGTCCTCCACCTCACTCGCCACAGTGGCTTCCATGTCACCATTGACTCCACCAAGATGTCATTTCAGCGTCCTGCAGGCACCACATTGTTTGTTGCACCCATCAGCAGCAGCAATGCAGCATTCTTAGATGGCTCCACCATCCCTCTCTCTGAATATGCCTCTGCAGCGACCACTCTACCTCTGGACTTGGATCTATGGCACAGGAGACTCGCCCACCATCACTTAGCAGGTGTCAAAAAGCTTATTGATCATGACATGGTCACTGGACTGAAGCTAGATTCAAAGAAAATGCCAGATCCCATCTGTGAGCCATGCTTAGCTGGCAAGATGCATGCAAACCCATTCCCCTCATCTCAATGGCGTGCTACTCGACCTCTGGAGCTTGTCCACACCGATGTCCATAAGGTCCCCTACCCCAGCTTCTCTGGCTATCGCTATTGGGTCACATTCATCGACGACTTCTCTCGATTTCGCTTTGTGCTCCCTATTAAAGCTAAGTCTGATGTCTTTGAGGCTTTCAAGACATTCAAGGCCTATGCTGAGAACCAGTCAGAGCGAAAGCTAAAGATCCTCAGAGATGACAAGGGAGGGGAGTACATGAGCAACTGCCTTCATTGAATTCACCACCCAGTGTGGCATTGAGAGGCAGCACACTGTTCGCTGCTAGACCACAGCAGAATGGGGTTGCTGAGAGAGCTAACAGAGTCCTCTCTGAGCGACTCACTGCTATGCTGGACGAGTCTGGGCTTCCCAAGGCCTTCTGGGGCGAGTGTCTTGCTGCTCTGGTCCATGTCTGGAACAGATGCCCTACTGAAGCTGTAGACAGCGCTACACCCTATGAGCTGTGGCATGGTAATAAGCCTGATGTCTCACATCTTCGAGTTTGGGGATGCACTGCCTATGTGCACGTCCAGAGGGACAAGAGAGATGGACTTGGCTCCCACATGGAAAAGTGCGTCTTCATTGGCTACCCTGCTGGCTACAAGGGCTGGAAGTTCTACAACCCCACCTCCAAGAAGACAATCATCTGTGAAAGGGCTGACTTTGATGAAAGATACTTCCCTCTGTCCAAGCGCCCATCCAGTCCATCCATTCCAGCTCCCATCGCTCCAGCACCTCCTGTCAATGCTCCCCATCCTCCCAGACAGTCGAAGACTACCTCTGAGCCCCCAGCAGCGCCCTCCTATTACTATCCTCCTCATTCAGATGACTCTGACTCTGACTCTGACTATGATGAGTCCAGTTCTGATGAGTCACTGGATCAAGGGGGAGATGTGGTGCCTCCAGCAGTTCCTGATGTCCCTCCTGTCGTCCCTGTTCCTGATCCAGTCACTCCTCCTCCTGCAGCTCGTCCCAATCCACCTCCTAGACCACCATCTCCCATAGGCATTGGTGCCAGACTCCCTCGACGCAACAGGCAACCTCCCAGAGACTGGTGGAAGCTCTCTCCAGCTCAGCTGAACTGATGTTGTTGATGATGAGACTGAGGATGCTGACTTTGCTCAAGGATTTGAGCTTGCCTTGTCTACCAGCTCTTCCACCTGAGCCATTGTCTTATAGGGAGGCATTGACTCGACTTGATGCAGAGCAGTGGAATCAAGCAGCTCTTGAGGAACTCAATGCTCATCGCAGCAATGGGACTTGGAAACTCGTACCTAGACCAGCTGGAATCAAGGTCATTGGCTCCAAGTGGATATTCAAGGTGAAGCGCAATGCTGATGGCTCTATTGAGCGCTACAAGGGCAGACTTGTTGCCAAGGGCTACAACCAGCGTCCTGGCTTTGACTATGTCGAAATATTTGCTCCAACTGTGCGTATGCCCACCATTCGTGTTGTCCTTGCTATGGCTGCCATCCATGACCTCCACCTTCGCTCCATCGACATCTCACATGCCTATCTCAATGGGGAGATGGACTGTGACGTCTACATGGAACAACCTGAAGGCTTTGCTGAAGGTGATCCCAAGAAGATGGTCTGCCTTCTTCAGAAGAGCATCTATGGAACCAAGCAAGGTGGCAATCGCTGGAACAAGAAAATGCGCTCTGTTCTCGAGTCTATTGGATTCACCCAGTCCTACTCTGATGCCAGCATCTATATCTATGTCAAGGGTGAAGTCAGGATCATCTTGCCTGTCTTTGTTGATGACATGACCTTTGCATCGAAGTCTGCTTCTGCAATTGATCAGATCATCAAGGACTTGTCTCAGCACTTCAAGCTTCGAGACTTGGGCCCTACCACCCAGCTTCTAGGCATCAAGATTGACAGGGATCGCTCCAAGCACTCCATCACCATCTCCCAGCACCAGTACTGCCTTGACATCCTTGATCGCTTCAGCATGGCTGATTGCAAGCCTGTCTCCACTCCCATGCAGCCCAATCTTCGACTCACTCGTGCTCAGTGTCCCCAGACTGCTGATGAGACTCAGGACATGCGATCCACTCCTTACCTTGAAGCTGTGGGTGCTCTGATGTATCTTGCCACCACCACCAGACCAGACATTGCCTACACTGTTGGCTGTTTAGCTCGATTCAACTCCAACCCTGGCCCTGCCCATTGGCAAGCTGTCAAGCACCTGCTTCGCTATCTGAAGGGCACTGCAGACTACTCCATCACCTATGCTCCTGATCCCAATTCCATCGAACTCTTCTCCACATTCTCTGATGCTGATCATGGTGGATGCAAAGACACTGGTCGCTCCACTGGTGGCTACCTGGTCAAGATTGGCCTTGGTGCTGTCTCCTGGTCGTCGAAGCTTCAAAGCATTGTGGCCTTGTCCACCACTGAAGCTGAGTACATGGCTGCAGTTGAGGCAGGCAAGGAGATCCGCTGGATGCGAAATCTCTTGTTTGAGATGGGCTTCCCTGCCACTGCACCCTCTGTCCTTAGGATCGACAACCAGAGCGCCATCTCTGTGGCCAAGCACCCAGAGCACCATGGTCGGATGAAGCAGCTTGATCTCAGCTGGTATTGGCTTCGAGATGTGGTGCACAAGGAGATTATTGCACCAGTGTTTGTGCCCACTGCTGACCAGCCAGCCGACATCCTGACCAAGGCATTGGCTCGACCCAAGGTGCAGTTGTTCTGCCAGATGATGGGACTGAGTAGCTTGAGGGGGAGCTGAGATGTGTAGAGGTGCACAATCAGGGGGGAGTGTTAGTTGTGGTGATTGAGCACCTTATGGTGCGAGTTATTTGTGTTATGATGTTGCTTCCTCTATTGGACTCTCACTTAGCATGTGATGTGAATTCCTTACTTACTTAGGCAGTGTTTACACTTGTTTACATAGACTCGCCCATAGGTAGCAAGTCCTGTGTTGGTTGCTCTTCAGCAACTGACACTGGACTATAGGTATAGTACACTCATTAGTTTACACAACACAATAGCAACTGACACTGGACTATAGTATATCCTGTTCACTCTCATTAGCTCACTTGTGGCTTGGTTCACTTGGTTATTCTAACACCAAGTTGCGCTGGTGTGTTACTCCTGGTTTTGAATCACTATTGGATGAAGGCGTGGTGAGCAGTTGGTATGACATTGATAATGTGCTTCAGGTCATGGTATTTAGATGGGTGTTCATCCCATGGCTGCTCAACATCATTACAACGATCTTGGTCAGCCTCCAGTCACCTGCCAATCAGCTTGGCACATCTACTTAGATTTGCTTCACTCTATCCAACTTGCCGAACAGCTGCTGCTGCCGATAGTTTATGGTAATGTTGACGAAGACAACTTGCTGCTCCTTGAACATCAGAGGGAGTTGTTGTGTGCTGACGGCACTTACTACATGGGCGGTGTACATGGAGGACTGGGTCTTGGTATGTCTTGTGTGTTAATTGAATTTAAACAAGCTCTATTCTAATGGATTGTAAACTAGATGTAACTGACCATCGCCGACTGGATTCACTTGCAGAGCAGGATGAACCGGATACATCTTTACTCCCTGCTGAACAAGTTGTTGAAGAGGAGGGGTTGGTTGCTTGGTTTTCTGATGAGGAGGCCAATGACAAGACATATGTGTTAGAATAACCAAGTGAACCAAGCCACAAGTGAGCTAATGAGAGTGAACAGGACTATAGTCCAGTGTCAGTTGCTATTGTGTTGTGTAAACTAATGAGTGTACTATACCTATAGTCCAGTGTCAGTTGCTAAAGAGCAACCAACACAGGACTTGCTACCTATGGGCGAGTCTATGTAAACAAGTGTAAACACTGCCTAAGTAAGTAAGGAATTCACATCACATGCTAAGTGAGAGTCCAATAGAGGAAGCAACATCATAACACAAATGACTTGCCCCATAAGGTGCTCAATCACCACAACTAACAATATGAGTGGTAAATACCTGGTTCATCATATTGTTAGCTGTACAATATATTATTGAAGGAGGTTCATAGGGTACACGGAGTCCTCATGTTGTGCTTACCTGTTATGGATAATGTCACAGTGACAAAACAAGCATGGCTGTCCTGCTTTCCATACTCTAAGTAGTTCATTACACATCCATGCCCTAATTTTTAACCGACTCCACTGATCCCTGAAACACCTTGAGAAATCCCCCCTGAGTGATGGCCAGGATTTTGGTAATTTTGCACGAGATGAAGTCCAGGCTGGTTAAGGGCTTCTCAATGTCGTTAACTTGTCAAATCTTGGACATATGTCAAAGATTCAATATGACTGTACGTTCTTCCATTGTGATTCGCAGTTTAATCAATGATCAGTATTTAACTAATTATTGTCTCTCTCTTCCTCAGAGCTGAAGCCTGCCATGGCATATCATATTTCCAGTATGACTCCTGCGACCCCTTGAGCTGCACCAGATGGCTATCAGCCATGTGGCCCATCCCCACAGGCCTATCACATTGTATCATCCCATACTTGCATAGTGCTAGCATCCATGGTGTTGGTAGTTCTGGTTCAAGGCACTCTGAGTCTGCATCATTGGCATCGACCAGCTTTATATCTCCAGATGAGGTCAAAAGTATCCAGTGTTTGGCTGAGGCTAGCACTACTAAGGTAGTGAAAAGGCTGTTAAAGGACTACAGTCCGACTGAACAATTTGCCATTGCATGGGTGAAGAGGCGGATCATTCTGAATTCTGTCACAACAACTGGTTGGCTTCACAACATCACACTCAAGGAAAAGAAGACCGCAATGGAAAATATTGAAGAGATCATCAGCCAGGCTAATTTCAAGTTTGCATGCGGCACATACTACTGAGCAATGCCCTGCCTATGCTTCGCAGAACTGATTTGCAAGCTCCAGATATTGAAGCAACTCCTGTGGTAGTAGTGGGGGTCTTCAAGGCTCTCTCGCATAATTATAAATGACTGGCTCAAACATCAGAGACTTTCATGGGTTTGTCGGAAATCTCAAAAATCTATTTCGACCAATTAGGATGCTTTATAATAGTCCTAATATAACGTGTGATTCGCAAGCCATTGCAATAGAAGCCACAGTTTGGAATATATATTGTAATGATGATGTAACAATTATATTTGCACCTGTAATGCTCATTGCATTTCCAATTCTAGCATGTTTTCGATGATTTTTGTCGCAGTTACAATTATTTTTCAACATAATTGTGATCTGTCTTGCACATTTGAATGGATTTGTGTCAGTCATTCCCATAGCATGTTCTGTCATTAAAATAGATTTTCATTGCGTGTTAGAATCATTGTAATTTATTTGTGTCGTAGATTACAATTGATGCGGTACTACATTGTGATTGTTTCACAAATCAAGACTAGATTTTATGGTCACGGTAGGTAGTTTACAATACAGCGGTCAAATTACAATCATTCTGTGTAAGGGTGTCAAGCAACAGCAAAAATCAACACAAGAATGAGATGAAGGGAACAAGGTACATGGAATAAGTAGCGAGGGAACCAACGGAGGGATGTGAAATGAACAGTCTAGGTGAGAGAGCGGCAAGGGAACTGGATGCAGCATCAGTAATAAACAGCCACTACTCTGCTTAGGCTTGTGCAGAGACGCCTTGGAATAAGTAGCGAGGGAACCAGAGGGTTGTGAAATGAGCAGTGAGGAAGCGGTGAGGGAACTGGATGCAGCAGCATTAGTCAACGGCCACTACTCTGCTTAGGCTTGTGCAGAGACACCTTGTCGGCATCGGGTAGTGCCGGCTCTGCGGTGCACAACGACCTTTAAATTAAGTGTTATTAAATGATGCAGATAGATACCCCCAACAATGAGCTACTAGGGGTGAACTCACCTTGAACGATTCATTCAACCGATTCCTTTTTGCAAGTGGACCCAGGGTGCCCCTTGTCCTGTCAATGCGAAACCAGCTCTTAGACTGGGACCTTGGCGCTGGGGGAGATGATTTCAATGGTTAAATTTAAATGTCGAAGTTCAAAAGAGAAACAAAGACATGTACTAATATTTGTTGCGATGCTGACATAATCACGTCACGCAAATTGCAAAGTCCTCTGTAATAGGGGTTGTGAACATTGTCAAGCAGACACTGAGCTAATACATAGATTGTCGATGTAGTAACTGTAAATAACAACTGTAACAATTATGAGAAAATGGAAGGATTGAATCAGAAGAGAGCTGGCATGGCTCAACGATAGTAGTATGATACCTATTTGACATTCTTTGAACGGCCGCACCGTCGGGAGGTGCCGTCATCCCCTTCCGATACTGGCACCCTCGACTTTTTGGCCCTACTGGACTTGGATTTCATCATCTCAACGGCCTGGCTGTTACTCTCTTTGATTACTACCTCTATTTCCTCAGAATCAACTGGTCCATCATGGACTTGAAGCTTGCTGATTGAAGAACAGTGACTTGCTACAGTGTGTGTTGATGTCACAGTATCATTAGTCAATGAAAGAGTAGGTCCAGGAGGTCCAGGAACCTCGTCCGATTCGTGTATGGTTATGGCGCCTGTATTCTTAGCGAGAATGTCAATATTAGCATCATGGACATCTTCGTCGTCAGATAGATTCTCTTCTACTTCTGCTGCTAATCCAAGTCGAGCGAGACGCATCTCTTCTTGAAGATCGTCAGCCGAATCCTTGGTATTGTGAGTGGAGTGGCGAGAAGTTCGCTCGAAAACGAATGTATTGATGTGTTTGATGATCCCCTTTAGGCGAGGCTTCTCCCAGTCGCAGAGCAGAAGTTCTTTCAAGAATGCGTAGAGCATGCCATAGTTGATTCGCGAGGTCTTCCCTTTGCCTTCTTGGGGAAACTCCTGGTCAGGGGATAATAAAAAGATGTTCTATTATTAATAGAAGCACACATTTGAAATTAAATCAGTCCAGAGCTTGATGAATTAAAACCTCGGGACTTACTGCGACAATCGCCCAAGCCACAGCCCCAGGTGTCACTGCTGTAACACCCCACTTGACTGCATTGGGCAGAGCACCGCCCTGTCATCTGCTCTTGTTAGATGATGATGTCCTGCCCTTAAGGCAGCAGCTCAGTGTCTGTCATAATCAATACAATGTAGATTAGATGTTAAATTTAAAGTGAATAGTGACTTACCTTAGCAATAGGTTGCCAATTACCGAACAGCATTTTACGAGTGCGGTCGGCAATGTTCCCAGGAAACAGTAGTGGTGGCAAAAGGGGATACAACTCGCCAGCCTTTCCTGTGATGCCGAGTAGTCGGTGAATATTGGGTTCTGCATCACGAGCATATAAGATTGCGAAGTAATGCTGGGGTAGTTCGAAAATCTGACCTGCAGCACTCCTGAGCTTGTTAAGCTCGGAGGCATGACCAGCACATACTGCCTTAGAAAACTGTAGATAGGCATTAAGTACGTCATAGCATTTTAATTATGAAAATAAATGTATTACCACGTTCGAAAACCGATTCATTGGCACCAGGTGGTGCAGGTGCTGAGGAAGCGTGTCGTACAATTCCGCCAGACATGCGAGCTCCTGCAAACCCGTAGTAGCATACCGCGCAGCTGTATTGAATGGCGGTAGAGGGTTGGGAAGTGTTGTTTTGAGCAGGGCCGCTGGTGGTGGGAACATGTTGACCATAAGACCGTAGTGTTTCGCGCAAACCTTGAGTTCCCCTTCGAATCCTACAATATCTTCCGAAACAGCAGTGTCCTGCTTGCGACGACCCTTATTGGCTGATAGTACTTTGTTTTGCTCCTCCATGATGCAGAGTTGTTCTTTCAGCGCCTGGTTTTCAAGCTGCACATTCTTGACCTCCTGCAGACATCGACAATGCTTCCATTAGTGCTATGAATGAAGATTATTTAGTTCAAACTTGCCTCCACTTCATGTTTAGAATGGCACAATCTTGGTTGAGTTGCGGCTTGACGTTGAACGGGATTAGAGATCAACCCTTGAATGACGCCATGCGTGGACCCGACCCCCTCATCGGACAACAAAGCTTCGTCAGCTGATGAAGATTCGTCGGCATAGCGGTATTGAGTTACTTGGGACATTCTAAGGAATAAGATCAGTGGTGCCCAATGCCAAAGTAGTTACAATTTATATGCAATGGTTTGGATGACGGTCAGTGCATGCGGTGCTTGGTATCAGGGTGTGGAGGACACATTACGAATCCATGACTATCATTGTGTAATGATAGAAACTGCAGGTGGTGGTAAGGAGTGCATAATAAACACCCAGATGTCAAAACACTTACTCCTCCATTGTGTAATTGTCAATATATTCAGAACCTTGATGATTCAAAGCCCACTGAGACATAATGAGAGCACGTCATCTAATCAAAGTTCTTTCGAATGAGTATTAACGCACGCCAAATAATGCATGTGCAAACCTTGATACGTGCTAGATGAGTGCTGCAATATTACCCTTCATCCACGAGGTGTGTTGGTCTTGGCACATCGGATAGGGCGGTATGACTGGTAGAGTAGCGTGCACGCAGCAAGTAGCTGGTGTTATTGTCCAAGAGCTTTCAGGATGAAACATCAGTAGCATTCTGAAGATTAAAATCCATTCTTACACCCTTGATTCACCAGAGAATGCCTTGTTCACAATGTATCTTCCAGTACTGACACTCGCACAACAAGATATGCTGCAATGACATCTGCTGGCGTCTTCTTTGATGAGTCTCTGACAGGGAATTCGGGTAAGGTTTGTACATGATAATAACATGGCTTGAGAAGACATGAGGCGTGAATGTGGCAAAATAGTCTGGGAAGTTGATCTGTGAGAGATTGGCCTTGAGGGAGTTGATGTTAGTCAGTTAATGCCACCCTTGTCACCCGGAACAGGGTGCGAGGCCATCCCAACTGCAGGATTGTCCACTCCCTGGTCAGTGATGAATCCTGCAGAGCAGTTCCTAGACTTGTCCGCTTCATTCCTAGACATCCATTCAATAATCAAGTGGATACAGAGGTCAGTAGTGGCTGAGCAATGTACCTGTTCTTCAGGAAGAATCGGACATGGTGCCTTGAGCACACGCAGCTGGTGAGCAACAAAAGCAAAGGTATAAAATGGATCGCAGACTCACCGTTTACCTACAACTATGAATGTTAACTCTGATTTTGAACTTTTGTTGCACCAGATGTCATCGATCGCCCCTAGTAGACACAGTTAGAAAAGAAACAAGCATTGCCAGACTAACTTACCTGTGATGTCCTTGATTTCCTCTTTCCCATGATTCTGTATTCCCATAGGTGTGACCCTGTTATGCTCATTGAATTTATTGATTGCTCGCTCGTGATAGCTAAAACTGCATGTGCGCGTGGTAGATGGAATGAACTCACGTAAACCAGCGAGTGCAACTCGTTGATTTTTCTCTTGATGTGGTGCTGGACTGATATCATTGCCTCATACCTGGACTGCCAGTGTGCAGCATAATACCGATCAAACAAATAGATGAGAGAAGCCGCAGAGGGCTGGTTGACCGTGCCAGGTGCAGGATATCCCACATCGGCACCTGGCCCTGCAGGATGAACCAGCCTTCAATGAGTCTCAAAGGCCAAACAGATGATACATACCTATAACAATGAATGGAGCGCTCGTGAGCTTCTCCAAAGCACCCGACCTTGGTAGCGAATTGACACCTCCAAGTTCGGTGTTGATCCTAGCAAACGTGTCAACGGTGCACATCTAGACCGAGATCAATACTTGACATACTTCATGCCGAGATTTGTACAATATTGATTGTTCGTCCCCTCGATCTTATTCTCTCACTAGAGGGAGTATGTTATAGGGCAGGTGTCGAGGCGCAGAGTCGAGGGGTGAGTTGCTAACAGACAAGGTAGCAATGAAACCACGAGCCTTGGAGGAAGGGGGCAGCGAGAAGCAGCAGGTGCAGATGTGTGCGAGTGAGCACAGACGAGTGGCGGCATGCAGAAACAACTAAATGCGAGTAAAAGCACAGAGACAAGTGCAGAGGCGGGGTGCAGACCAGTGCAGGCAAGCACAAAAATTAGCAGACAAGCGGGAAGCATAAACAAACGATCAGTTATAGTTTAGTTATAAACGTGAAAAAGCGGTACCTATCGTGCAAGATGCCAGACACAGACATGTCGAAATAGGCATAGACGTGCACACACAAGCACACAGAAATGAGTGAAGATGCTTGTCAGTGATGTACATACATATATAAACGAAAAGATGCACCTAGATTGCACCAAACAGATGTGAATGAGTGCAGGACGAACACACAGTCATCCGATCTGATCAGAGGACCTCCAATGAGAGTATACTGCCATGACAGTCGCTTATGGTGATGGGCGAGAGTGTGAAAAGACAGAATGATACATCAGCGATCAGACCTTGCTCGAGAATCAGAACCGCAGAAGTTTTCAAGCAAAGTGAGATATTGCAAGATCAGACTATTAGTAATAATAATACAATGATTAATGCCTGGCTGCAAGGTGCATTTGCTTCATGTGCAGAAATATGTCACTGTCTACTGTATCCATAACGAGAAAGTCACCAGCTGTAGTAAGATCGGGAGCGAGAGCAACTCCTCGGATGATCGATTCTGCTAGTATGAACTCACTAGCAGTTTCTCTTGGTTGTGATCTAACACGCCAAAACTTCAGGTGTTTGTCCTTCTGGAGACGCCTCCCAGTTATGGCATCATTTGGATGTACAAGGGCGATGGGATAGAATGTGTCATGAATGACACACGTAAAGAGGAAGAGGAGCCGTGCAAAAAAGACACCAGCTGTGGTGTTAACAATGACACAGTCATATCGGGGAAGATTATGGAAACTTGGGCTGCAACGGAGATAGTCGGTGGTCTGACGGAAGTCAACTAGCGACTCGTAGTTAACCTTGAGGAATCGAATGTTATAATAACCAAGTGAAGCAAGCCACAAGTGAGCTAATGAGAGTGAACAGGACTATAGTCCAGTGTCAGTTGCTATTGTGTTGTGTAAACTAATGAGTGTACTATACATATAGTCCAGTGTCAGTTGCTGAAGAGCAACCAACACAGGACTTGCTACCTATGGGCGAGTCTATGTAAACAAGTGTAAACACTGCCTAAGTAAGTAAGGAATTCACATCACATGCTAAGTGAGAGTCCAATAGAGGAAGCAACATCATAAGACAAATAACTCGCACCATAAGGTGCTCAATCACCACAACTAACATCGAAACTCTGTTATCTTCTCGGGATCAGTTATGGGTGAGTACCGACTTTCAAATTGGACTTACTTCGTCCAATGGTAACATGTTCACCTGGGCCTGCTGTGTAATAGTGGGCAAAGAATTTAAAAATGCATTGAGTTTTGTGCGGAATCGTCTGAAGGAGGGATTATCGATATATTGTGTTTCGATTGCCTCCAGAGACTTTTTCGGTTGCTTCGATCCGAATCTGATATGGAAGTTGGATGGGACATTAGTATCGGGGTCATTCTCATTGTCCTCGTCTTTGGCCATCCGAGTGTTGTATGCATCCAGTTCATCCACTCGACCACTGATGAACTCAGAAACAAGAGACCAATGGTCTGCATGTAAAATCTGTATGTAACTTACTAGATTAAAACTAGAACCAATGATATCGAAAATAGAATGACAAACCTGTGGTGCGACATTCTTAAAATTAGTCCGTCATTGATATGACTCCTTCAGGGGGCCGTGACACTTCTCGTTCAGCTTTGTGTTGTAGTTGCAAGTCACTCCCTTAGCCTCGATGTCGTCAAATAGGTGGGCAGCTAGATGGTTCTTCGGAAATGACCAGTTCTTGTCTGGCCGTATAGCTTGAGACTTCTCGATATATTTCTAACAGATTAATAGTTAAAAGGTGATTCAGACAGTCCAATATCACTTACATTCATTAGCTTGGAGAATTTTTTAAGGGCTTCTCATCCTCCCGCAATCGTTGTTGTGGTCTGTACCTCAAGTGCTGCATACAGGTCCACATTGAGGTATGCACGGATACATTGAAGGAGAAGGTAAGCGACTTTACTTTCATCAGTGTTTGGAAGAACATCATGAGCCGTGAATGTAATCAGCTGATTCGATAGTACATAGCTCTATTGTTAGTAAATGGCACCATCATCACTTAGATAGATTAGTTTTACCTTGAAAATATCTTCGTATTTACTTCCATTGGTGAATGATATAGACATAACAGCATCGAAATGGTTCAAATTCCGCCAACGAGGCAGTGCATCAAAACTATTACATGTAGAGCGAGAAGTGAGACAAAATGCTGTGAATTTAACTCAATATGACTTCTGGTCAATTTTCACGGTGGGGTTGCATCCCAAAAGGCCAATTAGTAGTTGTAGTTCTGGCCACATGTGATCCCCGAAGAGACCCCGAAGGACAGCATGAAGTCGGTCATAGCATAGTGCGCGGTGCACGTCAGTAGTCTTCAGATTCATGTCATGAAATGCATTCTAAAAGTAGTCAAGTTAAACGGTTATGAAATGTGGAACAATATGCTATCATACATCAACATCATGAATTGACTGACTCTTAAGTATTGCCTCCTGTCGTCCCTTACGGTGCTCCACCCTTGCCTCAATCAAAAGGGTGTTTGTTGCCTGGCTTGTCCGAAGAGCGTAGTTATGAGGCATGATGGAAGCTAATTCGTCTCCGGGAATCAAACAGATCAGGCACGGAAAGTTGCTCATAACACCCCGAGTGAGTGACATTACACTCCTGGAGTGTCAGAAGTTAAACAGCATATCAATAAAGTTAAAATGTAAACCTACTGCTCCTCATAGTCTGCGGACAGTATCAACACCAGGGTATAGAAGAGCCTTGCAATATTGTCCCAACAATTTGCCCATCGGCCACTTATTGAAGGCGGTACAATTGATGCGAGAACCTTCTTGATGGACACATGCCATACAGCTACTTTGAAGTTGGCAAATTGTGGTGTACCTTTGTATTTCGGGTCCTCTTTGACCTATGACGTGACAGTTAGCTCTAGATATGAAAAATGATCATGAAACGTACCAATGGGAGCCACCCAACCACCTGGCCCCCACCCATCCCGCTTCCGTTTCTGATCATGACGGGAAGGTTTGCTAGGCGAGCGATTACGGGATATTCTTTCTCGCGACCAAATGATGATAGTTTTGACTTGTCAGCATACAAAATAAACGCTAATGGTTTCATGTCGGGAGGTATCTGAGACTATAGTAACATCAATAGCCATATCACAGTACAACATGGAAATAGTTACCTGGCAGTCCCAGAACACATCCGCCGTTCATGGTTCATCGATGAACCTGATGAACGTGTCTCCATCGAATTTTGATAACCATTGGGCATCAAAAACGCAATGCGGGCCGATGATGGGATGTCGCAGAATATCAATCACCCAATCCCAAAGGGGGCAAAAGTAAACTGTGTATTCCTTGTCTGTACTGTCGAGCAGAACTACAACAGTATCCTTTTCAAACTAGATGAATCAGATAGTGTATGAGAGCAAATAAAGACATGACTTACCGGTGTAAATCGATGAGACGCCGCTTCCCAAGTATTCCTAACATCGGCATAATTTTTAAGCGTGAAAACTTTGCTCTTACTGCATTGAACCAAGTGGATAAGGCGTGTTGTTTGCTCATGGGTGAGTGCGGCCTCGTGTGCCAATTCGGCAACCTCAAAGTCAAGTCAACATGAAAATGGAAGCCAGGGCTGGTGTTCCAGGTGGGGTGGCTCGTAATTGTGGTGTCGGGTGAAATCAGTGAACGCTTCGATGCGTGGTGCGATCCTCGCATGTGGGTGAAATTCAGTGTGGATATCGTTGATAGCAAGTCCAGGGACATCGACGTCAGGCTCCGAGTCAGAGCGATCTAATAAACATAATGGTCAAGACACCAAATAATGCTTGACTGATGGAAACTTACCTGATGACATGTCAACATTGGTGTTATAATGGCCATTATCGTGATCATGGTTGTAGTCCTGCTCAATCCAGGCTTGTCATATTGCAGGTTATCAGTTGATCTAAAATGCCCAAGTCAAGATATAAAACTCACCATCGCCATGCGCAGCTCGTACGGACAGGGCTGGCACAGCAGCTGCTGTAAAATTGGTGTTATGTTAGTAGAATTGTACTAATAGTCTAAGCATAAGATCAACCTGCGGACCTTGTACATGCGGGATTGAAGCCCATTGCTCTGCATCTTCTTCAGACTCTCTTGCACGTTGCTCGCAGGCTCTTTGATGACTGTTGAAGCCTTTCGGCTTGAAACTGTGTCCGCAGGTATGACAAACTTGCCGTTTTTCATCTTGTATGTATTGTAGATGTGCAGACATGCTGCGGTGGTGCTGTGTGGTGCTGACAAGACTTCGAGGTGTTATCCAGATAGAGTACAGTGGGGGTAATACAAGAGACGTCTGAATCAGTGGCAGAAAATGGAGTTGACATGCGATTGCAATGTGTGGACTGTGTCATGATAAGCACGACACGTGGACTCTGAATCGGATGATATTAATGAGTCACCAGGAATCCTCGCCAGATAATGGAAGCTCGTGTGGTGAGTAGATTATGATGGCCCTGTTGTAGATGCAGCATGGCGTGAAAAAGTTGGAGCTGTTCGAAGACCTATGATCCTCCTGCGAGGACTCTTGACATGATCAATGGGCCAGTGAGTTGTCAGACTTTTCCAGAGCTGGTGTTGCAAGTTGTTGAGCTTAGACTGATCAGATCAGAAAGGGACATTATCGTCTACGGCAAGAACAATGTAAGTACTGAGAGATGTACTTGATATGGTTCAGAACAAATTGCGCAGCAACGTTGGTCCAGGCAATGACTGTATATATTATTAGAATAAGATGATGCAATTCATATCAATCTTATCATATCTACGGGTGCATTTGTAAAGCGTTGAGCTGTGTTGCAATCAGGTCACGTGCATTACAATGTTCAATTCAAACCTTATCTCAATCATCAGTCATTGTAATGCAGGTGGGAAATTTCTGACATTGTCACAACCTTCAACCATCAGATCCCAATGCTTCCCCCCTGGACCTCCAAAGAGATATGGAAAACTGCCAAGATGAAGTACTTGACCCAAGGATACCCTTCACCTGTTACCTTCATGGTCGCGAGATCACAGACACCTCGGTCTTCATCATTCTGTTTGCAAATCCAGGGGTGGAACAAACATACTCAGCCCACTGGTACTGTTCCAAATTCATGCCACTCTGAGATGAAGACATGCGAAACCAGCTACAGACCACCCCTACTCAGATGTTAGCACAGTTGGCAGATGCAGTGAGTCACTGACGTATATTCTAGCCAGTGTTTGTTAATTTCCTTCTGCATAGTCTTCTCCTACACACTGTAAGCAGAAAAACTACAAAATCGGGTAACCCAATGCACTTTGGCACTGATCTGCATGCCAACTATCAGGATGCTGTCCACAAAGCACTGCTGCTGGCACTGGCATCTCCCATCCACGGGCTGGCATTGGCAGCACATTTGCTAGATCTGCACAAATGAGGCCTGTGAGTAACTGGCTAGCTGGATACAGGGTGCTTACACTTTTTTAGAAAGATTCTCCATGGTGCATTGGGTCTGGATGTCACTGTGCAAGCAGTAGACAATCTTGTTACTGCAGAGGACTCAGAAATAGTCCTTAAGGCACTACAGCATGCATGGGCCACCAGCTTGCTTTCATGGATGTCGGGGCAAAGTCACCATGACCAGCCCCAGACAGAAGGCTACTACTTCACACCCATCTTCATCCCTTCATCCCTGGAGGGGTTAACCCTACCAAGAGCTGATATTGCCCCACCTTCGACCCTGCATAAGGTGTTGATGGCTATGCAGCCGTTTATAGTCACTTTCCCACCTGGTACTATAAATCCCAGACTACTCTCAGCACACATGCCTGCAGGGTATGATTTTGGTGAAGACTTAGAATTCTCTCAATGGCACACTGCAGACACTATGCCCGAAAATGAAAGGTACTTCATTGGCTAGTGGTTTGATGAAGTTCAGACAGTGCCACCTTGTGTTGTCATTATTCCCCCCTACCATGAGCCTAGAAGCTGTACAGAATACTAGTTATCAAATTTTGCTCACACACATTATTAGTACTGGCAGGAATTGCCAGCGGAGTTTGAGTATTATATCCTCTTCCATTTTCAGTACTTCCTCCAGGCCTACTGCCCTCTATTCCACTCCCACCCTGACAAACCCCATGAGCTATGGGAAAGGCATCAGTGGTGGATGCGCTACTGCATTTAGCATCTTTCATCCAACCATCAAAATTCCCTTGGATGAGCTCCTGGGAGATGAGTACAAAGACAATCAAATAGCTGACACACCTTCTGAGGACACCAAAGAAGACGGAAATGACCAAGGCGACATCGACATACACTACAATTGATTCAATAATGTCAGAAAAAAGTTAGCAGGCTTACTACAATACAATACAATACATTTTAATCGTCCATGTCATATACCGGATCTGAGCCCCTCCAATACCACCTGTGAACATCCCTACTGCTGGTCCAACTCCCTGTTTCCCCATCCCTCCTTCTCCGACAATGCATGAAGTGCATCTCAGCAGGACTAGCGCTGCTACCTCCACCTGACTCCACTCCACTCCTCCGACACTACCCCTATTTCCTCTGACACCATATCCCTACCATCCGATCCTATCTGGAGCTCTGCTCCTCCGCTCTGTTGGTCCACCTGATCCTATTCCTACTCCCTCCACCATCTCCGCTTTTTTGACCCACTCGGTTCCTCCAGTTTCTCACGTATCAGTCCACCCGACCATTAGTCTGTCCGACCGCCTCACTGGTCCACTCCTAGACTAGGAACCACTCAACTGGTCCTACCTCCATTTGATATCATAGTTCCTCCTTTTGATCACCAGTAATCCCTATACCCAAGTGATTATTGATCTGTCACATACATACTATTCTCCAAGCCTCTTTCTTGTATGTCTCAGTCATCTGTCTTGTAATTCTGTACACTCAGCACATAGCCTTCTGCTATGCTATGCTACTTATTTAAAGTATATAAACATATGTACATCTGTCTGTAGATCTTTAGTCTGAATATTACCTTTTCTAAGTCCTGTTCTTCTGTCCCTGGACTTGAGCTAGCTCTTGTTTGCCGGCCTAGGGGATTGACTCCCTAGGTTGGCTGCCTCCTCCACTCATCCAACTTCCTGCGCCTTTCCCACATGTCAGACTTGAGCCCAGCACTCTCGCACATCTGTCCTCTTCATTTCCGCTCTGTTTTGGACTTTGTCCGAGCAGTCCTTTCCACTCTGCTTCTATTGTTGGTTCTGACCGCAGTAGTCTTCCGCCTCTCTCCTGTCAGGCGGACCAACCTCTGCCCAATGTTCCTGCGCTCATCTAGTAGTCTGTTGGTCCTCCTTTGGAGAATGTTACCCATACCCCTGCTGATTCATACTGCCAAGAGGTGTTGATGCGAGGATTGGGAAGAGGTCGGGGTCAGCAAAGGTATAAATGATGGGGGTTCCGGGTGTCAATGTGGTCTTGTCATGATACCTTGATCCCACCAATGAGGGCTGCAGCTAGGACCCATGAATTCACTGATGTATGCTGGTCATTACATCCGACTGCCCTTGACTGCTATAAATCTGCTCAGACCAAGTTCTGCCTAGGTGTCAAAGCTTGTGACCTTGTGTAACCTTCATCAGTAAATGCATGAGTCCTTGAAATTGTAGCCGTGGCAACTGTAGGAGGACATAATTCTGCTCCTGCTAAATATGACTGTGTATGATACAAGAAATTTGACTTGTTCGTACTTGGCTATGGATGGCCACCATTATAGACTAGTGGGAGAAGTTCATAACAAAGCCGTGACAAACTTCCTTCGCAGCCAGCAAGGGATGGGAGCACAATGGTGTCCGTGTTGTTGAGCATCTTCATTTGCAAAGATTTATGTGTAATATTAGGTGATCATTCAAGACTTTCCGCAGGACAATGACTTTAATGCTTGTCAACAAATAGAGATTGGCCTGTTGGTTCATAACAAAATTGTGACAAGCTGCCTTCATAGCCAGTAAGGGATGGAAGCACAATGGTGTCCGTGTTGTTGAGCATTCTCACTTGCAAAGATTTATGTTTAAGTTTAAGAGATTATTCAAGACTTTCTGCAGGACAATGACTTTAATGCTTGTTAACAAATAGAGATTGTCCTGGTGGTTCATAACAAAATCATGACAAGCTGCCTTCGTAGCCAGCAAGGGATGGAAGCTCACTAGTGTCAGTGTTGTTGATCATTCTCAGTTGCCACAAATATTGCTTCAATTCTTATGTTATCCGAGACTTCCCCGAAGAATAGTAGCTTTAGCATCAGTCAATAGATATTGGTTGGCCTGACGGTTCATGACAGAGTCATGACAAGTCACCGTTGCGGCCAGCAAAGGCCTGATGGGAGCTCAATAGCATCAACAACATTGATCATTCTCAGTTGTCATCACTTATTCCTTCCCAGGTTTCTCAAGGTGCAGTGCGTGCAGATACTCAATATATAAATGATAATTTTGTTTCTGCATTGAAGGCGTTAAGTACTAATTCTGGGGTTTGAGTTGTTTGAGCAATTTGAAGGGCAAATGGTCTGAAGACTGACTCAGACAGCATGTACTAAATTACTTAGTAGTTGCAAAGTAGTTGTGATACTTTACATATCGGTGCGTGTACATCATAATGTACACATACAATGGTGATGCAAGATGGAGAGAATAAGAAAGTCACTAACAAAGTCATTTTTCTGCGCGAATATGAGGTTGTTGAAGTGGTCTTGAGATATGATATATCATGATGCCGTCCTCCCAGGCCAGTGCAGTTTGGCCCGTGTCACAGTTTTCAGGCAGCCTGTGAGTTATAGAATGAAAGAACACAGGCCCAAGATACAATGGTGATGATTCAGACAAGGAACAAAGCAAAAAAAACTCTTAGGAGGACTATTCAGAAAGACCAATGGTCAGCATTGTCATTGTCATTGTCATTGTCTTTGTCCTCATCTTTGTCTTTGTCTTTGTCTTCCTTGTTCTCATCCTCAGGCTCCTCGTCCTCGGGTTCCTCACCATCTTCACCGTTGTCATCATCACCTTCACCCTTCTCATTGTCACCTTTGCCACAGTGTTGAATATTGCTCCCCCAGTCATCATTTCCATCATCCGCCGAGTCTGAGCCATCTGCCGAATCTGCGTCAGTGCAGTCTCTTGTCATCTACTGCAGGATGGTGGGATGCCCAATTCCACAGTGTGTGTAATGCATGAACATGTCTCGATCCGCAAATCTGAGTGGTCCACAGCTTAAGTAAAAGAAAATGAGATGAGAAGTTGTTGCACTTACATGCCGACATAGTACGCCTCCCAGTCATCTAATTCATCACTTTGACATGCAAATGACCTTCCATAGTGAAGGGAGCTTGTTCCCCACCCAGAAGCAAAAGCCAGAATCAAATGCACACTTCTGATGACCTGGCTGGGATTGAGAAATCCGAATGCATCGCAGTCAGCCTCTTCAACGGAAGCAACCTTCGGCAGTCAAGTGTAATTCATCCCTGACTGGTGACTAGTCAAGGGGGCGAGCCATCTAACATAGAGAACTTCAATCTGGTGCATTTTCATTGAACCTTCAATGTTGAGGCAAACATCCATATGAAATATGCCCAGAACATGGGCATACCAGTAGGGATGTTGGGGTTTCATTTCACCAGAAAGGACCACGACGTCAGAATGCATCCGAGGATTGACGATGTCATACGCTCATTGAAGGTTGTTGTTAGGTACCGTGCCGACTCAGGAAGCAGAGGGGTCGGGGCTTGGCTTCAGCTCTTGCACTGCGCCCTTAGCCCAGTACGTGCCCCGAATTTGGAGCAGGTCCGACATTGTCTGATGGTAGAATGAGTGGTCCGCTTTGGTCCACTTTGAGGGTCGGGGAGTAAGGGCTACTAGTGGTGGGCTGACTAGGAGTGGAGCAGAGAAGGGGGGAGTGATGTGGAGGGTGGATAGGAGCGGGGGGAATGTTTGGTAGGGGCAGAAAGGTGGAGGATAATGTGGAGGGACAAGGGGGAATAGTTGATAGGGGCAGAGTATAAGGGAAAGACTTAGAGCACGGCTCTAAGTCGGAGTGGAGGGTCAGAGGGTCAGAGAGTCAGAGGTGACAACAAGTTGAGACTTGTGTCCAGAGGAGGCAAGGTCCTACTGAGAATTCTCACAAGATGTAACTGTGAGAAGACAAGTAATATTAAGACTGAGGAAAAATATCTAAGTACAGGATATGTTATTTACTTCTATGTATGAGGCAGTGATCAGGATAACTATGTAGTAAATGTTACGCATAACCTCTCGGATGAGATCTGGCAGTGCTAAACCCACAAGGGGTGTTCAAAGTGTGGCCTTCGGCGCTAGCCCAGCAAGGAGCTTGCCTGCGCTAAGTCTGAGTAAGGGTTGAGGCCCTTACTTGCATAGAGTCGATTGGAGCTTCTCGAGGATATGATCCAAGAGACGGAGTTCAACTCAAGAGTATTGTCTCAAGAGAAGATGGTTCTTTGTACAGAGGGAGTTCTCTTTAGGCAAGAGAAGTTCAGACCCAATGACAAGATCAGATGAGAACCGAGTAGATTCAAGTTAGAGAATCTGTCTACTGTACAAGTGGGATATATATATATATGTAAGGGTGATGTACCGGTGGAATGGTAAGGGTACAGGGTAAGCGGAGGCAATACCGAGTTAGTGGTAAGGGTCAAGGGCTGTGTGAGTCATAAGTATAAAGGGGTAAGAAGTACCGGTTGAACGGTAAGAGCAAAGGGTGTGGGGAATCCCCATCAATGAGGGAACCGAAATAGTGGGAAGGGCATAGGGTTCGGTAGAAGCTGAGGCTTCTCTGATCTAGGGGTAGAAGCGAGAGCTTCTCGTGTTTCAGAACAACGGGATCAAAAGAAGGGATGAAAATAGAATAGTCATAACCATGGTCTAGGTCTGGATGAGTCCGAAGAATGAAACAACATGGAACGCTCATGTTACTGTAACAGTAAAGCTATGTACCAAGGATATACAGTAGCTCAAAAAACTGTCCACATGTTTGTGCTATTTTCACTATTTACATTATTGTATATGAATGGACAGGTAGACCAAGGTTATGCTAGTGGGGTACTCTGTAGTACTCCCTTGGGGCGTAAATTTGAGCCCTTGCCCGTGGGAATCCATGGTAATGTCGTGGTGCTATAGGCCTTACAAAATGATGACTCATGCGGACAGTTTTTTGACCCTAGATTAAAATTATATAAATCATTAGTTATGACACCATAAAGTCATGCCACTATTAAATAAATTATGAAGTGGTGTCATTATGACATTATTAAACCTATTGCTAAGTATATAATGAAGTGTGTCCCATATATCATAGTCATAATCACCATGAAAACCATCTCCTCTGCTCAAAGGGATAATATCCTTTCTCTGTCTACTACTGGCCTCTCCACTCATCAAATAGCCTCTAGAACTAGTGTATGCAAGTCTACTGTAGCTAAGCTCATCAAAGAATGTCACCCAGACAAGGAAAACTCCAGTGGAGGTTGTCCATCCAAACTCACCTCTACTGATAGGAGGGTCATTATCCAACATATCACCACAGGAAAGGCTGATAATGCTGTCCAAGTCACTCATCATATCAATTCCATCATCCCTACTCCAGTTTCTTCACAAACAGTGAGGAATGTCCTTAAGGAAGCCAATCTTAGGGCTGTAATAAAGAAGAAAAAGCCTCTTCTTTCCATCACTCATAGGAAGAGAAGACTAGCCTTTGCCCTAGCCCATCAAAACTGGACTGTAGAGGACTGGAAGCGGGTCATATGGTCTGATGAGACTAAAATCAATAGAATTGGGTCAGATGGGAAGGTATATGTGTGGAAAAAGAAGGGGGGGCCCTCTTACAGACAGAGAGATTAATGGAACTCTCAAGTTTGGAGGAGGTTCTCTAATGGTATGGGGAACTATGGGGTGGAATAGTGTGGGAATGCTTGCAGAAGTTGAGGGGAGGATGGATGCTGAGCGGTATGTGGACATCCTCAACCACCACTTGCTGCCTACCATGGCAGAATCAGGAATTGATGAAGAAGACATTATTTTACAACAGGATAATGATCCCAAGTATACATGCAGAAGAGCCAGAGAATGGTTTGAAGAGCAAAATATTCACCTCCTTGACTGGCCAGCACAATCCCCTGATGTCAATGTCATTGAACACCTCTGGGGAGTACTCAAGAAGAAGCTTTTAGCCTATGAACACCCTCCTAAAGGAGTGTGGGAGTTATAGGAGAGAGTTACAGTGGAGTGGGGAAAGATTACAGCAGAGGATTGTCAGAAATTGATTGAAAGTATGCCTAGAAGGATAGAGGCAGGAATTAAGGGCAAGGGAGGTCACACAAAATACTAGAACAGCTAATTATCTGTGTAAAATACTTGGGTCAAAAAACTGTCCACATGAGTCATCATTTTTTAAGGCCTATAGCGCCACCACATTACCATGGATTCCCACGGTCAAGGGCTCACATTCATGCCCCAAGGGAGTACTACAGAGTACCCCACTAGCATAACCTTGGTCTACCTGTCCATTCATATACAATAATGTAGATAGTGAAAATAGCACAAACATGCAAACAGTTTTTTGAGCCACTGTAGTTTGTAAGTACTTTACATAGGCGAAGACATAAGTCAGAGTAGATATCAATATGTACGCGTCAGATCAGTGATTGAGCGGTAAGGAGAATTACCAGTGATCCGGAAGTAAGGGTCTATGTACCGAAGGGGAAAGTATATATCTAAAGGGGGAAAGAGATCCAGTTGAGTGGAGAGGTTATGGAAGGGGACTGGTTGAGTGGTTGAGCAGAAGCATAGGGCGGAATGCGGACTTGTGATTGGATGGAGCAGAGGATGGATGGAGCGGAGGGGGTCAGAAAGCGGAGTGGATATCAATATCGGAGCGGTCAGATCAGGTATATGACAGTTGTAAGTTGTGTAATGTACCTAGTCGATGGATTATATAGCAAAACCATTATAATGTGCATAATGTACCTGCATTGTTTGGATGGAGTATATCTTGTTGTCTGGAATGATGACCATATTGCACTCGTCTTCTGTGAAGATATGGTCGCAATGGCTGATGTCTAACCCCCGAAGTCAATATAGTATGTGATCTTTGAGCCTTGGTATGAATGCCTACAAGCGCATACTGCTACAGCTGGGTCGTTATTGTGTTGTTGAAGAAATTTAAAGATATGGAATGGGTTGTTGCAGTTAAGTTTCAGAATATAATGATGACCTTTGAACCCTGCAGGCAGGTTGATCAGAGCCTGCTGGATAGCATAGAATTTTTTTCCTGTTTCTGCTATGCGCCGTAGGACACATTGACAGTGCTCATGTTTAGTGAGTTGGGCCGGAGTGTGTAGTTGGCTGGTCAAAGGATAGAACACTTTCAGCGCTTTATGTGCCAACTCTCCCTAGTCTAAAATCAGATCAAGAGAAGAAAATATGATGTGTTCACCTACAATTTGCATAGTAAAGGAGTCTGTTGTCCCAAAGAGCCAGATTGTTTGCAAATAATCCCCCATGGCATGAAATTTATAAGTACTCAAATCAAATTTCTTAACCTTTCAACCACTGTTCCTGTCATATACCTGATCTGACCGCTCTGATATTAATATCCACTCCACTTTCCGACCACCTCCGCTCCATCCATCCTCCACTCCATCCAATCACAGTCCACATTTTGCTCCTATGCCTCCGCTTGACCGCCCAACCGGTCCCCTTCTATAACATCTCCATTCAACTGGAACCTCTTTCCCCTTTTAAATATATACTTTCCCCTTCAGTACATAGACCCTTACTTCCGGATCACTGGTAATTCTCCTTACTGCTCAATCACTGATCTGATGCGTACATATCGATATCCGCTCCAACTTATGTCTTCGCCTGTGTAAGTACTTACAAATTATATCCTTGGTACATAGCTTTACAACATAGTTATCCTGGTCACTGCCTCCTACTTAGAAGTATATAACATATCCTGTACATAGATATTTTCCCCAGTCTTAATATTACTTGTCTTCTTGCAGTTTCTACTTGTAAGAATTCTCAGTAGGACCTTGCCTCCTCCGGACACAAGTTTCATCTTGTTGTCACCTCTGACCCTCCGCTCCGACTTAGAGCCGTGCTCTAAGTCTTCTCCTTATTTCTCCACTCCTATCAAGTATTCCCCCTGCTTCTTTCTACCCTCCACATTATCCTCCGCCTTCTCTGCTCTGCTCCTAGTTGACCCGACGCTAGTAGCACTTACCTCCTGACCCTCAAAGCAGACCTAAGCAGTCCACTTGTCCTATTGTCGGACAATGTCGGATCCGCTTCAAATTCAGGGCATGTGCTCAGCTAAGGGCGCAGTGCAAGAGCTGAAGCCAAGCCCCGACCCCTCCGCTTCTTGAGCCGGCACGGTTCCTAACAGGCGGAGGGAAGGGACTTACTGAAGGTAAAAATCCCACAATGTGACATGTGCCAGAGCTGGGCACTGAGCATGCGTACTTGCTCAAATTTCCAAAGTACAAGTACAGGGGCCAAGCCTTAGCCATTCTGAAGTTTGCAAGGTGAGTTGCATCAGAAAAGAACATGAGCCCAGTGGTGACACGTTCAAGCGAGCAGCCAGGTTCTTTGGGCTGCCTCTGCAGGTCGTCCTGAGCTTCTAGCCAGGAGTCGGAGGTGTAGAGCTCATTGAACATGTGCTCTTCACGGCCATCCAGGGGATCCTTCCACAAGTGCTTGAAAGGAAACAGATGAATGGTGTTGGCTTGAACGTCAGCGAATGCAGAGCAAATAACTGCTACAAGCAGCTAGTAATGAAATCCTGGAATGCTAAACAATATGAACTGATCATCTTTAGACTTTGTAGGAATGTCCAAGTTGACCCCCGTCTCAACCCAATCATCGGGAAAATTGATGGTCTCCTAGCTGTTGTCATTGTCCAACATCCGCAGGCACCTTCTGACAGAAAACCCATCCAGGTCCTTGGGATTGAAATCGTTGGCTTGAATCATGTCTTTGATGAGATGCATCACTTCAGTCTGCGACTTCTGGTGGCTGCCAGAGTTCATGCACGTCATGAGATGATAGATGGTCATGTTAGGAAAGGGATGAGGAGGTTCGGTGACTGCAGTAGGTGGGTCGAACCCTTGGGCATCGTGCACGTTGGTAGTCATAGGAGATGATTTGGCTAATAGCAAAGATGGGACAAATTTGTCAGGCTCACATGATGGGCGCCGAGGATATAGTCGAGAGAGCCCAATTGCGTTAAATGTCATTTGGAGAGCCTCTCATAGTGTCAAAAGAACCCTTTGGATTCTATGCTGTGGTGGATTCTGAGTCTCTGTTGTACTACTCACAGAAAGATCATTCCCAGGAAAATTAGAGGGATTGATGTCTTCATTGGCAGGCAGAAGGTTGTTGAAACTTCTTGGTACAAAAGTGCATCGTGAAGGACGTTGATGTGATTCTAATAGTAGCCATCCAAGAGTATTATCACAATAGACAAATTCAAAAAGGTGTGCACCTGGAATGTCATAGTTGCCTTTGGTGGCATCTGCCATTCGCAACGTCTGAGTCCAGTAATGCACTAAAAGCTGAGGCACCAGTGACCACACTGACTCGGATACTACTCAGATTGACAACATTAATAGGTGCCTTGCTCTTGCCAGTGAACTTTGCCTTAGGTTCGCAATGGGCTATAGGTTTCGCACAATGATCCTTTGTGAATTGGACTGACTGAAGTGGCTACATCAGATACATGAGTCTAATTTGAGTGACCTGTGGAGTAGATTACTTACAGTAATGCTACTAGTCGTCAATTTTTGTGATAATTGAACTGACTCTTTTGCCTGTTCCCGCCTTTTCTCTGTGGCTGATGCACTTGCCTTCTGGTATTGCCTGCATGTAGCGCAGATGCCAGCTAAGCCCACGAGGATCTGTTTCTTTTGCCCAGGAACAACCTGTTGCATTGCAGTCAGTAAGGACATGGTGACCATTAAAAGGAGCTGGACAAGTGGCAGACCAAATTGAAGCCAAGGAGAGAAACACATTCAAGGTTTGTTACACCTAGGCACTGAAATATGAGAGACTCTGCAGACTTTGGTAAATTTTGAAGACAGTCACAGTAAACGGTTAACTCACGTTATTTTGGTGGTGGTATTGATATCATTTGGATTGCAGCTAGTCTATTTATGTAACCAACTGCAATTCCTCTAATAGGGGGTGAGTTACAGTAGCATAGTCAACCAATACCAATTAACATTGTTTATTGTTTAGAGGTGGGGTGTTGCCTTTTAGCCAGTCAGGCTAGAAGAACCCAGAAAAGCTAGGCATTCATTGACTTAAGTCTAAGACTTGTTGATTTTACACCAAACCTTAATCGTTGGAGTTGACAGATGCCTAAGAGTTAGTTTTGAGAACCTTATTTTTTGCCACTAAGCCGTTTTAGACCTATGTTAGGTCACTGAACCATCAGTTGTTGTTCCCCACACAACGCATGTATACAGCGAACTTTTCCGTATTGAATATGACGTGCAGCGTGTGTGCTCAACTCTACTTTGTCACCTGGCTCACAATGATAAGAGTGAGTTCCACTCATACTAGCAACTTGCTACCATGTCTCATAACACACATCCTTGTGCAAACGGTATTCCGAGTCAGCCATCTTGGGTCAACAACATGATGGCCCACATCAAACCTGATCGAGTTTCAGAATTCTCTACATCTGGGACTGGGGATGATGTCTCTGTATTCTGAGAACCTGATTCGTCGTACACAACAGACCCTTTTATCCTCCCTGCACCATCGCTTCAGCCTCTGTCTGGACAGAACTTGAAGTTTCCAACACCTGTCCTTGCAGCGCTTTTAGACAGGATCTCCAAAAATCAGAGATCGGCCGCTATGCAGAATGACGAACGGAAGGACAGTGACTCAGAAAGGAAGGTGAGTGTTTTCAGCCTCTGTATTACTTTGCAGCACTTATGAGATACCATTAGAAAGCCAAAGCTGATCGAGTAGGTGGCTTGGAGGTGATACGAACACAAGCTACTTGCAACACTCGCAAGCGGAAGCTTGATAATGTCAATATTGACTCCAACAACAACTCCAATGAGAATATCTCTCCGCATTGTGTGCCCAAGCAGCTGTCTCCACCTGGTGCTCCCACTACTAAGTGCATCTGTTGTGAGAAAACAGGAACTGAATGGCAATCAGTCCTTGATGTTATCAAGCATGGTGAGGAGATACGAAGCAAGCAAAATAATGCTATCATTGAGGAAATGAAGGCCTGTACTGCTGTTCTCGAGAGAACTTCTGAGCGCTACTTGGAGGCAGTAACACACACAACACAGTAGATGCTGATGACTTTGTTAATGCATACATAGAGACAGCATCCTTATCAGTGGATGTAATGTCAATATTGTTTGACAGTGTGTTAATAATGTGTGAACAAATAAATGGGTCAGCAAGGTTGAGTCCATGTAGAAGAAGAGGCATGAGCTGGGGCATGTCATTGTAGTCAGCCGAATCCTCCGAGAGTACTGAGTATCACGAATAATGACCATGTAGTCTGTGCAATACACAGATCATCAACCATCAAATGCAGATGACCGAGTACCGATGATTTATTGCCGACGACTTAGCACCGCTGATCGAATACCAGCGGCCTATTACCGACGACTGACTGCCGACGACCGAGCACCAAATATCGACTGCCAAAGACTATGTACTGACGATTGACTGCCGAGGACCAAGGACCTCCGACTGAATACCAATGGCTGATTACCGATGACCAAGTGCCGATGACCAAGTACTGACGGCCGATTGCTGACGACCGACCATCAACTGCCAATGACCAGATGTTGGCAGTCGATGGTCGGTCATCCGCAATTGGCTGTCGGTACTTGGTTGTCGGCACTTGGCTGTCGGTAATCAGCCATTGGTATTCAGTCGGAGGTCCTTGGTCCTCAGCAGTCGATCATCAGTACATAGTCTTCGGCAGTCGATATTTGGTGCTCGGTCGTCGGCAGTCAGTCGTTGGTATACTTCCCTGCCCTCACTCTAGTGACTCTCCTAGGAATATCTAATGACTGACGATCGACTGCTGAAACCCGGCGGCACTTGGCAATTGGCGTACAGGACTTCATCGTCAATGGTTGTTTTTGTGATCATTCAGGCTTGGGCATTGGTACTCGGTAACCAATGCTTGATGATCACACCTCAATGCACAGAGAATCAAGATCTCAGTTGTCGGTCGAAGTATTGTTATTCAATTGTGCCCAGTTGCAAAGTCAAAGTGAATCTCCTATTCCATGTGTCTGGTGGAAGTCACATATGATGATCGTACACTAAGATAAGGATTACGGTCGTGTGCTATCTACATCTTCGGGTATCCTACTTGGACCCTGGTGAATTTGGGTCTTGAACCGTTGAATCAGTGAATCTACGACTTTGAGCATTTCAATGCTCACCCACTCAGCCCTCTGCATCCTTTGAAGCTCCTGATCGGCCCGTGCCAGCTTGTCAGATGTCTCCGCCCAAGCAGTTCGAAATGGTCGCTCTGCCTCCAGGAGCTGCGGTATGGACGGCTCTGGAAGGTTTCCGTGAGTAGTTGTGAAGTCGGCCAGTTGGGTTTGAAGATTCTGCACTATGATAGCAATGAGAACGACGCGCTGACATAGACTTGCAATTAATACTCACATCCCACGTCATGATATGACCCAAAAGGCCGGAACTCCTGAACCATAGCTTGGAGCTCTTCGTTGTCGAGGGCCGGAGGTGCTGGAAGGCATTCAGCATTTGGTGGATTCACTGATGGAGTCAATCAGGTATGGAAGGCCTGGTGTTGCGAAGCACTTACAATATTCCATGGGTTCATCGGACATCTCTTCTGGCCCAAGGTACAGTGCCAGACTGATGGCTTGGCCCGGGGGATCACTGCTCGCGCGGTGGGACGGCTCAGGCACACCAATCCCACCATCGAAGTCGTCTTCCAGGCCGAGATATAGCTCCTGACTGATGTGCGGGGGCATGGATTCATACTCCACCTCATTGTCCAGCCCAAGATACAAGTCATCTGATGGCATGTGTTAACGAATAGAAGCATGTAGGAAGACATCTTACCGAACATTGGCCATTCCTCCCTCATCCACAGATCTGTCGAGCTTGTTGACGATTGTGCTTGACTAGCATCGTCAATGTCCATGTCGATGATGTCAGTCACCAGTGGTTCCGTGAATCGCACTGTGGGGTGAGAGTGCATTGGGCTTGATGGTCTAACTGATCCACAGATCTCACAATTTGATCCTTGAAATGAGTGGTTTATTCGCAAACTCCTGAAATGTGAACATTGTGCAAATAATCCACAACAATGAAATATTTATTGACCGAAGTTTGATTGACTTGTGTCTTTGTAAAACTGCTTCCTTGCCAGCTGTTACAGCATTTCATAACTTTTATTATTGATCTCTATATCCTTGATGTCTAACCAAGCCAACAAGTCCATGGCCGATCTCAAGGAGATCACTGGCCAACTTCTCGTGATCGTCCGCGCTGCCCAGCAAATTCCCCCTGGTCCCAGTCACTTCGCTCTGGCGACACAGGCAAGTGAATTAGTGGTATGTATATTACATCAAAGACATACTTTATATGATCGCTCATCTCCTATCAGGCAAGGGCAGTCTGGGATCATGGCAAGTCCGCATGCCTCCCCGGGCTCGTCTTGTCTTGCTCAAGAGAGTTGATCCAGACCCGCAACTGTTCTCCACAAGAGGCCCCGAACTGGCGCAGCATCGGCCATGACGACCCTCAACTCATGCAGCACAGCTGGTGCAGCAAGGCCCTCGCCTGGCAAGCCTTGGGCGACCACTTGTTCAATCTCGCACACGAGGTCGATGGTAGTGCCACCGACAATGCTCCCGGTCCCTCGACGAGCGTGGATGGTGATGCTTTGGAGAAGGGGAAAGAGAAGGCGAGGGAAGTGGAGCCAGAGCTGGAGAAGGAGATGGAGAAGCCGAAGGAAGAGCAGGAGAAGCCATGCAGGAAGCAGCCTTTCTCCTGGATGTCAAAGCCACTCCCGAAGTCGGTGATGAAGACACCGAAGAGGGGGAAGTCGGGGCAGGAGCAGAAATTGAGAGAATCGGTGGATTCATCGGACAAGGAGGAGGAAGAGGACGGGTTGTCAAAGGTACACTTTGTTTTTTCTGTGATGACCTTTACTCATGCAGTGGTGTAGCCCCATTCCGACACATCCTCCGTGATTGTGACTTGGCGGGTTTCCGCCACCCAACCATCAAGGCCATCCGGGCCTCCCCGATCCCTGGGCTCTCCGAAGAAGGCCCCCTTCGGCCCTGTAACGGTAAGCTAGACTCATTGCCTCAGGTGCCTAATACTAACATTTAGCAGACACCTCCGCTCATGCGCCCTGACGTCCCTGAGTCGTCTCAAGCGACTTCCAAGAGCCCGAGGGATGTGCCCCTGGTTGTGGATGCCGGGGCCATTCTCATTCCCAGACCGGTGAGTACCACCAAGATATTTCTCACTGTCCCGACTGACTGACCATCCCCCACAGAACAACCCGTGCAGGTGTTGCACGCAGTATGAGCTGCCGTGCACCACCAGGTTCGATAAGCGAAAGGGCACAGCCCTTATGTCGTGTGTCCTGTGCACAATGAAGAAAGTGAAGTGCATCTCGGCACATCTCAGGACCCTTGCCGCCACCACACGAGGGCGGTCTACTGAGTGGACGAGGGCCTCATCGACTGGCCCGTCGACCTCCCAGTCGAAGGTGCAGACCCAAAGTCAATCCTGGGGGCCGTCGGTAGTTCCGAGTGAGCCTCGGGGCAACCCCCCCAAGCCATGGTCCCAGGGCCAAAGCAAGCCCACAGGCTCGGTGATGATGCCCATCCCCCCTGCAGCCAGTAAGTAACTTCAATTAATGCAACATTTGCTGTTATTGATTTGATTCCAGTCATTGCATCATCGAGTTCGGCTGCCCCCCATGCAGCCCAGGACTTCCCGATCCTGGACCTCCACTGGATGTCAATTGCGATTCATGAGAGTGCGAATCACATCGCAGCTCTGGAGGCTCGTGCCTCTGCACAGGAGAGCACAATTGATACGCTCCGAAGGCTGCATGAGAGCCTCTGACATCAGATCATGCAGCGACATCCGTCATTCCCCCTCCCGGAGTCTCCTCCCGCTGAACCCTCCTCTCTACTCATGGATCAAGCCGCTCCCGGGTCGCAGTCCCACATCCACTTGGCACCGCTGCCACTCATCGACTTCGGCATCGACTCGACAGGCGAGGAAGGCTCCACCATCGTTGCCCCGGTAACCAAGCCAACACACCCGCCCTCTCAGACTGAAGCGGTGTTGGACCCTCCTACTGCCATTGAATCGACAGTTCCCGTCGATGCAGTTCACAGCCCGGCCGACAATGGCGCCTCCACCTTCGCATTGGCTTTCGCACTTCCGGCCCCCCCGGCAATGAACCCCACCCCGTTGGAGACTCCCAAGGATGGCCCGAGCGCCGGTGAGATTGTTGAGCATGGGTCACCCCTCAACCTTCTTCTGGAATATGATTCCGGTGATGAGCAGGATGCCGTGATGGAAATGTAGATATACCACGATCCATTGTACTATACTGTGAATATTGTGAATTATTTGTACCATAGGATTGTAGAGTACTCAGCAATCAGTACAGCATACCCACCATTGTGCAAACCTCTGAGCCCCACGCATGTAGCAAAGAGTCCCAAGGACCGAGTCCTGAGCATATTGGTGCTCGGTACTCGGTCTTTGCCTTTTGGCTTTTGATCCTCGGCCCTCTGACCTTGATACCCAATGTTCATTGGCACTTAGTCCTCGGTACTCAGTACTTGGTTCGGCTCTCGGTACATGTAATTGGTACTCGATACTCGATACTCGGTGCCCGGTTCGCCATCCTCCCAGATCCTCAGGTACTCAGTCCTCAGCTCTCAGTCCTTGGTCCTCGGTACTCGATACTCAGGTGCCTGGGCCACCATCCCCAACCCTTGGTACTTGGTACTCAATTCTCAGTACTCACCACCCGGGTCGCGGTTCACCATTCTCGATCCTCAGTACTCAGGTTCGGAGGTCTCAGTCCTTCGACCCTCGATACTTGATCCTCACTCCCCAATTCGCCATCCCCGATCCTCGGTACTTAGTGTTCAGTTCACAGGTACTTCAGTTGGCCATACTCGGTACTCGGTTCTGAGGTCTCGGTACTCCGTCCTTCAGTACTTGATCCTCAATGCCCTGGGTCGCCATCCCTGATCCTCGGTACTCAGTACTCGGTACTCGGTGCTCCATTTGCCATACTCGATACTCATTTATATGATGGTTCTTGCTACTAGATCCTCCATCCTCAATAATCATTGATGCACCTACACCATCTAACCGATCGGTCTGATTTACCACCACTTCAACCCATCCATCCTCACAGCATTCATTCATCTCAGTCCACCCATACATACTTTACACATCCACCTCGGCCTACCAGTGTATACAATATTCATTCACCTTGGCTCACCCATTTCATCTCATATACATATGAGATCCATCTATCTCAGGCCCATCTGTCTATATGATATATGTCTTACCTTGGCCCACCCATATACGATATACATCAATCTCGGCCCATTGGTACATATGATGTTCATCTCCCTTGGCCCATCCATCCATATGATATGCATCTCTCTCAGCCCACCCATCTACAAGATATACATCTACCTCGGCCCATCTGTCATATACCTGATCCGACCACTCCGATACTGAATATCCGCTCTGCTTTCCGACCCTTCCGCCCCATCCATCCTCCTGCTCCGTCCAATCACAAGTCCGCATTCCGCCCTACACTTCTGCCTCAACCGCTCAACCGGTCCCCTTCCATAACCTTTCCATTCAACTGGATCTCTTTCCCCTTTTAGATATATACCTTCCCCATTGGTACATAGACCCTTACTTCTGGATCACCGGTAATTCCTATTACCGCTCAATCACTGATCCAATGCGTACATATTGATATCTGCCCCGACTTATGTCTTTGCCTATGTAAAATACTTACAAACTATATCCTTGGTACATAGCTTTACTACATAGTTATCCTGATCACTGCCTCATACATAGTAGTATATAACATATCATGTACTTAGATATTTCTCCTCAGTCTTAATGTTACTTGTCTTCTCGCAGTTATATCTTGTGAGAATTCTCAGTAGGACCTTGCCTCCTCTGGACACAAGTCTCAACTTGTTGTCACCTCCGACCCTCCACTCCGACTTAGAGCCGTGCTCTAAGTCTTCCCCTTATTACTCCACTCCTATCAAATATCCTCCTTTGCCCCTCTGCATTATCCTCCGCCTTTCCCACCCCTACCAACATTCCCCTGCTCCTATCCCCTCTCCGCATCACTCCCCACCTTCTCCGCTTCGCTCCTAGTCGGCCCACCGCTAGTAGCTCTTACTCCCCGACCCTCAGAGCGGACCAAAGTGGTCCAATTGTCCTACCGTCAGATAATGTCGGACCTGCTCCAAATTCAGGGCACATAATCGGCTAAGGGCGCAGCGCAAGAGCTGAAGCCAAGCCCCGACCCCTCTGCTTCCTGAGTCAGCACAGTACCTAACACCATCCATCCATATGATATACCACTATCCCGGCCCATCTGTCTATATGATACATTTATCTTGCCACATCCATCCATATGATTCACATCCACCTCGGCCCATCCATCCATATAATATACTAATACCTCAGCCCACTCATCTTTATGATCCATCTCCCTCGGCCAACTCGTCTACTGTATTCTACTCTAGATATTACGTAGATGGGCCCACCCATCTTCAATGAGGATATTATTACATCGGCCCATGGTCCGCTAACCCATCTAAGATGGTGTATTATGTCCCTCGGCTGGCCCGTCTAAGATGGAGTTTGGTCACTGTAGTATGTGTTGGGTAGGTAAAGGAGCTGCGGCAGATGTTAGAATATGGAAATATATTTCAGTAAATAGCTGAATCAAAGAACATAATTTGTAGTCTGATGCCGACATGATATCACAATGTGCTTTTGCAACTCGGTCAAAATACCACCTATCTGAGCAAAGATAATGTGTATCTACAAAATCAAAACACTAGACATAGCTTATCATCTCCTCAAAACTCCACAACCCTGCTCCTCAGCATTCAAGCCATGAATCATTATGTCACTGCCAATTTGTTAAAATTGGGATATCAGTGCAACACTGGAAAAATTATTGTGGCCATTTTTGTCTTTCCCAATGCCAGTCAGACTTGTGAGTTTGACGTAATACACTGATGTTTGCCTTATCTTCACATCAGGACAGTCTTGCTGTTATTGTATGAATTAAGTACTAGTGTCAGCCTCACACATTGCACCTATCATCATGGCAAGGTGCCAAAGTACTTGAGATATACAGTGGCTCAAAAACTGTCCGCATGTTTTCACATTTTTCACTATCTATGATATTTTATGAGAATGTACAAACACATCAAGGACATGCTGGTACCATATTGGAGTACTACTTCAGGGCTTCCAATTGAGCCCTATGGCGTGGGAATCAGCCGAGATATGGTGGACATATGAGGCTTACAAAATGATGACTCATGCGGACAGTTTTTTGACTCAAATATTTTACAGTGATAATCAGGTATTCTAGTACATTGTGTGACCTCCCTTGGCTTTAATTACTGCCTCTATCCTTCTAGGCATACTCTTAAAACTATATCTAACTATATAAACCAGAATGTCTTATGTGTCATAGTCATAATCACTATGAAAGCCATCTCCTCTGCTCAAAGGGATAATATCCTCTCTTTGTCCTATGCTGGCCTCTCTGCTCATCAAATTTTCTCTAGAACTGAAGTATGCAAGTCTACTGTGGCCAAGTGTATCAAAGAAAGCCATCTGGACAAGGAAAACTCTTGTGGAGGACGTCCACCTCTGCTAATAAGAGGGCTATCATCCAACATATCACTACAGGAAAGGCTAATGATGCCGTCCAAGCCACCCATTATATCAATTCCACCATCACCACCACTGTCTCTTCACAAACTGTGAGGAATGTTCTCAAGGCAGTTCATCTCAAGGCAGTAACAAAGAAGAAATGCCTCTTCTCTCTATCAAACATAGACAGAGAAGACTACCTTTGGCTTGGCCCATCAAAACTGGACTGTAGAGGACTGGAAGCATGTTATATGGTCAGATGAGACCAAAATCGATAGGATTGGGTCAGATGGGAAGGTATATGTGTGGAAAAAGAAGAGGGATTTTCTAACAGACAGAGAGGTTAGTGAGACTGTCAAATTTGGAGAAGGTTCTCTAATTGTATGGGGCTGTATGGGATGGAATGGTGTGGATATACTTGCTGAAGTTGAGGGGAGGATGGATGCTGAGCAGTATGTGGACATTCTAAATGACCACTTGCTGTCTAGCATAGCTGAATTAGGGATTGATGAAAAAGACATCATTTCCCAACAGGATAATGATCCCCAGCACACATCTAGAAGAGCCAGACAATGGTTTAAAGAACATAATATCAATGTTCTTGACTGACCAGCACAGTCCCCTGATGTCAATGTCATTGAACATCTCTGGGGAACACTCAAGAAGAAGCTTCAAGCCTATGAAACCCCCCCTAAAGTAGTATAGGAGCTATGGGAGAGAGTAGCAGTGGAATGAGCAAGGATTACAGCAGAATATTTCCAGAAATTGATTGAGAGTATGCCTAGAAGGATAGAGGCAGTAATTAAAGCCAAGGGAGGTCACACAATGTACTAGAATACCTGATTATCACTGTAAAATATTTGAGTCAAAAAACTGTCTGCATGAGTCATCATTTTGTAAGCCTCATATGTCCACCATATCTTGGCCGATTCCCACGCCATATGGCTCAATTGGAAGCCCTGAAGTAGTACTCCAATATGGTACCAGCATGTCCTTGATGTGTTTGTACATTCTCACACAATATCATAGACAGTGAAAAATGCGAAAACATGTGGACAGTTTTTTGAGCCACTGTATCTACTGTTTCATTTAGGTAATATAGTCAAAGTGTTGTCACATAGTATATCTTCTTTGACCAATTGCAAATGTCTGTGCATCTGAATGACATATCCAAGTCAGGGATTTTCTGCAAGGGTTTGGCACCCACATCAGTCATGATCTTGTTGCTTGTCTCAACAATTCTATTTAAAAAGTTCACTCTCACTGCTTTGTTGGAAGGTACATATGAAACTTCAACAGCCATAATTTAACTGCACATATTCACACAGGGGATGATTTTAGTCATTGTAGTGTTGCATAAGGGTTTGACGCCCATGCACATGGTGACCTCAATGCTTGTCTCGACAATTACAGATCCGCAGTTCACTTCATTGGCTCCCATGACATCTTTCGTTCATAACTCAGTTCATGTATAAAATGTTATATTGAGGATATGACAACTTGACTGGTCAACTTGAAAATTCATTCTTCCTTCGTATGGTATGGGGACTACATGAACAATTTCATTATAGCCCCTTTGTTGGAAGGTACATGCGAAACTTTATTGGTCATAATTTAACTGCACATATTCACTCAGGGGATTATTTTAGTCATTGTAGCATTGCACAAGGGTTTGATGCCCATGCAAATGGCAACCTTGATGCATGTCCCAACAATTACGGATCTGCAGTTCACTTCATTGGCTCCCATGACATATTTCATTCATAACTCAGTTCACATAGAGAACGGTACATTGAGGATACGACAACTTGACTAGTCAGCTTGAAAATTCCTCTTTCCTTCATAAGGTCAAACATGTCAAAGTAAACCTGCCTACAAAATTTACGGCGATTGTGGTGATTGTTGACCATATATAGCTAACTAAGAGGTTTTAATTTGTTCATCAGTTCACTGATATTGTGGCATGTTTGTGAAGCTTGTGGATCCTGTAGTGAAATCTGATGCGAGTCAGGGATGTGGCAGGCAGCACTAAGATAGGCCTGCAGTCATACTTCACTTGATCACGTGGTGTGACCGAGGCGGTGACATGTTGTGATTTTGTGTTACTAACTACTATCAGTCACAGTTATACACGAATGTTATCAGAGGTCGTGCAAAATGCTATCTGGAAGTACTCAATGGCCTCTGTACTTCTTTGACACCCACTACCGCTTGCTTTCCGTTCAGTCCCTTGCCAGTATGCATCCATGAAATGACAGGCTCAGTGTTGAAAATCTACAAGTACTAGTGTGAACAACTTTGGCAAGATATCAAAAAATCAACGCACCGGCGCATGCTATTGAGAGGTACTGATTTGAGAGCCGAAAGCACGTTGCGTTCGAGATCAGTTTGTTTTGATGAAGCAGGATAGTGACGATAAACCTGTTTCACATATCCCCAACATTGCTCGATGAAATTAAGTTCGCAATGAAATTTCAGAAGGAAAAGCACTGAAACTCCTCTTGCTTTGCATGCTCTCTCCAGATTTGACTCGACAGCAATGAAGTCTGGTTGGTTGTACAGCACCCTGGCGACAGCAACAGTTTGTTGCTCCCTTCATACACTGGAAGTTTTTGCACTCTGCAAGTAGCTTTGATTCCTTAACAAGGCCTCAGCTTGTGCAAGATTACAGCCATCCCTTTGAAGAGACCTGCTTTGGGTCCAGCAGTCGTCGCCAAAATACAGTGACTGTGTTGACCCATCTGCAAATGTTGCATTGCCCATCTGAATCTTTTCTTTCAAAACTTTACCATCAGCACCATAAACTGATTTCCCCGTCGCATCTCGAACATTAACCTCCATGCCCCAATTAGATCCAGGCTTCGATGTTCATTTTGGCATCTTTGTTGCTGAGAGAGCTCCAGTCAGTGCGTTTTAGGTGAGTCGTGGCATTGTCAAACACGAGGACATGACTTTCATTGGCGTAGTGCTTCTCAAGAATGTCCATCGCTTTTTCGGCTGGCTCGAGAATGTCATCATTTGTGAAGTACCTGTCCCAATTTTTACCTGCTTTGAAGAAGACATGAGCCTCCTCTTTTCCATCAGGTGAGCGCAACCATCTGTGATCAGCAGAAACGAGATCTGCAACCATCTGTGAAGGTCCTTCCCCCTTGGCATAGGGCACAGCTGTTTCGTTTTTGTGAACCCATTGTGTTTTGCACCGATCATTCGCATAGAATGTGGACTCATCGTGCCACCATACGACTGTCCTCTGCTCATGGAGCAATGGGCGAGGGTAGTCTTCATCTCCGCAAGACCAATCCCGAGTCTTCTCTTTGATGGCTGCCCATGCAGGCAGGAAAACATTCTGTCGGTAAGCCACAACATCATCCCTTTCATGACCATCAACAAATTGACCTTTTGGATCCTTTGCCCAGCGGTAGTCAAGCTTTTTCATCCACCGCTGTGCAGTTGTGAGATGAATCCATTTCATAAGTCCACTCCGTTTCCACATCTCTGGTGTGTCGAGGAAGTTGATAAGGTCCATAGCCCTAACATATTTTCCAATTCCTTGAAGATGCATGTGAATTTCCTGTGCGAGTGCCTCGTCTTTGTCAAGTAATGACTCATTCCATGTCCCGTACATATTAAACGGGAGGTCTTCATGATCTGCAATGAAAGCATGTGTTCATTCACGGAGTACTCATGAGTGTGTAGGTTTTTGTTCTAAAGCCCTCGCAGTGAGTAATGATGACATTGTCCACTTTCTATATGCCAAAGACTGAATGTCAACATAGGTCCATAAGAATTGCTTCATTCCTTCAAGTCGGCGGCGAAAGACCGAGTCAAGCCCAGGGTCTTCATAGCCAGCTGTCTTCTTCAGAGGTCTAAGAATCCTCTTGATATCATCAAGAGCTAACTGTGCCTCTTCAACAGTGGGTGGAGGCTTGAAGAACCCCATTCCAGTATCATCTCCGGCACCAGTCCGTGTATTCAGAACTATGGTAGAAGCTTCTCCTACAGCACTCTGATGCTCCGGTACAGGCTCGATGTCTTCTCTCAGTAAATTGGTCATCAAGGACTCAGAGGAATTGTTCTTGGAAAGAGGTTGCTCTACTAGTATTGGCAGCACGAAGGGAGGAGGATCTAGTACTGTAGCAACTGCTGCTCTCTTTTGCTTTTTCTTCTTCGGACTGGATGGCGGAGACGCAACGAGTTTTGTTGGAGCTTCCTATTATAGTGGAAATTCTGTTAGTTCTGTGTACTGTTTATAGATGAAAAGTGTTCCTACATTCTCATTAGAGTGAGTAGTTGACTTAGCCCAGCTTCCCAGGTTTGCAATGTTGAAGAGTTTTCATTTCGGCATACTATCGAGAGGTAGTGTTGGTTCCGTCAATGGCTTCTGAAGCGGATCACCGAGTAGACTCGGATGACAAAGCACAATGAGCATGTCCCGAACATAAGAAAGTCATCTTCACTCTCAGTTTGAACTATATTACAATTTTAAAACCTAGGTTCTCTGAGGATGTACCTTAGCTAACATTCCTAGGTTCTACTTTAGCGAAAAATGACGATTTGAAGGAGGAGATGCGATTCTGGTACTTTTGTCACGAAATGTCACGATCTGATCACATGATCAAGCGAAGTATGACTGCGGCCTATCTTACCAGAGTATTTCCTCTCGGTGTCATTATGATGTTTCTACATAAATGAGTGAAATTCCCGTGAACTAATGTGCCTTCTGGGGCTGACCCAATCTCTTCAAGTGACTTCAGGCTGTTGAGTGACTTGGAGTCTGTCTTGGACATGCACAACTTCACTGCAGACTTCAAGACAAAGATTCCACGCCCCGGTGAATAATCTAGTTCAAAGTAAGCCACCATCAGCAGAAAGTGCAGGCTACAGATAATGGACTAGATCCCCTCTTCGTCATCCTCGTCACCAGAGACTTCTGCATTCTCTTGACCTGCCTTGGCCATGAGCTGTGCGAGATCCTGCTCTTCCGTCTCGGAGACAGCTTTTGGCTGAAAGAAAAACAGTACATGGACTCAGAACAGTAATGAGGCGTAACAGACGATCGCACTGCACCTTCATCTTTACAACTAGATTTCCCCCTTGGCCCTCAATCGTGGCCATAATCGACTCAATCGCACGTTCCAGACGATCAACAGCAGCATACTACAAATTCTCTCAGACAGCTTCGTAATCCAGAACGATAAATGCAGACCTTATCTGTTGCGTTTGTGCTGAGAACATATAGCGGAGGAGCTACGAGCTTGGCTTTAATGGGCACTGTTTCGTTGCTTTCTGCTTCACCTGCTCTCAGAGCCTTTTTGATTGCATCGATACCGGCAGGGGTGTAGCATGTGAGCTCGATATCAGCGCGCAGCTTAATAGGCTGGGGTGTCAACCGCCGTGCGATCGTTCCCATAAGAATGGAGATAGCTGCTGATGAGACGGGGTTTGGAAGGGATGAAAATACGGTTTCTTGTTCGCTGTTCTCGTCAGCCCTCACAGGAGATAAAAAAGGGTGCTTGGACGTACGTCAAAGCAAGCTTGAACGCATCATATGGATGTCCATATTTATGGCCAAGTGGCCATGCCACTTGCTCGTACAGTTTTTCTAACCTTTCTTCCTCGCTCGACCCATCGTGCGGCACAGCGGCCTCCTCAGCAGCGATAGCAGCCGCAGCCTCCTCAGGATTTTCCTTTTTCGCCGCGCGCCTAGACTTCTTTGTCTCCTTCTCTACTGCCTCGTCCTCGGGGGAAATGGCAGCGTCAGCATCCATTGACGGCAGCTTTGACGCGACGTGCCGCATGATAGATGCGACAGCTTTTGACTTCATGTACCGCTCCTCGCACTTGATGATGTCTTCGGGGGAGACACGACGTTTTGATAGATCTATGTAGCCTGTACGTGGGGGACTGTGGTGAGTATGTTGATATACCTAAGATGGAAGATTGGCGCACCTTTTTCCCTATCCACACGAAGTACTACTACGACTTCATTACGGCCAACACGGATGAGCTTCTGTATCGATCGGATACGTCTGCGGGAGAGCTCTGAAAGTAGAATCATTCCCTCGATGTTGTCATATTCGAGCTTGTTTTATATACGTGGATCAGCATGACCGATGAAGCTTACGGTAAATGTGTCTGATGAATGGTGCGTACCAATTTGACATATGCGCCCATTTCCGCAATCTGGCGGACTTGGACCATGACGAGCTCGTCGACTTCTGGATATCGTTGTTCATAATACCGCATGGTGTAGGCAGTCGGGGGAATTTTCAAGAATCGCAGTTAATTAACTGAGGGTGCTCAGCCGATGAGTCAAGTCTGAGATTATCGCGCTTTCCAAAACAGTTGGCCACCGGAATTTACCATAAATGTACCTTGACTCGAACAAGTCCACTAAGCACTGAACAGAGGTGCACCGTGTAGCTATCTTTGTATTACCATAAACTAGAGCTACAGTACACAATCATGTAATCAAGTAATGGCTTGATGATGAGAATATGATGAGCCATCATGATGGCTATAGTCAGCAAGAAACACTCACTGTACTTGGGGCCCCCACCTCCCTCCGGAACCGTCCATGTAATATCCTGTGTGGGAACTTTGATATCACATAACTTGCAATGAATACAATTCTGCGATGACCAACGTAAGACATGGTGTATGGTTCGAAAATGAAATGCACCTGAGAATTGATGACTAGTTTATGTCCATTCCACCCATCTGCTGCCATCTCATCTTCAACATATTCGTAAACGCCGGCAGGACAAGCCCGTTGCAATAACCCAGCATACTCGCTCACGTTGCGTTGCACGTGCAACTTCCGAAGGGCGATGTCTTCAATGCCAGTTTTGCGCACACGGAGATGTACAGGCTGGTCTTCTGCGTGGTTCGTCCCGGTTAAAGTCAAAGAAGTCAGCAAATCTGTCGACAACGGAGGCTGCGGGAGAGGGTAGTCGATAGGGCGGAATCGGTACGCGGGTTGAGTATGTTGCGCATCCGTCAATCTTGTTCTATTCCGGAACGTCCATGGAGTGCGCCCCTTAAGGAAGAACGAATCGATACCAGAGTATATGATACCTCCCCAAATACCCAAGGGAGTGTGGAAGCTTTCACGCAAGTTGCGGACCTCGCTAAGGTCTGACCAAACCCAACTATTCTTCAGTGCCGTTTCGTACTGTGACATGTCTGCGGGTCCATTGCTGGAGTCCTGAGATAGAACAACAGCGGCCGCTTCGGCTGCCAACATACCACTCTTCATCGCGTTATGAGTTCCCTTGATTTTTGCGATGTTGACGAAACCAGCCGAGCAACCAACCAGGGCACCACCAGGGAAGGAAAGATGAGGTACAGATTGAAGACCACCTTCGTTGAGAGAACGTCCGCCATACGCTATCCTTGTAGAGTTCCCAGACAGGAGTTGTGCGAAATATGGATGGTGTTTCATGCGCTTGAATGCGATATCAGAAGGATATGTGTGGCAAGTAATAAGCGCATACCTGAAATTCTTTATAGGGACTCAGATATGGGTTGGCATAGTCGAGTCCGATTACAAGGCCAAGGCTGACGAGTCCGTCGGCCATGTGGTAAACCCAGCCACCGCCATATGTCCTGAAGTCAAGGGGCCATCCCATGGTATGAATGACTTCACCAGGTCGATATTGGGTTGGGTCTACACGCCAAACTTCCTTGAGGCCAATGCCATATGTTTGTGGATCAGAATTTCTGCGAAGATCGAAATTTTGGATGAGCTCCTTAGCAATGGAACCGTGCGCGCCTTCCGCGATAAGGGTGACTTTGGCACGAAACTCCATTCCAGGCTCAAAGGACTCTTTCATGTGCCCTAGTCTGTCCAGACCAACTTCATTTGTCCTTATACCAGCGACGCTCCCATCATCTGCGTAGACCACGCCCGCGCCAGCGAACCCAGGATACACCTCGACACCCATTTCCTCCGCTATGCTTCCGAGCCACGCAGTGAAACGAGAGAGCGAGACGATGTAGTTGCCTTGGTTTGACATCTGTGGGGGATGGGGGATGGGTATGGAGAGCGACTTGGTGAGAAAGCGCATGCGGGAAGACGTTGCTGATTGAGTGAGTGGGTGGTCATCACGGAGAGCCCAATCTGGTAGCAGTTCATCAAGTGCTCGAGGCTCGATGACAGCTCCGGAGAGGATATGAGAGCCTGGAGCGAGTTATATAGTTTCACGGGGAAGGTTCATAGTTCGAAGTACACACCTACTTCAGCGCCCTTTTCCAGCACAACTACCCTGAATTCTTTTCCCATTTTCTGTTCCAACTGCTTTAGTCGAATCGCAGTACTAAGGCCAGCAGGGCCAGCTCCGACGATGCAGACGTCCACATCCTCCGAGACACGTTCAACACTAGAAGGGTCAAATAATTGCCTGTGAAAACGGGAGGATGAGTGGAGCAGGCGTTTGTAATTAAGTATCCTGAGATGACTGGTTGAGCGGGTCAGCATTAGCACTAATTAGCTCCTGTGGTGACAGTGGTGGACTGGCAAAGTTCTTCGATCTCGAAAAGGCAACCTCGGGAGCAACTCGGGAGTGAAAAATTGACCGTCCCTGCGGTGGCGTTGTTGTTCGTCACCAAGTATACATGTATAGTTGAACTTTCAGTTGGTAAACACCAAGCTCAGGTTGTAAACTAATTCAGACACTAGGCGCACTCGGAAAGAATTGAGCGTGCTATATGACCGGCTTTTCTGCTTTACCCTTGCCTGAAGAACCCCTCCACGATGAATCCCGGTGGATAGGAAGAGCCAGGATTTTGGGACCCCCATTGACACGCCTCCCCACTCTCACTGTCGGGCTTTTGGGAGTGCAGGTTTTATGGTCGGTTGAGATGTCATATGGTGAATAGTTAGCCTACACCCTCACTGAACGATCATTTAACGCTACTGCCCGTCACAAGCTTCTCCCTACCTGTTGTCCTTAGGTCTATCAAAACCACTAATGGCAATGGTCTTCCTTGCCGGCCCCCTCTCTGGCCTCATCGTTCAGCCCTTGATAGGTAACTCTACTACGCTCTCTATTTTCAGTATCCTCAACGTGTCTTTAGGTGTGCTAGCCGACCATTCAAAGTCACGCTTTGGCAGACGGAGACCTTTCATTGTTATTGGTGCAGCATTGTGCTGTGCTGCGACTCTTCTATTCGGGTACACTCGTCCATTAGCTACTCTATTCACAAGGCCAGACTCGTCCTCAGTGCGTGCACTCTTCAATGCAGCTGACAGACGTATCTCAATCTGACTTTGTCAGAACGATTCACTCACCGTATGGCTCGCTGTCCTATCGATATACTGCATAGATTTTTCCATTAACGCAGGTTTTTTTGCTTGAAACTCTGTACACTGCGCTGTGAAACTGAAATCACTCATAGTGCAGGCTCTAGATCGCGCTCTTTTGGTCGACACCCTACCCCCCTCAGATCAGCCTAGTGGTAACGCATGGGCTGCTCGAATGCTGGCCGTTGGCAGTGTACTCGGATTCTTCGTGTGAGCTAAATTAAGCAACCCCTCGTAATCTTGGGGGCTCATATTTCTATCGCAGCGGAGAAATAGATCTTCCTCGATGGCTGCCTTTCCTTGGCCGACTTCAACTAGAAGTCCTAGCAGTCATCGCGTCTATGCTACTGATATCCACTCATTTGTTGACCTCCATTTGCGTAAAAGAAAGGATACTTGTGGCAACCGAGTGGGTCGTCTCATATTCACTCTGTGTTTATCTCACTCGACCGTAGCTCCCGCGCCAAGGGACTGAAGAAAGAAATTTACGACATATGGAACACTCTAACAAGATTGCCTCGAGTAATAAGACAAATCGTACGCAGCATATCTGCTCACCCCTTCATGTCTATGACCCACGTTTACAGTGTTATATCCAATTTTTGTGCGTTTGTGCCGAATAACGCTCCACCTATCTGACAGCCATAACCTGATAGCGCATGGCTAGCCTGGTTCCCTATTCTATTCTATACCACTGTGTATATCGGCGAACTGCACAAGCGGGTTTCCCCTCCCCCAGGAGACGACAGCTCAGCTCTAGCATTGGAAGAGGAGGCTACACGTCTTGGTGCGCGCGCACTGTTCTATAGCGCGCTGGTATCCCTCGCAGCAAACATCATCATGCCTTTCTTCGTCGTTGATGCAAAAGAAGTTCCTACCTTGCATCTTCTTCGACCGAAGAAGCCATGGTTAGAACGTGTTCGGGTCCACCTGGCTACACTCTGGGCATTGTCTCACTTCATGTTCGCATTCTGCATGGCTGCCACGTTGTAAGTCCTTTGCACGTCTTAAGTAAACCACGGCTTTGATGACGATTTGAATCTTGAAGTGTTGTATCAAGTGTTAGCGGTGCTACCTTCATCATGTCGGTGACAGGATTTTGCTGGGCCATAACACAGTGGGCCCCGTTTTCGCTGGTACGTCATCATCCTAACCCTGAATGCCGCCCTAATACCTGATTCCATCCCATTCTCAGCTCGCAGAGGCAATATTATCCCATCCCACAACAGATGAAGAGACGGCGTCAATATATGTCGAGGACACGCGCTCGGATCGAAGATCCAGGACGGACGACGATGGGCAAGATGACGATGAAACTCGTCATCTCGTCGATTCTGACCTCGAGGACCCGGCGTACTCAAGAACTGTGTTGCCAGAACAAGATGAGGATGGTCACTATCCGATGATCATGATGAATAACGAAGCACAAGTCAGCCAGATAGATATAAATGTCTCGTCAACTCAGATGCCTCATGATGCATCGCCTCTTCATAGGCCAAAAAAGAACCTCAATGGCTTGAGTTCGCAGGCTGGTGCCATTCTTGTCAGTACTTCAGATCCTTGTTCCCATCATATCTCATGCACATCACCAGGGCATCCATAATATGTTCATCGTCATACCCCAATTTCTTGTCACTGGTTTGTCGTCGATCATCTTCGCAATATTAGATCCCCAGAAATCTGTCCTACACGGTCATCATCCGGGCAATGCTATGCCTGTCAATGGCACGGTCGCTACGTCAGGAGACGTCATGCGACAACTTTTAGATCGAGATGATAATTCCTCCGTCAAGGCAGGTCCCAATTCAATCGCAATAATCTTTCGGTGGGTGCAATCCGTGGCGTCATGCATGTTAGTGACAAAGGCTGATCATAAGACTAAATCAGGTTGGGAGGCGTGGCTGCAACCGTGGCTTTCGTCCTATCCTGGCGCCTGGCTAGGGAGTTGAAACGCACATGAGTTTGATTACTAGGCTGGTTATCAGGGTACTTCCAATATTGAACTAAAGTTACATATGCTTTGGTGTTTTATACTTTCCGGAACCATGTCATAGCTTCAAAAGACAGTCCCGTCACTCTCTATCTCGATGGGTGGTCCGCCCGTCAAGGGCCGAAGCCGCTGGGCAATTTCTCTGCCTCCTTTCCACGTTGCACTTTCTAATACTTGGGCAAGGGTCAGATCACAGGAGTTCACACCAACTTGTCGTCGGATGCCGTCTGCGATGCGGTCCCTGCCCAGGAATTTCAATATAGTCTTGGGACAGTTCTACTGATAACGCACAGTTCAATCACCGTCATTGCCCGCCATTCGACTACAGCACCATGTGAAGGTGGAAGGCACGGAACACCGCTGGTGTTTGCAAGTGACTTAAGGCTGGGTTTCAGGGTAAGAACGCCAAAGTCTATCAGCAAACCTCCTAGATCAGAAGTCAACGGTAGTGTCAACAAAGGTACATCCAATGTACCGTTTCTGTACTCTGGAAGGCCAGTCATGTCCTCGATGCCATCAAATTTCCACTTGAGAATCTTCTCCATAGGCTCAATCAGGCTGTATGTGATCCATCCCGTTAGTTTGTGGAACGGTACGAAGTCGTCTCCTTCAGCTTGTCCATCCGTAGTGAGGACAGAGCAAGGCCACACATCGCCGAGCTGCACTCCACCGATGGAATATCTTGCAGGCCAGATTGGAGCTAAACCCTCAAGCAAGACTCCCCATAGTGATGAGACATGGACACGCTGGGAGGAACCATCGGGCTTCGATTCGGATTCCAGGAAATCTGAGAACAGCATAAGGATGAACCAAGCGCCTGATTAAAGAGTAGACAATGATTGATACCAATGATATTTCCGGGTCTAGCATCGGAACCGAAAAAGCGAGGGTTAGACTCCAACGCAGTCTTGAGATTGACCAAAAGCGAGGTTCGACCTGACAGACCAACCATGGGGTTGGCATCACTGACTTGCATAGCGGCGGCGATGCTTCCTTCATTAATATGAGACAATCCCTGCGCTTTAGGAAGGAAAATCAGTGTGAATATGCTAGATACAGAGGAAACCTCCATTACCATCGACTCGATGGGGCTGAGCTGCGGGAGACCCCGAAAAGAGACCTTGGTCAAACATGTGTACAGTTGCGACTGCGAGGCCTTCTGAACGACTGTATCTTTGCCCGTCTGACTCATTATATACCCATTGGTTGCCAGCCCCAGCATCCAGTAAGACAGAAACGAGGAATAAATCAATTAACCTTTTGCATTTCTCCTTTTCGCTGACTGGCGACCCTCGTTCTTCGTCCCATTTCGCCATCAAAGGCGCTATGCGCAATTTCCCCGCATCCAGATGCCTCCATCTTCCATGGGGTGGGATCTGTTGATGTGATTCTGACACTGGCTGTCTATTCGGATATAGAGATACTTACAGAAGCAAAGTCGACAGTGCCGTCAGCGGCAGGAAAGTCTCTCTGAAACACATGTCAGCTATGAGTAACGACTGGGACTTGACTCGAGGCGGAACCTTCATGATTTCGAGGCAGTAATTCACAACAGACGACTCCTTGTCCGGGTTATAATCAAAATATTCGAGCTTTCCTTGCTGCGCCATGGCATGGACATTTGAGCATCGTTCTCTAATGGCAGGAAGGGTGCGAAGATATGCTGCCCGCAAAGATGGACCAGAGAATTCGGTTAGGTTCATGGTATGGATTAACCGTAGTGCTTAAAGCTCAAGCGCTCAAGCCAACTTGACCCTGTGACATAACATACCATAACATCGCTCGCCACATGCAAGCTGATCTGAGCTCGAGGCGACCTTTCGGATTCACTCAAATATCGCTCTAATTCTACGTTTAAACGTCCTTACATTGCACGCATGGCAGGAAACCAACGAGACGTAAGTACTGTCGGGATTGCTAAAAGCTTATAAACTCATATTATGACATAATATGGGCAAACGTCACTGGCTCACCAGCTCGTATATTAGTACTTAGTTTCCTCCCAAATCAATATAACGATATATACCAGATCTTTTGTGCATAATCTCTGCCCAGACTATAGTGCCCGAATCAGTGGCAGATGGCATCTCGACCCCTTTGCCTTTGCATGGGCAAAGGCATAATGACGACATTCAATCGAAACTCCGTCCAGATTGCATGCCGATTTCAGGTTCCCGCGAAGATGGTGCGACTGTGGGATTACGAATGCCTGAAAACGTGGTAGATATTCGGGCAGAAATCTGTGCCAATTTGATTGTAATTGATGACCACATTGGTTGGCCTCAGCAAGTGGAAGTACCCTTAGCCTGAGAGCTTGCATGGGCTTAATGCTTAACTCAATCAAAAATGATCGCAGTAACGAACATCATTCAAGATCAGACTGCAAATACAAAGTGATTGGACAGAATCCTATGATCGGCATGGCGGGTGAGGACCCTTTTAGCAGTGTGGCCACACACAGCAGGTCCGATCTCTTATGCGTGTTGTCTAGCACAGTGGGAACACAACGGATTTCCGTGTCGGACGACAACATTTTGGGCTCTACCCATGCTGGTGTGGGACAAATTACAGTCAGTCGTTGAGCTTTCACATACTACTATGTGCAACAAACCATTGAACACATGTGCTAGGGCAAGTAGGGCAGCCTCGTGGATGTGCAGCACTGTACCGGCATTGAGAGGATTGGCAGTCCACCTTTGCAGTTGTCGTCAGTAACTTCAAACCGTTGCAAATGCAATGTGCTGCATAGGGCTAACCTTCGCGTCACTGATGGGCTCTTCGTGACCGCAACCGTGTCTGGCGCACTGAACCTGACGATGACACATGTTATCTGTATCGCAAGTTAGTCCAGTTAGAAGAGAGCATCTAAATCACCCTCACATGAGAGGTTTCTGGGACGAGGGGTGGGATCGTTAAGCTGGAGACACTCTGTTCGCGACCCTTTAAATCCTGCCGCTGCAAGGCCCCTGTCATGAAATAAGAAGGACAACAGACCACAAGAAAAAATTATTCTCCTAGGGCTAGACTGACAACTGCGGGGTTGAGTGATGTCAAAGTGAATGCGGGGTATGGATTGCGAAGTTGGGGGATTAAACTTCGACACGCCGAGCGCCTTGCATCGAGAAGCATGTCGAAGGCGAGCACATGATACGAAGATGCATGAATCTTATCTTGAGCAGCATGGTTGACCCACATCTAAGATTGCACTGATGACATACAATGAGGTTCGCGGGTTCAAGGGAAAAATCGAGATCTTGATTCAGAGTACTTGGGCGTTGAGGTAAGAGGAGTGAAAGGCAACGGTCCTGGATTTTAATGGTTCTGCGCTGAGTCCAGCTATCAAATGTGGCATCGTGGTAATGATGCTGACCTCGGGCGCGCCATCGTGGCCATCCTAAATAATGTTAAGTATCTGTCCATGATGCAAATATTTTACGTGTGTCAGCTCACCGCACCTGATTTGCGCCTGATTTGAAGCAGCAAACGAGCACATTAATTGCCACCGGAGGACGACAGTACTCCTGATCGCTAACACCGCACGCCGTGATTGGTGTTTTAAAAGCATTGCACTCCCCTTCAGGCATGTTCTGTCAGGCGACTTGCAGTTAGAAATGCGCATCACGGATGATCTATGTCCCTGTGAAGGGAAACATAGCAGGCCATCCATGATACAAAGCACATGCTGGTCAATTGAAAATGAAAATTCGGGCTTGTTAACTGGAGTGCATCTTGGAGCCAGAGGAAATCAAAACAAAATATCGATGTGTACTTCGAACCGCCGTAAAACGTACTATGAACCTTCTTTCGTCGAAACCATCTCGTATTTATTGAAAAGCGATTCCGCGCCTTTCACCTTCCCTATGTTTCCAGAACGCGTGAAGTCGCCAATCACCTTCAATTCGCCTGGCAGAGATGTACCTCCCATTGTGATTTGGTTCTAACGAACGGTCCAAGCACCACAGTTCAGTAATTCCTACCTGCACCAGGTAGTCTGCTACATGCAGATAATACTGCCCCACAGTCTGCGGCCCGTGACTGTCATCAGACAGAGCGAACCGACCATTTTTCTCCTGGATAAGCTAAGCGCGGTAAGAAAGCAAGGATTGATATAGCATGACTTTCAAAGGTACTGACCACCACTACATCTTTCCCAGGGTACGGTGAAGTCCATCCCTCCTTCTTCAATGCTGCCGCATTGATTTCAAAAAGTGCGCCGTAACGCGTAGCTTCCTCAATGTTCCTGATTAACTTGCCCCAGGCGATGGGGTACTGTTTGAGATCGAGAGAAGGGGTGTAGAGTCTGCACAAATCGAGATGACCAATGATCTCTGGTCGAAACTGACGTATCAATTTATGCTGTGCATCGAAGTATGCAGATAGAAAGCGTTCCATCTGATCGTTTCCGAGAACATAGACACCTTCACCCGAGATTTTGGCCAAAGCCTTTTCATATGTGGCACGATCAAAGTCGATGGGAATAGTGCTGACATGGTGGACGGATCCAACGATATAATCGATGCGTATCCCGTTATCCTTCAAAAGCGTTTGAAGATGATTGAGGTCATCATCGGTAATGTACTCTGTCTCGAGTCCGACCAATAAGGTGATCTGGGGGGCGTAAACTTCCTTCAGTCGATGAGCTTCGTCAAGAAATCTCATGAACTGATTGGACAGGTCATCAAGGGATAGTCCCCGCTGAAAGATGAATTTAGATGCAAAGCCTGGTTCGAGGAGAAAGAACTACCTCCTCTAGATACAGATCTTCCAGCCGGTAGCGGGGTACATGTTCTGTCAAACCATAAACCTCGAAACGTTGTTTGATGGCTTCCGACACAACTTCTTCTAAGGATCCGAGGGCATGCTTACAGAACTGGCCAGAGTGAGAGTGATGACTGTAAGGCATCGCTTTTTAGCCCGGAGATGCACGAGAGCAAGAGAACTCATCAAATTTTCTTATATAATACGTTTCAAAAGGCAATGCAAGCACCTGTCGCGGGAGGCCCGTCACATCACCACGACCCCGCATGCATATGACATATTTATTGTTCGCCTGCACACTACCCCAGATATCAGATGACGTGTTAGATTCATGCTTGTCCAGCTCGGAAATGGGGTATGTAACGAATTGTAATCACGCAAGGTATGCGCCGCACTTACCGCAACGTTTGCTGTCCATTGAGGCGCAACAGGACCGCAAGTGATGTCCCTTCAGAAGTCATCCCTTCCATGCTAACGACTTGATAGGAAATTTTCTATCCGTCATGCAATGTGAAACACTTGTAATTAAACCGGGCTTCTCATTAGCGTCAACGGTAACCCTTACCCACCTCGGATAAGAGCCACTGTGAGTCATGTCATCAGACTCGGACGCGACGGAAATGGAGTCTTTCGAAATCCCGTAGCTTATTCCCTTGCAGCTGACGAATAATATCACCCTGGCAATGCTTCCAATGCCATGTCCCTGCAGAAGCTTTGCGCACTAAAACTCAACCGAGAACTGTCAAGAAATTTCGATCTCGGTAATGAACGAAGTAAGAGAACAAGCACATACATACACTCAGCACAAATGAACTAACAAATTGAATATACAAGGAATACTGGCGCCATCCCCACCCTCCGTGTACTTACACGAGCTGTTTGCATGGTTCCCATGTCAATGGGGCTTACGTCGAGAGACGCCGTGGTCCATTACCGACATTTTGCAGTCGGCTCATGGCAGCACTGCAGACTACGAGACTACTTATTTAGTATGGATGTAAGTACCGTCTTCCTAGACCCATGTACATAATACGGGGCGCTATCGGTAAGTACACCTCCGAGACGCACTATTGACCATGCCATCCCACCGTGGGGGGCGTTCATGATTTATATATGTACGTTATTGCGATCTGGTGTCCTAGATTTCGATGGAACTTCGCAAGACCGTGACTAGTCGACTACTACCGACGACTGGTGACTATTACGGAGCTCCTTATGCGATTGGATTGCGAGTAGATGGGTCATCGAGTAATCAAATAAACCAGGACAATGCCGGCGCCTTGGTTTGGCTGCGTTACAAGCTTTTACTCGGATTTTTCCAGCCCAGCAATTGACTGTCTGTTCGTCTCCAATTTTGCTACAATTCAGTGGGATGCCTGACAGAGCTGACATCTACTGCCGGCTTTCCGTGCCTTAGCCGGTTTAAGGCGTAGAAGAGGCACCTCAAAAAACATGGATAATCGTTGATGCAGATATATTGCAAACATGAATTCGAATGCCGATGATTAGATCTAGGTAATCAATACTAATCAATAGCTCTTACGGCAGGAGCATCTCTTGTCCCTGGCCTCGGCATAGGGCTTGATCTCCTGGACCCCAACGGAGTGCCGACAACACTCCCCCGCCCCGCGCCCGGACGCGGTCCGTGAAGGTGCGACTAAAACGGGTGCTCCTATCGGCGGTTGATTCCACGGCATCTTGTTCACAATCCATCCCGTCCAAGTCTTCCCTCTTTCGTCCCTCTCTCTCCCATCTCGCTTTCTTTCAAACGCAGCTCGATATCTCTCGTAGCTCTCTCTAAACCCTCGGTCAACGCGCGAAGAGAAAATGAGTTCGCCGCGTGGACTGTTTGCGGGTGGTATAGGCGCCATGGGGGCTGGTGCATTAGATGGGCGTGGTGTTGAGGAGGGTGCTCGCGGCTGTGCAGGTCGGTGGAAAACAAAAGAAAAGGGGCTGATGGAGAACGTTGAACGAAGGGGGGGACGTCGGACATTCAAGTACATGTTGAAATTTCGAAGGGCTTTATTCGCATGAGGAACATATCTGAGGCACCGTCGCTAAATCTCTGAGCGATGAAAACATTGTATGAAGGGCTGACCTATTTGCATATGCAATTTTCTCGGCGTACATACCGCTTGCAAAGAAGAGGAGGAGAGCAGTTACGAGTACGAAGAGGAGCCCTGATGCATAGTATGGGTGAGGCTTCAAGTTCTCAGCACCGCTGTACACATCGGGAAGTACTTTGCGGAGGATCTTCGTATAGGGTATGTCTAGAAAGGATGTCTGAAGAAGGACTTCGGAGAGAAGGAACGCGATAGCTATCAGAAGGTGGACTAGAAATACTGAATAGATATTAGCATCTTCAGCAATATATAAAGTACCGTGAAAACATACGTTGATACCTGGACTTTCGGCGTTGAAGCTGAGCAGCGTTGGTTTTGAGCCGTTCTTCAAAAAGTAGCAGGTCACGGTAAGTTGCAGTGTCATTTGATGGATGGAAGGATGCTCTTGATTGTTGGCGCTGGTTTCTTGAAGTTGGTGCCATTCAGCAATAGGAACCATGGGTGCACCGTGCCGCTAAGGGTTCCAGATTTCCTCTGCACGTGACGACTAAATGGGGACGCGACTGCATCAGTCACTATATACTCCGGAAGCCGAATGCCAGCATTGCATCGTGTTTTCGGTATCATTTCGCGAGGCGAGGTAGATCGAGGCGGAATTTTGCTCCACCTCCCGCCTCCGCACTCACTCCAGATAGTAGCCAACGCTCTGTCATTGTCGGAGAAGTCCCATCAAGATTGAAGCTTGACATGACGTTTATTACACTTATTTCTGTGCTTCTACTTGCGCTGGTCGTTTCAAGCCTTCCAATTTTGCCAGATTCTAAGCAGTAAGTTTATTCCTTTGCTCGACGAAGCACTAGTGATGACTGTCGTAGGACGTTGTCAGCACAAATGCAAGATTCTGCGCAAGCAGTTTTTTTTTTGCGTTCATCACATCCGGAGTGAGTTAAGCCAGATTTATTTCCCGCACGCTCTTCTGATATGGATTGCTGTAGTGGCTTCCAGCGCGACGCCCGAATGGATATCGGGCCTACGTCCGCTGCTGGAGATAATGACTACCTTTCATTTGATGCAGTGCCCTACAGCCGCGTGAGCGAGGTGGCTAACGTGGCAGGTCTAGGGCCTTTTGATCAACAGACCACCACCGTTGTCAGTTCAGGAGATGGAGTGCCAATTACGCAAGACCCCCCAGACCACGTCACTAAAGATGTGAAAGCAGGCACCTTCTTGACTTCTGTGTCTACCCTGTTGCTCATCTTCTCATGTGCTGTTGTACTGCTTGCACTGGCTTGTGTAGGCCTTGGACTGTTTGCCATCAAGTACTTACGTACCCAAATCCTTTGCTCTCACAAGGCTTGGCAGATTCTGCCCCGTGTTGAGAAGCATGCATTGTTGTCGTCCTACAAGGGAAATTCAGGGTCTGGAACAGCTACGGCGGTAACGCAGGTCATGCTGCATGAGAAATGCGAGGAATCCCCGTATTCTAGTGCTCGCGCGCCCACTCCGTTGTCATGTGTCTCCATCACATCCCCTGATGATTTAGAAGAAGACTCCGGGGACGAGAAGTTCCACGATGCTTTAGACACGCCGCTGTCTTTCAACGTGCATGACCACCCGTCCCATGATCCATCCTTGCGGGATCTTCCTTTCCTACCCATCACACCGGCACTTAGCCCTACCCCGGACGATCGATCCACACCTCCACAGGCGTTTGTACCCCTAGCAATAAATACTGAAGTCCGTGAACCACATGCACGTCCTTCCTGGTCCCTGCGGGTGGCTACTCTTATTCCTGCGCCTCCTTCATCGCCGCTCATCTATCCCCGCAGTCGCGCATACCGTGCTGTGCCCGAGTTTGATATCGCTCTGGCGATGCAGCTCAGGCCAGGCCGCGGCGTTGGCGCTGACCCAGCGTGGATGGTGCGCTTTTTAATGGCTATTTTTGGATGGTTTGCTGTTGCTCTTACCGGCACTCGATAACTCTTTCGATTCAACAATGCAGGTGGTATTCTATTTTACATGCCCGCCGACCCTGACCTACCGCGAGGCTCCAAATTATGACTGCCCTTGCAGGGCGTAGGGTGCTGTGCTCCCTGATACTTCCTTCTGCGATTTCATCAAGGAACTTACTATTTGGAATACTGCACACATGAACTATATCCCGGAAAATATTTGTCCTATGCCATCAATTGTCTTACAGTTTTTGATACCTTCCATGATACCTCGGTTCGTTCCATAGCAATGGTTCAAATATTACTCTCGAAATCAATTTTCTTGACCGCATCTTTCCAGCCCGCATCTTCAGATGTATTTTAACCGGACTGGGCATGCAACTTGAGTATATATATTACATAATTGCGACCTGGCCTGTACAGTTTAGCAATTTCAAATTCGTTCCAAATGGATTTCTTCTTTTCTTTACTATAACGAGAGGTTATGACCCATCATACGTACTAAAGCTTGCTTCCTTGCTTCCACGCACCTAACAGTTAACTTGTCCTTCCCGGAATTGCTACGGAATCAAGAGTGAAAACACTGGAGGCCAACGCGAGGCTTCCGCATTTACGTTCATGCTTGAGGCCCTGGGTGCCCCTGCAGCGCTAAAGTGAGCGCTCTCATGGAGAGGATTTGGCCGGCCCTCACCCTGGTACATAGAACCGTTCATCGGAAGGGTCTTGCACAAAAGTTTATGAATTCACCCATATCATGAGATCAAACGCTCTAAGCCTTGGTGGGCCCTGGCAGTACTAATGCCACCTCATGCTGTGACTAGTCTCAGATCAGATGTGGCACTGGGTCGCATGGAAAACAAATATGCCTAAATGCTTGCTTCGTACTCGCAAGAAGTAGAGCTGATTACGGGGCTAGGGACGGTCGGCGTAGGTAGAGCGGTCGATATTTTATTTTCTTTGAGCTTCCGAAGCGTTTCCTGCGGTGCGTTCGTGCTGCAGAGAGGTTGCACGACATTTCGCCACCGTGCGGAGTCCTAGTGAGCGTTGCCGAGCGGGATTCGAAAGGACTGCAGATTTCAGGACCGTCAATTTTCCAGTCCGAACGTGCTGATCCCACGCACACAAAGCGTGCGGTTCTCCGCGAAATTCTGACGGCTCTAGCTTCAGGTCGAGAAATTGACGGTCCCACTGACTCCGCTCGGGTTTACAGTCCCAATGCCAGCAGTCACAAATTCACGGCAACTGTCCTGGCAACGTGCTCGCCTCGCCGGCACTTACCATACATTCTCAGGCATTTTATCGTGCTCATCCTGACCTCCCAGACGCATTTTATTGAGTGTAGATACTTCATGAATACATCTTTTTGCCCGATCTCAGGTCTATATATCCAGGACTGCAAACCCCACTAAAAGGACCGTCAATTTTTTATACGAGGTTGGGAGAGTCTGACAAGTACGGGGCACCGTTGGCGCCAATTGTGTTTGCATACCGGCGTGGGCTTGGGACATGTCAATAGTCATATATGGTTTGTTTGGTGGACGTTACTAGTAGTACTTCGTTTTCGGCGCTGTACATAGCCCGATTACTGCTTTCGTTAACTTGCTCTCTTACTTTCATTGAACAACGCAGAACTTCAATAAGCCAGCCCACTTGCATTCAAAGCGTAACCATTCACCGGGTTGGACAACTCGCTACGCACGGGGAAGAACGCGTGGCGTTGAACTACCATTCCATGGCTCATGATCGAGATGCCCTCGTAAGCCTGCTTGATCCCTCATGAGATGCTGATGTGTACGACCAAGACAGTGGGCGAGTGGTTACGATGAGACAGTAGAAGTTAATCAGCGTGCATTGATCGACAAGGTGTTGGCACGGTATTCAGGCGAATTCACAGGTGCACTATACCTGCTGGTTTTTATCGTTTGATCCTGCAGCTCTGACAAACCTGCAGTATTCCGTGAACTTCTGCAGAACTCAGATGACGCACAGTCTTCCGCAGTTGAGATATATTTTGAGACTGAGGAGTATCTACGACGAAAGAACAGCGGCAAGGATGCGATACAACCAGGGGATGGTGTGCATTTCCCAGACCTGAAAACCACCCCAGTCTGTACCATATCAATATTTCTGCACTTCCGTGTTCGTTGATCGGTCGTTGTAGGTTGCCCAGTGGACCTTTCGGAATAACGGAGTTGTGTTTCGCGACGAAGACTGGAATCGGCTTAGAAAAATTGGTGCGTCGTGCACTTGACGCTTGGAGAATATAAGGAATATCACTCATTTTGGACAGCGGAGGGAAACCCAGACGAGGAGAAGATTGGCGCCTTTGGTGTCGGTATGTCCATACTATGCGATTAATATGACTTCCTACAATTTTCGCAGGCTTTTATAGTTTGTTCTCTGTGACGGAGGAACCATTCGTTATTTCAGGAGGTCAGAAATGCCTCCGCTCATCGTTTTGTCCTTCTGACAGAATCAAGGTCACGGAATGCAATTCTACTGGAAGGACAAAACCGGAGACCAAGTAGGCATGTCGATTGGATCCTTGATGTCAGCTGATGTCTTGAAGCTTTTTGTCCGGCGCGGAGATCTGCCATCTAGAAATATTCCGCAGTCTAATCCGTGGACGACCTTTGAGATGACGCTCCGTGAACAGGGACCAATTCCACAGCCTTTCGATCTGACGCGATTCCTTGCAAGCAGCATCACCTTCATGGTCCACCTTCGCTCAGTCAGCGTCTTTCTTGACTCCCATCGACTGTCACATCTCACCAAGTCTCCGGGAGTTCCAAAGGAGCTTGGATTACCTAAATTGCTGAAAAACTCCAGTGGTTCGGGTTTGATGAGTGTGAAGAGCGTGCAGTCCGCTGGCGAGCACTTCTCCTTTGGTACTAGTTGTCCGCATGGCTGATGCACTGTTCTAGCTACTCGTATCCAAGCACAAGTTATGCACGCCGTATACGATCTTGGAACTCAGAAGCCTCCCGTCGTCCCGGTTGAAGAACCACGCAGGCCCGTCTCTCATGGCGGGTTTTTTTCGTCTCTCCTCAGCACTTTCACGTCACACCACCAGGCTGTAGTTGCAAAGCCTCTACTGCAACCCCAGATTCAGAAAGACCCCATGGGAGTATATTCTTCAAGTGTCACACTCACAATGTTCAATGCGGATGTAGATGTGAAACTGGATAAAAAACTGCAAAGCGAGCTACACCGATCTACAAAGAAAAATCCACCCAATCACTTAAATTACAGCCTGATCTATGTGGGCTTTTGATCCACGATCTTGTTTTTGGCTCGTGACTAAGTCCTTCGCAGACAGGAAAAGACGAGTACAATTCGAGTATAGAAGAGGAGAAGAGCCAGCTCGTATCGTGCGGAAGTGTTTTCCAGGGTCTCAGAGCTGATCTGAATGGGTCAGTACCTCTTTTCTACTGATGTTCATGGCTGAAACTTCATGCGTGCAGCACTGGCCAAGCACGTGTGTTCATCGTAAGACCGATCTCAAGCAAGTGACTTAAGTTGACCGAGGAACGTAGGGGCATGCAACCGGACAGACAACAGGCATCGGCGGCCATATGGCATCCAGATTTATCCCGACAGTGGAACGTGAATCGATAGACTTAGTGTGAGTTGATTTACATCGTTCCATGCGTACATTTGACTTACCTTATTTCCAGCGACCGTAACGTCGCGGGTGAGATCTACGTGTCCACCACCGAGTCCCTTTCACAACTGACAGTTATGTAGTATGGAATAGAGAACTATTGTACGTCGGAGGATATCTGTGTCGAACAGCGTACGAGATGGAGCTCGAAAATATTCGAATTCTCTGGAACGAAGCCACAAGTTCATCCAACACGAACGTTTTTCATTCAGATCCACAACTCCGCGACTGGCTGCGCGATCGATTCTTACATGTCCTCAAATTTTTTACTTTCCATGTCTCTACACCTTCCTCCGATGTCGCACGTTTCCTCGAGGCTGCTTTCTTTGGTTGCTCCACTTCGCCTCTCAAGGTCCTTTCGACCGCGGGCGTCTGTGATGCCTCAGATGTACGCGCCCCCGACCCCATGTTCTCGTTGTTCCTCAAACACCTGCCTGTTCTTCCTGAAGCTGTTCTCTCCTCTGCTCCTCTTGCCATTAGAGCTCTGCAAAGTAAAGGACTGATCGCAGACATTACATTCCGGGATGTTCTGGCTCAACTTCGTCAGCATCCGCTCAATGAGGAAGAGCTCGTTGCTTGCCTGAAGTGGTGGGTCGGTGTCGGACAGCAAGATTCGACACATGATACTACGCGCATTCGCACCGAGCTTCTTAATGCCACTATCCTCAGTCTAGGCTCAGGAAAGGATACCAGGGTGATTCCTCTTTCGATGGTGCAGTACTTCATTCATCAGCGTATGATTCCGCTAGATGGACCGTTACCGGATACTCTCATGCCTCCGAGCATCACGAAACAATTTTCGCAGGAACAACTGAGATCTTTTGGGTGGCGGGAATTTTCAATTCTCGACTGGATGCAGCACATCCTGAAGCCAGATGTTATGAACGCTAATCTGGCACAAGACATGACCAGGTCTTCGGAATGGGCTGAACGAGTTTTGACCGTTTTAGCTCGCACGTGGCCCTCGTTGTCCAAGGAGTCGCATGAAATCATCAAGTCCATGCTCGCCCAAAAGGCGTGCATACCGACATCTTCAGGTCTACAAAAGCCAGAGCTGTCGTACTTTCCGAGCGCCAATATATTCAACGATCTACCTGTCGTGAATTTTACGTCCGGCAGTGGGGTCAAGGGCATGGAAAAGTTGCTCTCCTTCATCGGTGTTCGGAAGCATGTGGAACTTCAGGTTGTTTTTGATCGGTAAGCCGCTATGAATGATATCACAGACAGGCATTCATGTTCCAGCAGGATGGTCAAAACTGGGGACTGGACGATCTCAGACCTGATTGCGCATCTAGTCACCATCCAAAGCATGTTAAATCCAGATGAGATGACGAAACTTCAGATGACGTCCGCTTTCTCAAAAGAAGGCGAAAACGCACCTCCAGGAAAGAAGAAGCCGCGATATAGGGCCAGTGATCTTTATGAGCCATGCGCCACGAACCGCCAGCTTGGTTTGCCGATTATTGATTGGGGCGAGAAGGTTAAATGGCGAAGCAACTCCGAAGAAGGTCCGTCTCTTTTCTCGCATGTAGCCCATTTGAAACTGTATTTTCGTGTCAGCAAAACTTCTCTGTCGACTCGGCCTGCGAAAATATCCTCCTCTAGATTCAACTGTCAAACTCTGCGCTTCCTCAGAGCCGGATATTCGTTCTGCAGCATTCAAATATCTTATAGACAGCATACCTTCCAGATATCCGGACTACAGATGTGAGAATTTTGGCCATGTTGCTTTCATCCCAGCGGTGAACGAATTCGGATCTAGTATGGGAACTGTGAACGAGGTCAGCAGGAACGCACGCACCATAGATCCAAATTAATGTGGCGTGCTTGATAGGTATTTGCATCACCTCAGTGGAAGGCGTTCGGTTTTTCGGTCGTCCAAGATACCGTTCGGGATGTCGCAGTAAGCAAACTAGGTTTGAAGGAACACCCACCGGCTACTAAGATCGTGGCGCTGCTCGAAAAAACACCTCCTCAAGATCATGATGTGGCTCGTCGATGGTTTGAGATTCTAGCAGGCCGTGTCGCAGGTTTGCTTTAGCTTGGCACACATAGGGGCTCACTGACGGCCATACAGACTTCAGTCAATCTCAACTGTCGATTCTATCTACGCTGCCGATCGTCCCTACGCAGGTGGAACTTCAAACTGGCTCCCAGACGCTGCGTTGGCTCTCCCCTAGCCAATGCTACCTTGGAGGGGCATCGAAGGGCCAGTTTCACTCAAAGTTGTTCGTCTTTGTGGATTTTGGACCTTCTGCCAACAGCTTCTTGAGTACGTGTGGCTCCAAGCAAGAACCCTCCGTGGAGGAGGTAGCTAGCATTTTGGTCGCCGATCCACGAAGATTCTATGATCTAACAGGTGGTTATGAGAAGTATGTGTCCCAACTCTCCGCTACTGTATACACTCAATTTTTCCTAGTTACACTATTGAATTGCGGAACCTAGCTGTGAACGCTCGTCTGTTATCTACCACCGCGATCGCCCGAATGAAAGTTTCTCCTATTTTGCTCGGGTTTCGACGGCAAAGAAAGTCCCGAAAAGAATGCAACAAAGCCCTGGACCTCGATGAGGATGATTGGGAACTGCTTCACGATCTTAGGAAGCCCCTGGACGTTCTAATCGCGGACGATACTAATGCTTACCAGATGTTTGGGGAGTCTATCTATACTGCGCCGCAAGAGGATCTTCTTGAAAGTATGCCTTTGGCTCTCTACCGAGGTAGATCTAACTCTCCCGCAGACTTCTATGTAGCACTAGGTTCTAAGCGCCTCAGCATTATCGTCAAGGAAGACTACAGGGTCAGCTCGGAGATGAAGCACAACAAGTCTGCAACTGACGCTCGCGCGCTCCTGTTGGAGAGGCTACCGTTGTTCCTCCATGAACACACGCATACGCGTACCAAGGTTTCTCTCAGCTGGCTCTCTAACGAGGAAAATTTCAAAGTCAGAGTTTTCGGTAAATTGACTGTAGTGAAGTCGCTTTCCTTTGGAGATAGTACTTTGAAAAGGGAGCAAGATGCCTCGGCAGCTGCCAAACGTTCTGGTCATGGACCTATTGAGCTATGGCTATCAGGAAACTCGCAAGTGGACATGTATGAGTAAGTGTCTCAAGTTATGTTGAATCAGCTGCAGGCTAACATGACTCGTGCAGAGTGGCGACATCGTTGTGCCGCTTGCTGTTTGAGACGGTAAAAGTGAACGATGCACTCTTATTCATGACCATTCTTTCGACCGACTTAAAAGCTCTGAAAAGGAGGGGTTATAACGGTGCGTCTCCTAGTTACCTCGCTTTTTGATACGCTGATGCACTATATCAGTGGATAAAATTTTGAGACAGCAACAGAACGACCGAAAACTAGTGGAGGACGCCAGAAGAAGCCAAGCCTTCGCACCGGTGCCCACCTCTGTGCCTGATCCACGCATGAGTCAGAATTTGGACCCTAAACCGCGTTCATTGTCTCCCCCACACCGAGCTGGAGTCCCAGGGGGTTGGGATACTTTGCCTCCCAAGGCAGTCGCATCGAAACCCTTCCTACCACCTACTTCAGCTCCACCCCTTCTCTCAGCTCCACCAGTACCACCAAAGCCATCTACTCCCGATGTACCCCTTCAGAGTACAGTCAACGATGAAGACGTTGGACGTCATCCCATAATTCCAAATATCATGAACAACACACTGCAGAACATCAGACGCAGGATACCTGGCTTCAATGGTCCATCGGAAGACTCTCTTACTCCCTCACAGGGGCGATCCCCCAATCAGAGGTAAGGGTCATTCGTTAGGGTGAGAAGAGGTTTCTGAACTAGAGATCTCCCAGAACCCCTCAAACTGTGACTCCCCAGAGTAACATTCGTAAGCCAGGAGAAATTCATTCTGTAATTGCCTAACATATTACTAGGATCCAATGTTGCGATGGCGATCAAAGGCTGCAGACCAGAGGAAGGGAAGCTAGTACACAACAGACGCGAGATGGAAACGATTAAGGAGTCTCTAAACGAGGGCTATTGTGATGTCTCTGGCCATGTCGCTGAGCTCGATTACATCGGTAAGGAGTGACTAAGGTCCTGATGTTAATGGTGTTAATGGTGTTAATTGATGTGTAGGTGTTATGGGTACCATGAAAATCTTCATCGCTCGGGGTGAGTGGCCCACTATCCTGCTTGATGCAACATTTATAGTTCATTGTATAGATGTTCCCTGAACCCCATACTTTCATCTCGAGGAAACATGATTCCCTCGCGCGCTTTATTCACGTTGTCACGCCCCTCGCAAACGTCTATAACCTTCCGGTGACTGCACTTCACATCTTTTACGACCTGACAGGCGGCTTGATCGCTTTTAATCGGAGTGGCAGTCTCTTTCTTAACCACCGCTTCTTTGAGGCATGGCGTGCGTATACATACTTGCAGGCCTTGCATACTTTCTTAACTGTCAACTGTAGATGACAAAGATGTGAAGAATGGGGATGTCAATCAGGCCCATATTTCCTGGTAAGGTATCACCGCCTTTGAAAGTGTTGAATTAATGAACTGCTTCAGGTACTTCACGCTAGCCCACGAGATCGCTCACAACCTCGTGCAACCCCATAATTCCGAGCATGAGTTTTACTTTTCTGCGCTCTGCGAAGCTCACATTGAGCAATTCACTCAACTGCTGTCTCAGCAATCCGACAGGCCTTAAATCTGATATCATACATTGTTGGACTCTACATACCGGAATTGAACATATCGATCTTTTGATCTCTTCAGCGATTTACCCTGTCGCATATTGGCACTCATATCAGGAAAACATCACAGTTCCATTTCGTCGGTTTCAAGGCACTTGTAACAGAATTAATAATTATAGAAGTCCTGAGGTCTTGCAATATGGCTTGACCAGCAGGGGAAGTTGGTTCTTGTTCTCAGGATCGCTGAGCAAGATCGGCCTCTGCACGATCATCGACTTCTTTCCGATGTCCGAAGCAGGAACAGCAAGCTCAAACTCGAAAACCCGAACTAGGGTAAACAGGAGAGCTTTCATCCTATAAATGGCAATTATCAGCACATAGGAACAGAAGATTGAGGCAAACATACTCCACTAAAGAAAACCGGTAACCAATACAGGCGCGCGGGCCACCGAGGAACGTCATGAGGTGTCCCCACACCCCAGGAATTTGCGATGCTAGATCTGGAGGTGATTGCCCACCGGTCAGGATTAAACTCTTTTGCATCGGTGCCCCAAATCGCCTCTGATCTGTTGATTGCCAAGATGGGGATGAAGATCGGATCGCCTTTGCTGACCCTAATGCAACCATGGTGAGATGTCAATGGACATAGGAAGCAACACTTGCAACGCACTTGATCCCGTCATGAGCCACTCCATATTTGTCCTTAAAAGGCGTGTCCAATGGGAGGATGTCATCTTTCATCGCGATGCGAACTGTGCTAGGGACGGGAGCATGAATGCGAAGTGTCTCACGCACAACCGCGTCAAGATACGGGAGCGCCATGAGTTCGTCCATGGATGGAGTCTCGGTCTCCACAGTCCAGAGTTCTTGCCGGAGCCTGGTTTGAAAGTCTGGACGTAGGCAGAGCGCATAGAGGGCCCATGTCGTTGCCGTACTATCCGATTGCGTGAGTGTTAGATATACTCTACGCAATAAGTGGCATCCGTACCTCGTGGTCTCATGTCCTGCGACCAAAAAAGTCGGGACCTCTGAGTATAAACCGTCAGCGCTCTACGCGCATCATTCCAAATGGTGACTTACGCGCGAGCACATCCTCGTCAGATATCCTCTGGTTCTCCGGGATATCGGTTGCCATGTTGGCACGGACAAGTAGGGTAAGTAAATCACGCCCTTGAAGACTGCTCTTCTCAATGGTACCACCTTTTTCGATGCCATGAGATGATATAACAGCAGCTTTAGCATCATTCAGCAGCTGGCGGCCAATGCGACCCATTGTCTTTTGGGCGGCATCTATCTTGCGATCGGCATCAGAGCGCTGGAGGGGATCAGCAATAATTCACTGTCAGGTTGCAATAGTAAACTCACGATCCATCGGAGTAATGGAATCCGTGCCTTAAGCATGGGGAGGACGCCCATCTGCTGACTGGCAGAAAACATAACCGAGAAGGCCTGGTTAAGTTCATTTGGTTTCTCGGTTGCATTCAGGGAGTCAAATTCATAGTTGAAACCTACGATACTCAGTGCTGGTCAGAAGCTCCTGTGGATAAGAACGCACCTGCAAGCCCGATGACATCCAACGTCATTTTACTCAGCCAGGGCATGATATCTATTCGAGTAGCATGTTTACTGGCAGCGGTCATGGTAGACCAGATGTCTCGAAGCTGAAAGGGAGAGAAATCGACACCCATATCTAGTGAGAAACAGATCAAGCTTACCTTGATTGATTTGCTGAGGAAGATGTCAGTTAATGCGCGAATCTGAGCAGGTCCAAAAGCGGGATTCTTGAAAAGATATGGTCAAATTGGTTCGAGGTCAACAAACGCGAGGCGCACCATGATCCGTCTCTGAGACGTGACATCAATATCATGACAGTGAGATACATGTCAAAGACATACCTGCTGACGATGTTGAGCCCCTTCAAGTTGGGACCGCCATGAGCAGACATGTGAACAGGAAGTCGGGGATCGCACCTTCAACAAATAGGACACCTTGAAAACTTGTCAAAATCACCTGAGATAACAGTAGGCACGCTGGCACGCACCTTCGCCTAAAATTCTAGAAAGATTATACCGGACTTGTGACGGTTTCTGGTAATCGCTGCTATGAGTGAGAACATGGTTCAGTGCGCGAGTATCCATCGTGAACAATCGGTCTGACTGATAGAAGAAGTTCGAACATTACAAGTTTTGTGATTGCAGGAGGAATGAACATACATATAAGAATCCTTTATACTTCAGGGTTGTCCCGTACTCCTTCAACCATTGCTCATGAAGCACTGAGTTCTCCTGTGAATTTTCAATGAGGACCTGAGTGACAGCGTCATGATTACACTTAGTCTGATGGAACATACCGCGACGAAGATTTCCTTCAAGTTGCCATATATCCAACTTGTTCCTTTGGGGCCTGGCAATGCGCGCAGGGGCGACCTTAGGTTGCGCCAGACTAGCTTCCAACATCCGAAGGTAACGAGTGCAGAACTTGCTGAGAAGACAAGTTTCCAAAGGAAAGGAGTGACCATGGATGTGGATATTGTTGCTTTAACCAACAGGAGTCCCATCCGATCTCCTTTAAGTATAGAGACTGCTTCCGCCTGCGCACTGGTTACTATGCGTGTGCGTCTCGCGCCAGAGTGGTACTAGAATACACAGCCGCAACACAGCCGTACATGCCGCCCCAATTCGCGGCCAGGCAACCTTGCTGCGACCCAAAGTGTTAAACTCTCGACTGCGCATCAGTGTGAGAAGGATATCTAGACAATCTGCGACCTCGGGATTTCGTAAGGCTAATTAGCCGAGTTAGCCGGGACTGATGTTGGGCCGCCGGCCCATCTACAAGGTTGCATGTTCGGCCATACTGTCACGCGCGCACGCATGCGTGAGGATTTTTGAAAATAGCTGCCAGCATATTCCGGAACCTTAACTAATTATACTCAGTCTATAGAACTCACTACCATGCCACCATGCATTCCGTGATCTTCTGAACATCATATGGTTCAACACAAGTGCCAGATTCAACCGTCTGGTACTTTTCCTTCTTTCATCTCCGCGTGCTTGGACCATGATCATGTCCCTAACACTCTTGGGTATGACTCTGCTTTCGGCCCCATGTCGCTTGCGTTCAGGATGTCGATTACCTTCAAGAGCTCGTTGCGTGACTTACCCAGACCTGATCGTGACGCACAACAGCAACACAAATGCCACGTTTCACTTACCCGACACTTTCTCGCTAGACCATGCGCTGCTCTATATATGCAATATCATCTTCGGAACGCGTGGCCGCGGATGATCTACTGGCGCGCAGTGATCATAGCGCTCACCCCGAACACGCTTTCAGCAAGCTGACTACTCTCTGCCGACTATACCCTCAATAACCGTTCGTTCCACACCGCAGATCTGACACCTTTCGTGACGAATATGCAGTTCCAGCGTGAGTGATATGTGATTTCTTATGTTTCGGAGTCTTGCTAAGCTACTTCTGGTTTCCTTCTAACGTTCGTACGTCTCCCACACCTACCATGGCGTCGTTCCTCTCCACGGGATTCGCGCCTGCCTGTATGATGCCAAGCACGGAATGTGTGCATTCACCGAGGCTCGGCAGGAAACAGATACGGGCAACGGACTGTACATGGGAATGTTGTGGATAGTGATCTTCGATGACGGGAGAACCGCTGCAGGCGTAAGTTAGACCGGGGACATGTTGTGAGGTAAGTTTTGCTGGATTGTACATAACACTGTTAATTTCTGTCACTGCTAATATGTACACAATGTTTCGTATTCCGGGTTCTCCTTGGCAGGTCACTGTCTGCGACTGTGTACGGAAAGATGACCGATGTTGTCTTCCAACTAACTACTGCTAACATTGAAAGCGCCCAGTCCAGATTTCGAATGGCACAAAATGATATGTACAGTGGTTTGGAACGTCCTCCAGCTCTATCCTGAGCTAAGCGAACCATTGGCACCGAGCGAGAAAATGACATGTCCAAATATCCGTCTCCCGGAACGCATGATCTACAGCCGCTATCACTGCTAAATTTGAAGTTCTGAACATCTGACAAGATCCACATGCAGGTCTGCTCAGTCGTGGGAGAAGGCCACCTCGCCTCAATGTCTTCCTTGTCATTGTTATCGCTCAAGTGACCTCTACTTCATGCTCCGCCTGGGGCTACTTGAAGCAAGCCCGTCTCGCCACCCTCTTATCGCTAGGTGTTGACCTTCCGCTTTCTGTCATCTCCCTCTACACGAAAAAATGGGCGCAAAACTACTTACCCTCTTCTGGGCATGGCTAGCGCTAAGCCATTCCTTTTATGTCTCCGTTTCTGCGGCAATCACAACGCCTCTACCCGATCTCTATGAGGCATCTGTGATCGAGCTCCAAGCGGGTCTTACTTCGGGGCAGTTCACAAGCGTCGATCTGATCAAGGTCCGTAAGCTAACAGTCTTGCATAGTCACGAATAGCCTAGGATGATACTGATGAAGTTGCGGAATTGCTTTTTTGGTATGACAGGCGTATTTCGCCCGCATTGAAGAAGTCAATTTGAAAGGACCGATGCTTCGTGCTGTGATTGAGACCAATCCCTCTGCGCTGCGGGAAGCTGCGGCGCTGGATTACGAGCGGCTCACCTACGGGCCGCGGAGTGCGCTCCATGGGATCCCGGTGCTTGTGAAGGACAATATCGCGACTGTAGCATTTGAAGGTGTGTTTCAGTGACGTGGAATGGAGAGCCGAAGATGATAGTGATGTTTGAAGGAATGAACACGACTGCGGGGTCATATAGCTTGTTGAACTCTGTGGTTCCGGATGATGCAGGTGTAGTGAAACGATTACGCAAGGCAGGAGCCATTATTCTCGGTGCGTTTTTTGATGGCGCAGGTCAACGTGAAAATCCAACACAGCCATATTGCTACTGCAGGCAAGGCAAACCTGTCCGAGTGGGCACACTTCCGTGGAAACCTCGCCTCCGGATGGTCAGGGCGCGGAGGACAATGCACGAACGCGTACTACCCAAACGCCGACCCATGTGGTTCGTCGGCTGGTTCTGGCGTCTCTGCATCTATTGGCCTGGCTGCTGTCACTCTTGGGTTTGCCTCCAGTTCATTCTCTTGCACTGAACTTTTACTGATATGAGAGGCAGGACGGAGACGGACGGGAGTATCACATGCCCCGCAAATCAAAATAATGTGGTAGGCATCAAGAGCACTGTAGGGTTGACATCCCGTGCGGGGGGTAAGTCACGTCCCGCCTCATCTCATATTAAACTCACAATCTTATCTCCAGTAATACCGATCTCGGAGCACCAAGACACAGTTGGTCCCCTCACTCGCTCCGTTACAGATGCTGCCATTGTCCTTTCCATCATCGCCGGCCCAGACCCTAACGACAACTTTACGATGGCGCAACCAATGCCCGTACCCGACTACACCATGGCACTCAGTAACACATCGCTCGCTGGCAAGCGTATTGGAGTGCCCCGTGCAGTCTTCATGAATGACACCATGACTGGCAATGATCCATACGTGAATCAAGTATTTGAGCAGGCACTGGAGACGCTAAAGGTCCTGGGCGCGACAATTGTAGACCCAGCTGATTTACCCTCGGCGTACGAAATATACGAGTCTAATAATGAGACTGTCGTTCTAGATGTTGACTTCAAGGTATCTAAGTGCAGTTAAAACATTTGAAAAATTCGGTGCTGACACTTCGGTTCTTCTCTGCAGGTCCAACTCAACGCCTGGTTTGACAGCCTCATTGCAAACCCATCAGGGGTGGCTTCACTTGAGGAGTTAATCGTGTTTGATAGCAACAACCCAACGCTCGAAGAGCCTACGGGATACTCAGACCAGTCTATGTGGGTATCCCTGTAAGGGCACAACTATCCTCATTGAACTTATTGCAGTTTGATCGAATCACAAGCAACTACTGGTTTTAATGCATCTTACTACCAATCTCTCGCATTTGATATGGAACTTGGCGCCACTCGTGGCATCGATGCAGCCCTCAAGATGTATGCTCTCGACGCTCTGGTGCTCCCTGCACCAGGTTACACGACTGTTCCTGCAGGTTCGTATTTGAAAATTTATGTTCATCTATGGACTCAAACACGGCACTTTCACAGCCATCGCGGGATATCCGATTGTCACGGGTAAGCAATCTCTCAATCTCTAGCCATCTGATTGGTCAACCCTCTCCGTCCTCAGTGCCTTTGGGCTTCTATCCAGAGAATGTTACGATTGCCAGCGCAGGGCCCAATACTGTCTATCCAGCTCCAGGCGTCCCAATTGGACTTTCGTTCCTTGGAACAGCATGGAGCGAGTATAGCCTTGTCGGTTTTGCATATGCCTACGAACAGAAGACCCAAACAAGGCTACAAAGGAAAGCCTACGCTGCAGCAATTCCGACAACACAGCTGGCGGATGTTATAGGGAAGTAGTTATTATAACCGTACCCCGAGATAGCTTCACTGTTTATCAAACCTCTCCTCAGCTGTATGAACTTCAAATACAAATCACTGGTGTTTGTTCAACGGCAGGTGTCAGTCACAACGAGATTGAAGATTCCTTCGTGTGAAAATATCAAGAAACCATTCTGTTTGGCCACTATTGCAGGCACAAAACATGCAATACTTAGTGAGGAAGGGGATCAAATACGGCAGCGGGAAAGATGTATCTAAAAAGCTAACTTAGTCGGAGTTCCTCTCTCAAAGTGCTTTTGAGCAGTTCGCTTTTGGTGGAAGCACTTGTTAGATTCAGGAACGAAGGAGCAGGAGATAGTAGAGTGAGACAATACGAGCGCAACCCGAGAATGCGAAGAACGACGCCACGACGTCAGCCGAGAATACTAATATTAAAGTGTTAATTCCTAAGCTACGGTATATTTCTTTATCACTATGCTACTTACACTACCAACTGCCACTTTGGGCGAAACCGAGCTCGCGAGAAAACTATTCAGCGCTCCTGGGAACCAGCTAGATCGTATTTCTTGTAGGTGTGAATTTGGAGGTTTATCTGAGAATTTTTCCCGATATCCCTACCAAGGTGGTAATAGCTGTGTACGCATACATCATAGGCTGTACAGATGTCGCGTGGTGTACATGTGAGGGAGATAAGAATAAGTCATATGGTCAAGATCAGGCGTGAGATATAGCACAGACACCTGCAAGATATCCTGCAGATATCTGGAGCGCTATCTTTTTTTATTCATTACCATGTAACTACAAAATTCCTGCAGCAATGTTGTGCATACTTGCAACGATGCTTCTGATCCGATGACTGGTTGCTTAAGTGCTCCGTCTGTATGTTCGATCTTCAAAACATTATACAATTGGCATACAAGGCATACAATGAGTGGAGAACAGCCGCGATAAGGTATGTACTTGTGTATATTATATCACCGCACATGAAAAACAACATCTGGACCATTGTAACAGGTTTAGTCAGTTGAAATGAGCGGATACGGATAGAAAAGGGCCGTGTCCTGTTAAGACCGTGCTCAGGGGTAAAGCGGAGTCTGAGGGGCTTGGCTTCAGCTCATGCGCTGCGCCCCTTACCCAAGTACGTGCCCCTAATTTCGGAGTGTAGTCCGACACGAGTTCTATGGGTTCCGACAGGACGTCAGAACGGGGGTCCTCTGAAGGAGGACTGATGGACTACTAGGTGAGCATGGGAAAGTCGGGCGGGGTTGTTCCGCCTGACAGGAGGGTCGCAGGAGACTACTGCAGTCGGAACCAACAGTAGAAGTGGAGTGGAAGGGACTGTTTGGATGAAGTCTGAAGCAGAGTGGAATGGAGGGGACGGATGCGAGAGTGCGGGGTCTAGTTCCGACGTGCGGGGAGTCAGAGGAGCGGAGGGACAGAGGAACGGGGGAACGGGGGAATGGGGGAACGGAGGAGTGGAGGATTGGAGGATTGGAGGATTGGAGGATTGGAGGATTGGAGGACTGGGGGATTGGAGGGTGGCCGACCTAGGGAGTCTATCCCCTAGGCCAGCTTAACAGGAGTTGACTAGGATCAGGCCCAAGTCAAAGAACAGAAGAGCAGGGCTTAGAAAAGGTAATATTCAGACTGAGTATCTACAGACAAAGGTACATAGGTTTACAGTGGCTCAAAAAACTGTCCGCATGTTTTCACATTTTTCACTATCTATGATATTGTGTGAGAATGTACAAACACATCAAGGACATGCTGGTACCATATTGTAGTACTACTTCAGGGCTTCCAATGGAGCCCTATGGCGTGGGAATTGGTCGAGATATGGTGGAGATATGAGGCTTACAAAATGATGACTCATGCGGACAGTTTTTTGACTCAAGTATTTTACAGTGATAATCAGGTATTCTAGTACATTGTGTGACCTCCCTTGGCTTTAATTACTGCCTCTATCCTTCTAGGCATACTCTCAATCAATTTCTGGCAATATTCTGCTGTAATCCTTGCCCATTCCACTGCTACTCTCTCCCATAGCTCCTATACTCCTTTAGGGGGGGTTTCATAGGCTTGAAGCATCTTCTTGAGTATTCCCCAGAGATGTTCAATGACATTGACATCAGGGGACTGTGCTGGTCAGTCAAGAACATTGATATTATGTTCTTTAAACCATTGTCTGGCTCTCCTAGATGTGTGCTTGGGATCATTATCCTGTTGGAAAATGATGTCTTCTTCATCAATCCCTGAGTCAGCTATGCTAGGCAGCAAGTGGTCATTTAGAATGTCCACATACTGCTCAGCATCCATCCTCCCCTCAACTTCAGTGGGCATACCCACACCATTCCATCTCATACAGCCCCATACCATTAGAGAACCTCCTCTAAATCTGACAGCCTCACTAACCTCTCTGTCTGTTAGAAAATCCCTCTTCTTTTTCCATACATATACCTTTCCATCTGACTAAATCCTATTGATTTTGGTCTCATCTGAACATATAACATGCTTCCAGTCCTCTACAGTCCAGTTTTGATGGGCCAAGCCAAAGGTAGTCTTTTCAGCCTATGTTTAATAGAGATAAGAGGCATTTCTTCTTTGTTACTGCCTTGAGATGAGCTGCCTTGAGAACATTCCTCACAGTTTGTGAAGAGACAGTGGTGGTGATGGTGGAATTGGTATAATGGGTGGCTTGGAGGGCATTATTAGCCTTTCCTGTAGTGATATGTTGGATGATAGCCCCCTTATTAGCAGAGGTGGACATCCTCCACAAGAGTTTTCCTTGTCCAGGTGGCTTTCTTTGATACACTTGGCTGCAGTAGACTTGCATACTTCAGTTCTAGAGGAAATTTGATGAGCAGAGAGGCCAGCATAGGACAAAGAGAAGATATTATCCCTTTGAGTAGAGGAGACGGCTTTCATGGTAATTATGACCATGACACATGAGACATTCTGGTTTATATAGTTAGATATAGTCTTAAGAGTATGCCTAGAAGGATAGAGGCAGTAATTAAAGCCAAGGGAGGTCACACAATGTACTAGAATACCTGATTATCACTGTAAAATACTTGAGTCAAAAAACTGTCCGCATGAGTCATCATTTTGTAAGCCTCATATCTCCACCATATCTCGACCAATTCCCACGCCATAGGGCTCAATTGGAAGCCCTGAAGTAGTACTACAATATGGTACCAGCATGTCCTTGATGTGTTTGTATATTCTCACACAATATCATAGATAGTGAAAAATGTGAAAACATGTGGACAGTTTTTTGAGCCACTGTATATACTCTAAGTAAGGAGCATAGCATAGCAGAAGGCTATGTGCTGAGTGTACAGGATTACAATGGGATGACTGAGACATACGAGAATGAGGCTCGGAGAAAAGTATGTATGCGACGGATCAGACTCGCTAGGGTATAGGGATTACTGGGGATCCGAAAAGCGGAACTATAATACTAAACAGGGATAGGACCAGTTGAGTGGTTCCTAGTCTAGGAGTGGACCAGTGAGGTGGTTGGACGGACTAATGGTTGGGCGGGTCAATACAAGCGGAACCGAAGGATCCGAGCGGGGAGGAAAAGCGGAGGGAGTAGGAGTAGGATTGGGCGGACCAATAGGGTGGAGGAGCGGAACCCCAGATAGGGTCGGATGGAAGGGGTATGGTGTCGGAGGACATAGGGGTAATGTCGGAAAAGTGGAACGGAGTCGGATGGAGGTAGCAGGGCTAATCCTACTGAGATGCACTTCGTGCATTGTTGGGGAAGGAGGAATGAAGCGGACGGGGAAACAGGGGGTTGGGCCAGCAGTGGGGATGCTCATAGGAGGTACTGGGGGTACTCGGATCCGGTATATGACACGTCCCTGCAAAATGCGTCCCAGATCTCCTCCAAGTCCTCCACATCACCTGGGTCTATCACAAGAATATCCTGATCAGCTGTGACACTACCACCTGAAGCCTCTAACCACCTTTCAATGAATACACCTTCCAATGGTATGCGAGGATCCCACATCCGCCAGTTACCTCTGGGGAAAAAGGGATATCCTGCAACAAATGCCAACCAAAATGTGTCCCGTCCCCATGTCCACTGCGGTAATTCCGTATTGAGTTCTACGAGCCACTTCTTGATCTGTTTTGATAGCGCCACCCAATCAGCTTGAATGGTGTAGTTGAATGCTGGTGGAAGGGGGAGAAATGGGATGGGAATATCATCAGGATGGGTAATATATTCCTGGAATGTATTAGCCTTTGAGCGCAAGGTAAGTTTTCTAAAGTCAAGTGCACACCAAATGTACTCACATCTGAGTCTCCTGAGTGTAGCGAACTTCCAGCATCGAACTGCCATAGATCCACTGGCATAATGTTCAGGAACGGCATGGTGAAGCACCCGTATTCTTCAGCTATTGAGACCAATATCTCGATAGGCTGTGAGCACATACATGTGGGTAAGTCTTGTGAATGGTTGGAGGCAGCGAATACTCACTATGTTTTGCTCGATCAGATGTCTTGGAAGTGTACTGGAAAATTTGATGGTAAAAAACAGTGGCTTGAGGGTAGTGTCATCCGTATCCAGGCATTGGACATCAGGATATACAGTTGCAACATTAGTGAGCACCACAGGCATTATGTATGGATCAGTTGAACAGCAATTCAGAGTTCCAGGACATGGGATTTTGGACTTGTCATAACTTTATTGCACACCACATGACTTTCCACCGCACTGCAACTCAGTCATGAAGCACAATTTTATTGATGGCACAAGTAAGCATATATTGTCTTTGGAGCTGCTGGTGATTATATACTGATCTTACTACTTACAGTTCTACAATTCTATGATGATATGCAAAGCCGCGTCATTTGCACTGTGTGCCCCAAGAAGTCCGGTGTCTATCATGCCATGGAGCTCCGTTTTGCTCAGAAGCATGCCCAATCGGACATGCACACATGTCATGCCAACAATCTGAGGAACCGCCAGACATCAAATCCTCATTGCATTGTTGAAGCCAAGCATTGGACTGGGAATAATCCCAAACACAATGTCTCTGAGTCTGGTGTGAATGTGGAGCTCGAATCATTTGGACTTGATTTTATGGATGGCGACAATTGCCCAATGGAGACAGACTCACACAGTGCACCCATGCTTGACTCGGAGATCTCATTGTCCGAGTACTCGAGGGATATTGTCAGAAGTCGGTCATTCGAGGTTGACGAAAACACCTATTCACTGACCTGCAAGAAAAACTCGCCTCTGGAGACATTCCCTTCTCCATGCCACTTGCCCCCATCGACAAGGAGCATGAGTTATGTGATTACGGCACACCCGACTTTGGGATAGATATTTTCGGTAGGTGAATTTAAATTGGTATATCTCACCTTGAACTTAATCCCATTTGCAGATTATGACCCTCCAGCGACACGACATGCTCTCAAAAATGTCTCTCCTGATATTTCAACCTACCCTTGGCCTTTGAAGGCAGTGTGTACTCGTCGTGTCAGTCATAAACTGAATATTTATGGCCTTCTTAAGGATTTTGTGACAGCGCTTTTATTCAGCTCACCGCGCCTTCCCTTTTCAGACACCCAGAAGAAAGCAGTACTAAACTGGGCAAAGGAGCTTGGCGCTCAAAATGTGCCTTCGTTGGATGCGACTGTTAAGACCATGCTCAGGGGTAAGGCTGAGTCTGAGGGGCTTGGCTTCAGCTTGTGCACTGCGCCCCTTACCCGAGTACGTGCCCCTAATTTTGGAATGTAGTCCGACACGAGTTCTATGAGTTCTGACAGGACATCGGAATGGGGGCCCTCTGAAGGAGGACCGATGGACTACTAGGTAAGCATGGGAAAGGTGAGTGGGGGTTGTTCCACCTGACAGGAGGGAAGTGGGAGACTACTGCGGTCAGAACCAACAGTAGAAGTGGAGTGGAAGGAACTGCTTGGATGAAGTCCAAAGCAGAGCGGAATGGAGGGGATGGATGTGAGAGTGTGGGGTCTAGTTCCAACACACGGGAAATCGGAGGAGTGGAGCAATGGAGGAATGGGGGAATGGGGGAGTGGGGGAATGAGGGAATGGGGGAATGGGGGAGCGGGGGAATGAGGGAATGGGGGAATGGGGGAATGGGGGAACAGGGGAACAGGGGAATGGAGGAGCGGAGGATTGGAGGATGGCCAACCTAGGAAGTCAATCCCCTAGGCCGGCTTAACAGGAGTTGACTAGGATCAGGCCCAAGTCAAAGAACAGAAGAGCAGGGCTTAGAAAAGGTAATATTCAGACTGAGTATCTACAGACAAATGTACATATGTTTATATACTCTAAGTGATGAGCATAGCATAGCAGAAGGCTATGTGCTGAGTGTACAGGATTACCAGAGGATGACTGAGACATACAAGAATAAGGCTCGGGGAACAGTATGTACACGACAGATCAATAATCGCTAGGGTATAGGAATTACCGGGGATCCGAAAAGCAGAACTATGATACTAAATGGGGATAGGACCAGTTGAGTGGTTCCTAGTCTAGGAGTGGACCGGTGAGGTGGTCAGATGGACTAATAGTTGGGTGGGGGAATACAAGCGGAACTGAAGGATCCGTGCGGGTCGGAAAAGCAGAGGGAGTAGGAATAGGATCGGGCAGACCGATAGGGCGGAGGAGCGGAACCCCAGATAGGGTCGGATGGAAGGGGTATGGGGTCGGAGGACATAGGGGTAGTGTCGGAAGAGTGGAACGGGGTCGGGCAGAGGTAGCAGGGCTAATCCTGCTGATGTGCACTTTGTGCATTGTTGGAGGAGGAGGAATGGAGTGGATGGGGAAACAGGGGGTTGGACCAGCAGTAGGGATGCTTATAGGTGGTACTGGGGGTACTCGGATCTGGTATATGACAGCAACCAAGAAGTGTCAAACATTCATTGAGGATCTTGTCGGTCAGCCAACTGAGAAGGTAACTGCTCGGTCAGGGAATGTATTTTACATTAACAATATCGCAAATGCGATTGCAAATGTTTGTTTGTTGTCACTTTGAGTTGGAGTGGTGTTCATGTTACATTTTAGGACTATGCGAACCCACTTACACGATTCGCGATGCAAGACTATCCTGAAGATGGTGGAAATGGAATGTTGCAGGTCTTTAACGGGACTAAAATGTTGCTCGACCTCCTGTCACCTCCCGCAGCTTGAGTGGATGGAAAAGTATATTTTGTCAATGAGTTATTACAGGAGTCTTCGGGAGCCTACTTTATCCCCGAATGGTTCTTCCTTGGCTCTCCACCTGTTGAGGACAGTGCCGAACACCACGAACAGCCCAATGGTAAAATCCTATATGCGCTTGGTCACACTGCTCAACGGACTGATGTGAGTGACCTTTCAATGTATTATGTACGATTTTGAATTGTTTGATAGGCAGGATTCATTATTAATGATGAACGGGAAATTGTCCCAACGGCGATATTTGCACAATCATATGAAGATATCTCATCAGAGCGTGATGAGCTTGAGTGTGGACTCACTGGTATGTCAGACCTTGGTTGCCTTATGTTGTACCCTTATGCACGAAACAGCATCGTCTGGTAAATATGGGTCACTCGAGCCTAATCCACTATGAGAAAAGGCACAAGGCCGAATGGTATACATGGTCCCACTAATAATATTCATGGACGATGTTTCGAGAAACATCTTGAAGCAATGGAACAATCACCATGCTATCTACATGTTGAATGCCAACCTACCGCGAGAAATGCTCGAGAAGGAGTTCTTTGTTCGATTTGTCACATCATCACCCCATGCTGCCCCAATGGAGCTCATGTGAGCGATGAAAGATTCTCTTTGGTATGTTGTTCTCTGGACTCGTTCTGTATCCTTTGTGAGTGTTTGTACTAGTAACACAGCGCAGTCTGGTATTGTCGCATGGGACTGCAAAGATGAGGAGGAGGTTATGCTGATTCCAAGTGGACTTTTTCTTGCTGGCGACAATCCTATGCAGGCTGAGGAATGCAGTCACGCAGGCCTGAGCTGCAACTATTTTTGCAGAATGTGCGATGTCGGTGGCACGAAAGAACACAAGGCATCCGAAGAAGGTTATAATAGTATATTCAAGGTATGAATACATCAGTGTCTTTAAATTTATCTAATCTCATACTCGTAGTCAGGTCATTTATGAACAACTGAAAAGACTACCAATGACATTCGATATCAATTTGAGGCTGCAATGAAATCGGGTGCCACCACAAAAGTGCAGAATGCTGTTTCTTCCACTGGCGTTCGTGACTCTGCCTCCGCATCCATTCTTGAGTCACTCGTAGAACTCGGCAAAAAACTTTGTAAATGAGGGCTGGGCTTGTCAGCAACACCCGAAAGCAAAGTTATAGCAACGCTTGAAAAGGAGTTTGAGGAACAGTTATGAGGTGGCACACTCGACGACACGTTGAATCCGCTACTTGGGATGAATGGTATGTTTGATCAATGATACTACTGACATTGCACTTGTGACATTGTCTGACAGGCATCAATATTCATTTGGATACACCAACAGAAATCCTCCATACAGTATTGTTGGGTGTGGTGAAGTACTTTTGGGGCCAGACTGTGTTTCTCCTGGAGAAAGCAAAACTCTTGCACGTTTTTCAGAGCTGCCTCGAGTTCGTTGACAAAGATGGAATGAATGCACCCTCTCTGAATGCTGACTATATATGCCATTATAAAGGCAGTTTAATAGGTAAACATTTCAAGAGCTTAGCCCAAGTAATGCCCTTCCTGGTGCATGACCTCGTCCCTTGGACAGTTCTCAATGCATGGTCTGTAATTGGAGAACTCGTTGCGCTTGTCTGGCACACAACAATACCGGATACAGAAGAATATCTCGTTAGTTTGTACCGAAGTGTTAAAAGGTGTCCTCGACTGATTTTATTTAACTAGGCAAGGTTATCCCAAACAATTGAGGACTTTCTCAATGTTACAGCACAATGTGCTCCGAGCATCCTCATCAGCAAGCCAAAGTTTCACTTTTTGGTTCATCTCCTGGCATTCATATGTCGCTTCGGACCTGCTATCATATTCTCCACCAAGAGATATGAATCATTTAATCACATTTTCCGATTGTCCTGTATCCATAGCAATCGATGTGTGCTGAGCAGGGACACTTGTTGACTCTTCACTTATCAAGATATCGTGAAACACATCACAATGGGCAGACATTGGTATGATAGCAAGACCAAGAAATGGGTTTGAGGTGAAGAGGAGGTGCTATCTTATCTCAATGGACACCCGGAACAGGCCCACCTTCTTGGTATATCGAGTATCTTGCATGAGCCTCCACTACCTGGTGAGTTGAGCGCCAAGCAGCATGCTGTCAAGTTCTCACTAAAGTACACATAGGCACTGGAAGTCCCGAGACTGCCATTGGCGCAAACGGGAAAGCACAGCAAACAGACGGAGTAGAATGGAAGGACACCCATTGTGCGGAAATCCTCGGAACACAATCAGGTCCTTCTTACTGTCTTGGCAAATCACTCGTGACGAGCAAGGGTGAGCAGGTGAATCTGGGTGGTCATGTCATTTTCCGATGAGCAGTGGATAGACAGGTGAGTGATTTTTGGCTTGTTCATGATCATCCGTACTCATGATATGTGCGCAGATGTCTATCAGACGTATCAGCGAGATTCTGATATCACACAGCACCAATAAAACTGTGGATCATGTTGTGCTGCAGGTCTTTTCATTTGGACCTGCCTTACATCAATCACTCTTTCTACAATGCCTGGACCTTACGGACAATGAACTAGTTTCAACAGTGGCAGTAAGTGGCATATTCTCTAAATGAGCCATCTATTGATGATTGCTGCATCACAGGATATTATTTGCACCATCAATCTTCAACATAACTGTATCGATTCCAAGTGCATAGACATGCGCCAGCAACACGTGCATCAAGAACGGATCAAAACCGCTCGAACAAAACCTGTTGTTGATCATCAGCCAACTCCATACTATTTCCTCAATGCCTACTCAATTCACAACTGCGATTTGATCAGGCTGGTCATCCCCAAGGCGCTTTGCGAGTCACCATTAAGAGTTGTTAATCCAGCTGAAGTTCGTACTCTGGCCGTGCAGCAGATGAAAGACAAGAAGGCGGCAAAGAAAGGGGGTGAAATTCCTTAAGAAAGTGAAACCGTGGAGGATGCCACAATGGCACAACTCCCTGCCTTTGACTGTGCTCCTGCCAAATCAAAGGCAGCCACCAAACCGAGAAAGAGTGCAAGCGGTGCCAGTACACGAGGCAGAAAGAAGGCGGTATCATCACGTGTCAGGCAGCCCGTCACTGGGACTTCGAGACAGATCTCTCCATCCAGTCAGCAGGTTCCAATGGTCCTGTCCCATCAACTCCCACTGCAAGCTTCATATTACCCTCCGCCACTATCAATGGGACCTTCCCTGCAGGCCCAACATCCTCCTCCTTTGCCATCAGCAATATCATATCACAATGCAGGTCATCGAGGAGCACAAAACATGCACGCAGTGTCCCCAGTGCACCCTGCTCGCACAGCCCAATTCCCCAGTTCACAACCTCCTCTGGCAATGCACCAACCCCACACCAACTCTGGGGTTCACCTTATGCAAGCTGTGGTCGAGCATTTGTATCCTCAAGCTGCTACTACACAGCAACCCCACTATCTGTCGCAGACAATGCCTACCACACAGGCTGGACTGCAGGCCGGCTTGATGCAGCACACCACCAGCCAGCATTTGTCTCTGCCACATACTCATGTGCATGCACAGATGTATCACATTCGCCAACAGCAAGCTCAAATGGCTCATGCTCATATGCAGGCGTTTCACACTCATGTGCAGTCGCAGTCACAGGCACAGTACCCACCATATTTCTTGGACTATTCTGCATATCCTCGCAGAGCATGAAGTTGGATGTCTTCGTTTCTTGGCAGCAGGAGAGAATCCTCGGTGGTGAAAGAAGTATCAAGAATCTTCGGTGGCGGGAGACGAGCGTAAGCGTGACACAGCATGAATGCGAGTTCCTGCAGGCTGAAACGAGGCGAGAAGGGTATATAACAAAATGCCAATTCTTCCCAAGGAACAGGTGTGTCGCTCAGCTACTACTCTTCGTATCCACTTGATCATTGAATGGATATCTGGGAACAAAGTGGACAAGTCTGGGAACTGCCCCACAGGATCCGTCGCCGACCAGGGAGTGGGCAATGCAATCCTGCAGTTCACAATTTCTACTTGCAGTTGCATGGAGGTCTCCTCGGAAGTTCGTTCAATGAGCGACAAAAGCAACGGGATAAAATGCATCGCAGACTCACCATTTACCTACGACTATGAAAGTTAATTCCGGTTTTGAACTTTTCAAGTGCTTGTTGCTCCAGATATCATCAATCGCCCCTAATGGACACGATTCAACAAAGAAATGACCCTCACTGAACTAACTCGGTGACCTGTGATGTCCTCAATATGTCAATCTTCAGTGACAGGAGAAATATCAAGAATTCAGCGCAGAGTGATGTTGTAACACTGTGAATCTGATGCACATAGTTTATTTTTTATTGCAATGACAGTCTCAAAATCAGTGCTTGACCGTGAAGTTTGTGTGTTGCCAAACAACTTGGAACGATGGAAATGAAAAGTATCCATACCGTGTTCAAATTTCAAACTTTAGCCTTTTCATCCGATATTGCACAACAACACCAACAACCTGCTCGAGGATGTTGCTCCAATGGTTTCCTGTTCGGTCTGGAACTTCTCGCAATCAGACAGGAAGCTCACAGGCTAGAAGGGCAGGTTCAATGAGCGGTCTGTTGACACCTGCAGCCACTGGTGGGCCTCGAGCCAGGAGTCTTTCAGCATCTAGTCCTCAACATCCTTCCAGCCATGGTGCACCTAGGTCTCCTGTGAATAGGATCATCCAGCGAGCATGTTCGCCATTGGGAATAACCCCGTCAACTTTACCAGGGAGCAATCACTCAGCATCTCACACTGCCGTTGAGAGGCATGGTGGTAACATCACCTTGGAGACTCCATCTGAACAATCTCTTGATGATCCTATCATGGCTGGTGTGCACCGCCAGAGAGCGGACTCCGATGATGGCTATGACATGACTCGGTCGCTTTCACCTTCAGAGTCAAAAAGACTCAAGGTGTATGCAAACCAAGTCACTGAGCAGACTGGTTGCCCTCTGGAGGTTCTGCACAAATTTATAAACATTAGTGTTTTGGAATTGTGATTGTGTGCTTTGTTGACACAACTTTAGACCAGAAGTATCTTCCATATGCTCATCGACCTGAAAGCCTCGTCATACAAGAGGAACAATGATCAAGAAAGGGCCGCTCTCATTGATCTTAAAAGAACTCATAGATTCCAAAGATTTTAAGGTTGTTATTCATTTTTGTAGAGGGCACCAAGCTGACCATGTGAGATGTAGTCTGCACTTCAGAGCCGCCTGACAGCATGTCTCCTGTCACATAACCTCACCGCATATGTCACTGACACACACACGAACATTATGGTATTTGTCACCCCCTTGTATGCTATGCGGGAATTAACTCCACTACAGGAATTTATCAAGAGCCATCAAGAGGTATTCAAAATGCCAGCTGCGCTAATCGATGACGTGGAGCTTTTGGCACAGCTCTCAAGAATCATCAGTGAATTGCTTGCTTCCATTTGTGGTAACCTCAAAGCCAAGGTTTCCATTTTATTGGCCTGTGCAGACCATGATGCTGACCACTCTTAAGTTGGTCACATCACTCGCCAAACGCATGAGTGTCATGGACGCGGCCAAATCACTCACTCACAGTATAATTGAGGTTGATGCTTCTCATTGGAACAGATATGCATTTTTGGTATGTTCTCATTCTACACTAAGTTGTCAAATACATAGCGCGAGTCTAGCGGTGGTGCTTGCAAATATGTCTCATTGGAATCAGTGACTTCAAAACAATCCCACTCAAAGACCTTTATTCGACCTCACTCATTCCATCTCTCCATAGAGACCTACACGTCAAAATTGCCGAGGCACTCAATTGCAATGTAGGCATTGATGCATGTGAGACCAATGAGCAGCACGCAAATGCTACTGAAGGTAACACGTTTGATTTGGATCATCAGTGCTCCACAGGAGAACTCGGAGCGACTTATGATCGTGGTGATGACCTTGGAGAATGTGATGCAACTGATGATCATGGCGACAACTTTGGAGAGGGAGACCATACCATGGACAACCAAGAAGAAGACGAGTTTTGTGAGAACAGGGATGACGAGAAAGAAGAAACTGGACAGCAAGAGCCTGAGGTCGACGACGGTGGCTCTGGATTCATTCAAGGAACAAACAGCAAGCATCCTAAATTCACCTCCACAAAATTCTGGAATTTCATGGATTGCTCACTCAAAGCTATCCACAAAGCTGCAAGGGAAGAGGCAGGAGATTACGAAGGGGCAGGCCGCGGAGCATATGAAAATGCAGTACAAAAGTAAGTGTTTGTTATCACAGTGTACACTATTGCTGATTGTTCCATAGCATTCTCGTTGAATATTTTCAGATGGACCTTGTTGAGTTTCCAGGAAGCATGGTTGTCCCAAAGCTCCTCGCCACGACCAGTCCTCATGGCAGACAACTATTCAGGATTCACTGCTTTGGAACTGAGATCCGTGGTAGCATACTTATTCCAATCCTTTAGTTCACCTCACCTCCTTTCCATGCATCCATCACACCCTACGCATACCCAAGCCTTAATCACCATTGTATCTACCATCAGTATTAATGCAATCATAGCGCTTGTGCTTCATTTGATTTTTTTTATCAGTGTGATTCCAAACAGCTGAGGTGCATTGAATACAGCTGCGTACGAGATCGGCATCCTTCCAACAAAAATATATCCTTCCTACCTATGAAATGAGACATATGAACAACCTGTCAAAAGAGATATCTGCACAACCTATGAAATAAACATCTGTGCAGCCTACGAAAGAGACACCTGCACAACCTATGAAATAAGATATTTGCACAGCCTATGAGGCCAAATATCTGGTTGGCCTATGAAACGAGACATCTGTGTGACCTATTGAAACCATATGTTAAAAATATCCTAACACAATGTAACTGCTAGCTCTGGTTGTCAATGTTCCACCCAGGTCTCATAAATATTGTCAGGTCCCCAGTGAAGGTCTCTTAGATCTCGCACTCACTGGCTCGCTTGCATAAATATTCAAATTGTCGGCAATTGCTGGTGAGAAAACCCTTCAAGGGATATATTTAGAGGTTTGCCACATGGTAACCATTTTGGATATGTGTCAAGTGTTTGCGGCAGTTTGCAGTGTACTATAAACTTACGAGTTTCCATTAGAACATCTCAGTCCTTTACTTGAGACTGAGATATGAGTTCCTAGTTTTCCCATCTACATAAAATGAGCTAACATACCCATAGATTATATTCTTATCAGCTCCTCCTGTTTGCATTCAATCGGCTCGCATAACCACAGCACTGTGTGACAAAGATAACTTGTAAACACAACCGAGATAATCTACTACTGCATCAATGAGATCTACCACAAAGAAGTTGAAATAATGTTTTCCACCTAGATCAGCTGATAGTGGTATATAGATATATCTTTTATGGACTATTAGCCAAAAAGTCTGATACATCATCTACTCTAATTGTCCACTGTCCATGGGGAATGTATCCTACATTCTAAATTACAAATCTTCACCTATACTTCCCATATTACCTAGTTAGTAAAGAGAACAGGTGGGGCTTATATGTCCCCTTTAGTTAGCTAAAATCTTGTTCATACAGAGCACTGCCGGTGGACACCAGCCAAAACCATGACTTTATTGTTAGTTATGTTTACTGTTCTCACACACTATGTTTGTTTAATGTTTGTTCTATGCTAATCAATATTCCTGCGCTTCTCTCTCACCTGTCCTCACTGTTCATGACAGCAAGCTCAACAATAGTCATCACCTCTCTTTGTTTTCTTGTTTGTATTGCTTGTTGCACACCCCGCAGCCCACAACAACACTACACCTACCCTCTGGCCTGCCCCAACCACCACAATAATTTGAACACTCTTTGTAACTCTTGGACTCGGTTTGTTTCCCATCCATTGCCGTCCTCCTCAGTCTTCGCATTGCAACATTCCTATCATACCTGGAGCCCATAAGTCACATGCCATCCCTTCAATCAACATGCACAATCACCACATGTATCAGCACTTGTTTGGGTTAGCGAACTGGAGGGAAAACTCTCTTCTAGCTACCACCACCTCAAACCACATCTTATGGTCAGTTCTGCATGGAATTCATTGGGCAGCGTCTCCCACAAGTGCATCATGCAAATAGGCAGTAGTAAAGCCAAGAGTCTGCGAGCTGGCAGCATCCAACAGCATGAAGACCAAGCAAAATTGTTTCATGCTGAACTACTCAAAAGTACGGTACAATATTTCCTCTGTTTAACTCAGCTGATCATTGTGTAGAGTTGCCTCTGCATGAGTGAGAACAACTCCTAGTTTCTGAGTCTCTTGCTACATCCAAAGCACCATCACATGCCACTACAGACACTCATGTGGACAACAACTTCATGGTTATTGACACAATGCTCCCTCCAGCTGGCAAAGAAGGCTTTACTGTCAGCCATTGGGTGTTAGAGACTGTGCTTGGACGGAGAAGTGGAGGGGGTCAGGACTTGGCTTCAGCTCTTGTGCTGTGCCCTTAGCCAAGTATATGCCCTGAATTTGGAGCAGGTCCGACAATGTCCAATGATAGGACGGGCAGACCACTTTGGTCCGCTTTGTGGGTTGGGAGGTAAATGCTACTAGCGGTAATCCGACTAGAAGCGGAGGAAGTGTGTCGGGACAGAGGGAAGTAAGGGGATTGGGTTTGGTTGGGTCAGAGGAGTAAGAGCGAATACTTAGAGCGTGGCTCTAAGTTGGAGTGGAGAGTTGGAGGTGATGACAAGGTAAACTTGTGTCTGGAGAGAGAGCAAAGTCCTACAGAGAATTCCCACTAGTAGAGACTGCAGGAAGACAAGTAATATTAAGACTGGGGAGTAGCTAAGTACAGGATATGTTTTTATATACTTCTATATAGGAGGCAGTGACTAATAGTCCTTGGTATGAGGCTATGTACTGAGCATAATTTGTAAGTAGACACAGGTGAAAAACATAAGTCAGGGCAGATATTAATATGTATGTGTCAGATCAGTTAGTTGAGTGGTTATAGAAAGTACCGGTGATCCAGGAAGTAAGTGGTATGTGCAAATGGGGAAAATATATACCTAAATGGGGAAGGAGTTTACAGTAGAGTAGAAACAATGCGGAAGGTAACCGACGAGGTGGTTGAGTGGCACCATAGGAGTGGATGCAGGAGCCCACTGGGTCGAGCGGAGGGTGGACAGAGTGGAGGTGGTTGGGAAGCGGGGAAAGTGTGAGGTCAGGTGGAGTGGATATTAATATCGTTGGACTGGTTGGATCAGATATATGACATTGGGGTGAGGAACATGCCCTCTATTTGGAGCTTGAGAAAATCACCCATGTGCAAATTAAGTATGTTATTCTGTGCTCATGTATTTCCTGTATTACCCTCTATTCCCAGACCTGTTGACACATGCAACCGCAGCCTATGTATCACCCAACAGGTTGCTGCATGGAGTGATCAATATGATGCACTTACAGATGCACTACTTGCTTACCAGCATGATGGTATTGAAGTCCCTGAGGTTGATAACTCCAATGATGTGTTTGAAATTGAAGTAGTAGACATATTCAGTGAGTAGCAATACCATTTCCTATGTGGTATTTTACTAATGGTAACTGTGCTCTAGGTCAATCCATCTGCAGATTCAAGCATGAGTCTATATTTACTAATGTAACCTTACTACGCTATGGATGCATTGGTTCATCGCCAGTAAAGCCTAGTGTAGCTATCACAGTTCGGACCCTCGCTGTCTACTGACAGACACATCACATGTGCCCTCACCTCAGCATCCACGCAGAAGCCAAAAAAATCATGTCACCTGCATCATGTAAGTGCTGTCACTTTCAGCATGGTCTCACACAATTGACATATAATTCAGGTACACTATAGTCACTTTCTTGCTGAGCAACTCCGTGCTGCCTTCAATGTTTACCTTGAGCTTCAACAATGGATTTCTTGTTGTCTTGACAAGCACCGTGGCTGTGATACTCCCAACTGGCGGATGTTGAATTCATGCCCAGCATGCCAGTACACACTTGAACAAGAATCACCCTTACTATATTCTGTCATCTGTGCCTGTGATGGCAACAATTCAGCCAAACTTGTGGATCTGACAGTTTGTCATGGAGTGGAGCGCCTAGACCCTCATTTAGGGACATCCTCCATTTGGCTTAGCAAGCCTTATGTTGATGAGTTTACTGACAAGGTAGGGAATGCGTGGAAACAGTGGTCAAAGAAGTCTCACCCTACTGTAGCTGCATCATCAGTTCATGATCCTGATGATCCTTGGATCGAGGAGCCTGAATCAGGTGATTTGTCTGAGCTGGTGAGCATATGCATTGATCAATGGTGTAATGCTGCACCAGAATCATGCAAGAAGATGTTCACAATCTTCAAGAAATCGGGAATATTCATCACCATCTGCCGTCATGGCTTTCTTCTGACTATATGTGTACATGGTTCAAAGTGGTGAACTGTTAGTGTTGTTTCTAGAATGATTAAAATGGGATGCTAACTCTCAGTATAGTATGAAATACCAAATCACTAGCCTCAACAAATTGATGGAAGTATTCAGGAAGAACATCCTTTACAACTACGACATCAAATGTGCGTTTGAGAAGATCCTACTTCACAGCTTGCTAGTGAATCACATCAACCTTCAGGGTGTGGTTCCTGCCTTTCATGGTCATGCTCACAATCACCTTTGCCAGGTCCAGCATCATTCCAAGTACAAGGTTGGTGCTGGTAAAGAAGATTTTGAGACTTGCAAACATGTCTTTTCAGAGTCTAATGCTCTGGCCTCTGAAACTTGGAACACTACTGAGTTTCATCACCACCAAGCTCTTGATGAGCACTTTGCTTCGCCGACATGGTGTTAAGACTGTGCTCAGAGGTAAGGCAGAGTCTGAGGGGCTTGGCTTCAGCTTGTGTGCTGCGCCCCTTACCCTGAGTACTGTGCCCCTAATTTTGGAATGTAGTACAACACAAGCTCTATAAGTTCCAACAGGATGTCGGAACTGGGGGTCCTCTGAAGGAGAACCGACAGACTACTAGGTGAGTGCAGGAAAGTCGGGCAGGGGTTGTTCCACCTGACAGGAGAGAGGTTGAAGGCTACTGCGGTTGGAACCAACAGTAGAAGTGGAGTGGAAAGAACTGCTTGGACAAAGTCTGAAGCAGAGCGGAATGAAGGGGACAGATGTAGCAGGGTGCTGGGATCAGTTCCAACGTGTGGGAAAGGCCACTGATGTGTGGGGAGTTGGATGAGCAGTGGAACAGTGGAACAGTGGAACAGTGGAACAGTGGAACAGTGGAACAGTGGAACAGTGGAACAGTGGAACAGTGGAACAGTGGAACAGTGGAACAGCAGAACAGAGGAGTGGAGGAGCGGGGGAGCAGCCGACCTAGGGAGTCAATCCCCTAGGTCAGCAAACAGGAGTTGACTTGGGTTAAGCCTAAGTCAAGGAACAGAAGAGCAGGGCTTAGAAAAGGTAATATTCAGACTGAGTATCTACAGACAGATGTACATATGTTTATATACTCTAAGTAAGGAGCATAGCATAGCAGAAGGCTATGTGCTGAGTGTACAGGATTACAAGAGAGATGACTGAGACATACGAGAAGAGGCTCAGAGAATAGTATGTATGTGACGGATCAGAAATCATTTGGGTATAGGGATTACTGGTGATCCAAAAAGCGGAACTATGATACTAAACGGAGATAGGACCAGTTGAGTGGTTCCTAGTCTAGGAGTGGACCGGTCAGGCGGTCAGGCGGACTAATTGTCAGGTGGGGCAACACGAGCGGAACTGAAGGAACTGAGTGGGTCAGAAAAGCAGAGGGAGTAGGAATAGGATCGGGCAGACCGATAGGGCGGAGGAGCGGAACCCCAGATAGGGTCGGATGGAAGGGGTATAGTGTCGGAGGACATAGGGGTAGTGTTGGAGGAGCAGAACAGGGTCGGGCAGAGGTAGCAGGGCTAGTCCTGCTGAGATGCACTTCATGCATTGTCAGAGAAGGAGGGATGGAGCGGAAGGGAAAACAGGGGGTCGGACCAGGGGTGGGGATGTTCACAGGTGGTATTGGAGGTGCCCGGATCCGGTATATGACACATGGACAAATATGCTAATCTGTGTATGTTGTAAGTTCAATTAAGTTACAATGCTGACACAACAATTTAGCTAATTTTCTCTACAACAACTATGTTCAAGCGCTTGAGGCTATTGCCTGCCACTTCTACATTCCTTGCCAAATCTCCAATGGGACCCAATGCGCCTTTTGAGACCGATTTGGACAATGAGAAGACATTGTTGGAGAAAATGTTCTGCAAGCAAGATGCCATGTCTGTTCAAGTTGACTACGTGAAGGTGTTAGTTGAGTATGAGGATGCATTGTAGGTTTTTCCCAGCAGTTTTAAAATTGACATTAAATGTCATTATGGCAGGCTTGCTTATGATATGGCTCGTGCAGAATTCTGCATGCTTGATCTTAGGGCAAATTGCTCCTCGAAGGAGATTGGCAATGTTAGGCGCCATCACACTCACACCACTGCTAAGCATGACCAAAAGCAGAAAGTAGTCAAAGACTTCGAATGCCAGATGGAGATTGATGAACATTGGGGTCCTGATTACCCTGAGCACATCCAGGCACAGTTGCATATTACACACCACCTCTTTTTCAAGGCTCTTGATGATGTTGAGAGGCTGGTGGTCATGCGACTATTGGAACTAACAAAGTTGCAGATGAATGGTCTTGGTAAGTTCTAGTCTACATCATGGCATGATACTAACCCAAAGGTTTTGTACTTAGGTTACAAACTTTGCACTCAAATTTCCAAGGCCCTCAAAAGCTGTGCAACTGCTATCCAAAATGCCCTTCAATGTTACAATAAATATGCTGCCACAATGATGCCACCCCACCCTCCGCTTGAATGGAATCAAATTGTCAAGTATTCTTTTTTAGCGGAGTTTGACTTGCTACATGATAGTGATGGGCAGATTCAGACTAAACGGTGGGCAAACCCACTTTATTGGCAAGCATCAACACAATACTTTGATGGTGTGCATGCCAAGGAGGAGGTGCAGAGGCTAAATGTAGAAGTTGGTCATCTGATGATGAAGATTCATGACAATGCTATCTACTATCCCAATGCAATCACTGCCCTTTCCGCTGAAGACTCATCACTTGCCTCCAAGCTGAGTCAGCAATGGGATCAGCTTCAGTCACTGAACTTGTGGAATCAGCAATAGATCCATCAAATTCAATCTCTTTGTGGATATTCTGGCCCACTGTCATATACCTGATCTGACTGCTCCAATACCAATATCCGCTCCACCTCCTGACTAACTCCACCCCATCCATCCTCCACTCCAACCAATCACAGTCCACATCCACTCCTATGCTTCTGCTCGACCGCCCAACCGGTCCCCTTCCATAATGTCTCCACTCAACTGGAACCTCTTTCCCCTTTTAGATATATACTTTCCCCTCTGGTACATAGACCCTTACTTCCAGATCACCAGTAACTCTTCTTACCACTTGATCGCTGATCCAATGCATACAGATTGATATCCGCTCCGACTTATGTCTTTGCCTGTGTAAGTACTTACAAATTATATCCTTGGTACATAGCTTTACAACATAGTTCTCCTAATCACTGCCTCACACTTAGAAGTATATAACATATCCTGTACTTAGATATTCACATATTGCAGTAACATATCTCCATATTATATGAGTGAATGGACATGCATAATATCCCATATGATACCGGCCAGCGGACCATGGGCCGAAGTTAGATATATCCTTGACTATGATGGATGGGCCGGGAGTGTTATTATTCCTGATGGAGATGGGTGGGCCCATGTAGGGAATATGTAGAGTAGATGAGTGGGCCGATGGACATGAATATTCAATAGATGGATGGGCCGAGGTAGTTGGATATTATGTAGATGGGTTTACCAAGGTAGATGTGTATCAAATAGCCGGGTATGTCAAGGGTGCTTGTTATCACATAGATGGGTGGGCCCAGATATATATCATATTAAATGGGTGGGCCGACGAATTAAGATTATTTTGTAGATGGGTGGGCCGACATATTGGTATTATTTTGTAGACGGGTGGGCCAAGGGAATGGTGAAATATTTATTATATATATGGGTGGGCCGAGGGAGCAGTAAAATATTTATTATATATACGGGTGGGCCGAAGGTAGTCGTATATTGCATAGACGGGTAGGCCGATGTGGGGGTATATAATATAGATGGGTGGGCCCAGGAGAATGATAATTGTAGACATGATGGAGCTCAGGTAGTTGTATATCATCCAAATCAAAGGAGGTAATAATTCAAAGTCATCTAATGATGTTGTATGGCACGGAGCTTTGCAAAGGGGTGAAGTGGAAACTCAAGCGAAGTGTACCGAGTTCCGAGACCCAGGTCTCGACAAACGAATATGTGATATCCATCACACTTCCAATCATCTGGTATTTCATTGAGCAATGGATGATAATAGATCTTTGAAAGCCAACATCATCCAAGCCTACCAAATGCCAAGTTCCGACTACTGAAAATCGAGTGGTGTACCCAAGATCTGAGCCCCAACTATTGAATCCTGATTATTGAGTATTGAGTCCCGACTATTGAGTCCCAAACATCGAGACCCGAAACCCAAAGCCTAAGATTCGAGATTCGAGACTTGAAACAAAACAAAATTCAAAACTCAAAACATGGAACACATATATTTTTACAAGTTTCAAGTCCCGAACATCAAGTCCCAACTATGGAGTCCTGACTACGGAGTCCTGAACATCAAGTCCCGACCATCAAGACCCAAAACTCGAAGCCTGAGATTCGAGACTCGAGTTCCGACCATGGACTCCCAGGTATCGAAAATCAAGTGAAGTGTACTGAGATCCAAGGCCCGGGTCTCGACAAACAAATATCAGATATCCAACAGACTTCCAATCATCTGGTATTTCATTGAGCAATTGATAATAGATAATAGAACTTTGAAAGCTAAGATCATCCAAGGCTCCCTCATCTATTCCTCTCTATCTCCACCCCCTTTAACACCAAAGTGCAGACATCCAGGATTCAGCTTCTGATCTCACAAGATCAATTCAATAATGGATGTTTCTTCCACTTCCGATGATGAAATAACCCTCTTGCGACTTGGGCCCTGACTGTCACTCATGTGGCATGTGAATATACCGAACAGAAATTCAATGCAGAGAAGACAGGAGGAGACCCAGTTATACCTTCTCTGAACCTAGGCACTGATCTGGTGATGGCTTGTGATCGATTGGTTGATCAGCTCATAAAGGCATATAAAAATCCCAGTGAGTCTTCCTGCAGATTCGGAAAATTCGTTTGATCAGTCAAATTGCTTCATCACAGTTCAGATGCCAATCGACATTGCAAGATATAGCAAATTGATCTCCCCAAAGGACACAGGGCATAATGAAGAGAGAGAGGTGAGGTTGCTCAAGAGGTGTCCTCCTGTCCATGAGGGCACAAAGTTGATCAACATACCCACAACAATTCTTGATGCATCCAGTGCCATCATCACATGGTACCTCCCGGACGCCCTGACCAATGCCACCCAGGTGTGTTATATATATTGTTACTGGATGGATATTGAACATCAAATGGTACCTACAGAAGGAAATTTGGGCGGCCTCGGATTTGCTCACTCCGATGCTCAAAAAAAGCGTAAAGCTCAATGGGATTTGGCGTACTAATCAAGAAGTGGTTCACACCAAGGTCGCAAAATGATGTCCTAACTCCCGGATGCATTAATTTATCTCCGGCAGTGGTTTCAGCAGGGGCACGAGGTAGGATCTGATGAGATGGCGATCTAGGTAGTTAAGCTCACGAATCCCCTAGAATCAGGCAGACCTGGCGGTTTCTGCATCATTGAATGGAGCATCCTCGGAGGATATCCTGAAGGCCATTGCGAGGCCAGCAGCCATTGCAACAGTGGCACTCAGGGTTATGCATCCTGAGCAGTACTGGGCAGGGTTGTGAGCCTTTGCAAGCCTCGAAGAAAAAGCACGAAGCAAGGAACTTGCCAAAGATGTCAGAGACTCTCCAGTACTGGGCAACTGTGTTTAACAGCCTCTCCATCATTTGCAATCGGGAAACCCCGAATCATCGAGACCATTCATCGATTCCCGAATGCTTCGATATTCTCACTAGTGTGGGGAATTATTCTAATGCTCGGATGAGTATGCCAAGCCTTCAGCTGGAGTTCAGGTACAATCTGGGGTGTATGATTACTTTTTCGGGAAGGATTGTCAGACATGGGGTTCATGCAGTGGAAGGGGATCGGATTGCCTGGGCATGGTATATGAGGGATGCTGTTCATATTTATGCCGGGATTCCATCATGTGGATGGGCAAGGTTGGATTGAAGAAGTAGAAAAGGTAGTTACCCATGTTAGTACCCACCTTCAAATACATGATATTAGATATCAGGCACTCCATGCTCGAAATTCGGGTTTCGGGTCTCAATAGTCAGGGACTCGATATTCCAGGATACTTGAAAGTGATATTGTACACATTTCACCAACTACCAAGTACCAGGTTTCGGGTTGCGGTACTCGGCACTCGGTACTCGGTGATTCAAGAAGACAACTCCCAAAATTGTATTTCATTAAATGTGTATTTTCTTGACTTAAAAATTGAAACTCGAAACTCGTTAAAATGCATGAGTTTCATGTTTTGAATTTGAAGTATTGAGTTGTTTCGAGTCTCGAATGTTGTGCTTTGGGTTTCAGGTCTCGATGTTCGGGACTTGATGGTCAGGACTCGATAGTCGGGCTTCGGGTTTTGGGACTCGATGGTCGGGACTCGATAGTCGGGCTTTGGGTTTCGGGACTTGATATTTGGGTCTTGATATTTGGGACTCAATTGTTGGGACTCGATATTTGGGACTTGATATTCAATGGTCGGGACTCCATACACGGGCGTCGGGTTTCGGGTTTCAGGACTCGATAGTCAGGTGTCGGGTTTTGGGACTCAATGTTCGGGTTTTGATATTCGGGACTTGGTGGTCGGGACTTGATAGTCGGGCTTCGGGCGTCGGGGCTCGATTATCGGGACTTGATGTTCGGGACTCGATACTCAATGGTCGGGACTCCATACACGGGTGTCGGGTTTCGGGCTTTGGGACTTGATAGTCAGGACTTGGGTTTCAAGACTCAGCAGTCGGCACTCGATACTTGATAGTGGGGACTCGAAACTCGAAACTCGTAAAAATGTTTGCATCAAGTTTTGAGCATTGAGTATTGAGATTTGTGTCGAGTCTCGAATCTTGGCCTTTGGGCTTCAGGTCTTGATATTCCGGTCTTGATATTTGGGACTCGATGTTCGGGACTCGACATTCAGGACTCAAGATATCTGGCTCTCGATACTTGACATTGGGTATGTGGGACTCGGCATATAGCAATAGGTCATATATTTGGAAGTCAGTATTTAATTTTCAGTACTTATTACATCATGTACAGAATTTAGACTTCAACATTCTGAACTGAAGGACTAGAACTACTCCGGTCCCCTTGGCTTCAATTTGGTTAGGACAGCTGTGTACATCTGAATCTTGGCCATCTTTTCACAGATGCCATCTTGTTGATCCTCAATCACTGTCAGGAGGCGTTCTCTCATCCACCTCAGTGCCTTCAGTGATGCAACCAAGCTTTCAGCCACCTGCTCGGGAACAACAAGATGTTCGTCCTCAATGCCAGACTAGAAAGGATTAGTAACCATTCAAGGAAATTCTGTAAAAGTCTTACTAGCCAATGCTGGTAGTGATAGACACAATTAGCGAATACCTGATCCCATGCCCATAATTCCTTCAGGATTGCAGTTGGTCCAGGTCCACCATTGAGTTCCATAGGTTGATACAATCCGGGAGGGATCCCCCAGATCTGCAACATTATGAAACTCGCACAGGTGGGATGAAAAGACGTCGTCCAGAACCATGTCCCAGGTGAGCTCGGGAATCAACCGAAGAATATGAGTGACCGGGCTCGGAACAACCAAAATGATGTTCCTTGCAGCTGAGTACTGCAGGAGGGGAGTCACAAAAGTCTGTTGGAAATGTCGGCATTGACCACCACAGTCATCAGTCTCTTACAGCTATCTCCCATTGCAGCCTGGCTTTAAAGTGCATGATCCGAGCAGCAGAAGGCTCCTCGGTGTGGGTAGCCTCCATCTGATATTGAGAGATGGATGCTTGGATGCGAGATGCAGCCATTGACATTGTAGCTGCAAGATCTGCCGGAGTGAGTGTGAGGGATCGGAACCCATTGCCAGAATTCTGAGAATCAGAAGGGGATGTAGGAGGAGTATGCGATACAGACATGGTTAATGCAGTATTATGAAGCTGGAAATGACAATCACAATGGCAGTTGGTTCGGAGGTGAAGATATGAGCCACAGGTTGATGGATAAAATTTTTCAAACTCCAACATTGTTGATCCAGGCAAACTCCATCATGGGTTGACCCAGCCAATTCCCGGGACTAAAATGTTTGGGTCGAAGTAGCTGTTTCATATCTTCAGCAAAAAAAATTCATTCATCTCGAGCCTCTATAAACCCGCTCTTCTGGTCTTGAAATGCTGCCTGGGCATCCTGTGCCAGCAATGAATACATTTGGGATTGCCTTCCCGAGTAGCATGCATGACCTGGAAGGTTTTTCACCAATGATTCACACATCCTGTCACCCCATTGGGTTGCTTTCCACAAGAAAAAGTTACATGTCCAATCCATCTCAAATTGGACCAACATCATTTCTTCCTTCCATCAATCCCGTAGGGCCTTTGCCCTGAAGCCAATGCACTCGGTAAACTTCGGATAGGTCCGTCAGCTGAGCACAGGATATGTCAAGCATGCCCAAACTCACATTCCTCATTCCACGAGTGATCAGGACCCCCCATGTCGACTTCGACTGACCAGAACCAAGCAAGGGACTCGTTTCGCTGACCTTGGGCATTTGGATCGCCGACGGCAGTGCTGATTTTGAGCTGCTCCCGAAGCAGGGGTTTGTATTTCTGAAGCTGATCTTCCCCCAGCTCAAGTTGCATCATTTGCTTCCTCGTCTTGTATATATACTGGCATGGAGGGACACTGCCTGCTGCACGGACGTCACCTGGGACCAAGCTCAAGTTTTCAGGGCCTGGGATTTGGCTTGCCTAACTGTTGTTTCGTAACAGAATCACCTTGTTGCACAAGTGAATTCGGAGGTTGTGAAGGGAGTCATCCGCCTGCCCTTCATGAAGAGACATCTCCAGTGGAATAAGATCCTCTGCCATGCAGCGTCTGCATCAATCTACTCCGAGGTTTGATGGCAATGGGATGACAGTGAGCTCGGGGGAGTTCGCCCATGTGTCAGATGTCTCGGTGAAGTCTGCCAAGTCATCATTGAGATCATCGAGAATGTCTACGTTCAAGTCATCAGGATCGTCATCTGTAAAGCTATGTACCAAGGATATAATTTGTAAGTACTTTACACAGGCGAAGACATAAGTTGGAGTGGATATCAATATGTACGCATCAGATCAGTGATAGGGTGGTAAGAGGATTTACCGGTGATGTTAAGGTTGTGCTCAAGGGAGAGGTTACTCAAAGGGCTTCGGCTTCAGCTCGTGCGCTGCGCCCCTTACCCGAGTATGTGCCCTTTAATTTCCGGGGGACAGAGGGGAAGTCCGACGGAAGTCCAGGGAGTTCCAGAGGACTTAGTGTCGGTGGAGTTCGGCAGAACTCTGGAAGGTTTTATGTGGGGACGGAGTAAAGGTACTACGGAAGTCCAGAGTAGAAACTGAACAGAGGTTAGACTACCCTAAGGTAGAGCCTGGAGAAGTAGTCCTAAGGTTTAACGCCTGAGACTTGGAGGTGGACAAGAGGTGAGACTCAAGTCCGGAGATTGCAGGAATGAGCAGAACTAAGATGATATTCAAACTGAGGAGTTCCGGAGTATTACAGGGGTTTATATACTGTAGTTATCATGTAAGTAAATCAGTCAGCAAAGGTAAGGGCTATGTACAAAGCATGTGGAAAGTCTATTAGTAAGTGTAACAGATCAAAGCAGTAAAGTCGGAAATGAAGTAGGAATGGACAGATCAATAAGCATAGCAGGAAAGGACATAACTGGTGACCAGGAGCAATAGCTAATCTAAAAGGAGTTAGGGGTGAGTGCAGGAGATGAAGGCGGAGCGCTGGGCGGAATAGCAGGACAGAGAACCTGGACTTTAATGGAGTAGATCCTGGAATTCCAGATCCAGAGGTATGGGATATGACAGTATCCCCCCCTTAGGGCCGAGCCCACAAGGCTGGGGGTCTGGATCATCGGTTAGGAGCATGAGGCATTGGAGTTTCTGCAGTGATGGTAGAAATGTGCCAGAGGTCTTTGGAGACAGAAAAAAACTGTTTTTCCCTCCTTCTACTCTCTTATACAGTTTATCATGCCCAACAAACCTGAAGGCAGTCAAGAAGTCCGCCAAACAGGCCATGGAAGAAAGGCAGGTGGAAATGGCGGCGGAGTTCGCTCGCCTACAGGAGGCCGTTCATCTGGAGGAAGAGGAGGAGCGCAGACAGAGGGAGGAGAAGAAGATCAAGGTGGAGGAAAAATGGAGAGCAGCTGGCAGGAACGGAAACGCGAGGAGGAGCAGAAACAGAGGGACATTGAGGAGACGCGGAGAAGGGTACTGGAGTCGGCGTCATTGGGGCGCATGGGGGTGTCGATGGTAAGTTAGATAGCTTGTTGAATGTTTGTTGGTACTTATCCAGATATCAGGTTACTAGTCAGTCCAGCAACTCCTGAAGGTCCGGAGAAATCTTGCAGCTCCTGTGTGGAGCATAAGAGGGACTGTACCTGGACTCAGGCGTCTAGGTCCAACAGGGTAAGCATGCTTTGGTTCTTTCTCCAGAGTACTCTAATAGGTGGTCTGGTAGATCCAGAATTGCGACTGTGTGCCGTCAGCTGAAGGCGCAGTGCTCCAGCGGCGTTCCGCCAGTTAGTATCGACAAGGCGAAGAAGCGGGAGCGAGCGGAGGGGACCCCATCTCCCCAGGGCAAAGGGGAAGAAGTGTCAGCAGAGCCTGGCAGAGATGGACGACGACGTGGAGGTGATTTCCAATCCCCAGACCGTGATCGCGGAGGAGGGCAGATGGACGGAGTACAACGACCAGGCCTGGGTGGCCACTGCCAACAACATAGTGGTGGCATTGGCACGGACCAATGGACTTCTGGAGCAGAGTATCGCTGTGGTGGAGGGGAGCAGAGTGGCCATGGATAGGTTCAGTGGAGGAGCAGAGGGCTTTCCAAGCCTTATTCCTGGAGGCGGCGAGGAACGGCTTTCACGTGGAGGCTGGCGGAAGAACCAGAGGAAACGGAGGTGGAGGTGGAGGGTGGGAGCGGTGCTGGGGTCTCTGGCAGGAGATATGGAGACTGATGACCTCTAGATAGTCCTGTACTCCTTCGTATCCGGTTGTACATATGTGCTCATTTTTTTGTAAAATGTAACTTGTTGCTGATTTTGTTCGGTAGTCGGAGGTGTTCGGAGATACGGAAGTCTGGAGGTCAGGGTATGAGGTTGATTGGTTGAGCACGGTGTGACAATATCCCCCCATTAGGACCGAACCCCTGAGGTCCTAGACAAATTCCCAGGATGTCGGGGAAATGGTAGACAGATGTTGCCAGGTGGAACCAAGGCATGTGGAACAAAGTCCACAGCACGAGGTGGGGAAATCGTGCTGCGAGGCAGATGGAGACAATGAAGTTCGGACTGGAGTGGATTGCAGGGGTACAGAGTGGAGTTTCCATGGTGACGGATTACTACTATAAGAGTGTAGGAAGGGCGGGGTTTTTTCTAACTTTTTTCTTCACTGAATATGTCTGCTCCCCGCGAATTTGACTTTGCTGGTATGACCACGGCAGAATTGAAGGAGTTGATGGCCGCGGTGAGGATAGTGGAGGAGAGAAAGGCCGCAGAGGCAGCAGAGCAGGCCAAGAGGGCGGAGGAGGCAAGAATTGCCGCGGCGGTGGAGAGGGCAAGGTTAGCAGAGGAAGCACGCAAGGTGGCGGAGGTGAGTTTCCTTTCTATCTGGTACTTGTGTGATACTGATGTCTATGGTAGGTGCGGAGATCGGGGGTCTCGGAGGCTGCTCCTCCGGTGGTCATGTGCCAGCAGTGTGAGGCCACCGGCCAGGCATGTACATGGGCGCTGGTGCAGGAGGACCAGGCGAAATCCAAAGTAAGTACTTTTGTCATTTCCATTGCGCCAGTGATTGACCAGAACAGAGCAGAGGCAGGGCCAAGGCAAAAGCCTGTGACCAGTGCGCAGGCCTAAAGGCCTCTTGTAAAGTCGACGGGGATGATTCGCAACTGGCTGTACCGGCGAAGAGTTGGAAAAGGACATGGGAATGGGCAGCGGAGTCCGGTGAAAGGATGGAGGAAGATGTGGGTAGGCCTTCCCAGAGGAGGAGGGTGTATGGGGAGGAGGAGTCCATTACGGAGGTCGATGACCAGGAGTGGGTCAAGGCCGCTAACGACATGGTCCTGGTGCAGGCGGAGATGAACACGAAGCTGGGGGCCCTTGCGACAGCCATCACCCATCTCACCAAACAGCTGGAACTACAACAGGTGGAGCAGAAGGAGGAGAGGAACAAGGTCCGAGCGGAAATCCGGGAGATCCTCCACGTGACCGGAATCGCACTGGAGAGGGGCTTTTTGGGTCGGGGAAAGAAACAGGAGGTTCTTGGGAAAAGGGGAGAGATTGGGATGGGAGTGGCGGAGGTGACCGAGCTTACTACCAGCTCTTCTGGCAGTGACACAGAGAAGCCGGATGAAGAATCGGAGAGTGAAGCAGAGAAGGGGCTGGATGGAGAAGAGACAGGGGCTCAGCCAGAGCTGGAACAGAGCCGGAGGAAGAGGTGGAGATGGAGGCCTAAGTGTAGCTAATTCCCGTTCTCCTATCAGACCTTATGTACATAGTTGTATCACGTTGAAATAGGGCTGTTTCACTTGCTTTGAAAATCGAGTTTTTCAGAGGTACCGGTGAGAAACAAATGGAAGTCTGGTTCTGCTGGTGAACGCAAGGTTCGGAACTCCGTTCCAGGTCCTGGTAGGACGGAGTAAACTGGTATCGGAGGGCAGAGTTTCAGTACGACAGACAGCAGGCGGGAGGAGGAGGATAGTGGTCGATTAAGTGGGCGATAAGGGAATTGGGCAGATGTAGCGGATAATCAGTGAGTGTCGGATATTGTATGGAGAAGCAAGGACACGATGGGGAAAAGAGGAGAGGTCATGATGATCCTACCAGTGGCTTGATGAAACCACCGAATGAACTTTTTTCGGCAACATTGCGACTTCACATCTTCTTTAATGACACTCTCAGAAGATATAGTTGACAGCTGGACTTGGCATGGTCCTTGGTGTTGCTGCCTTTGTATTTCTTCAAGCACCATTAGAATACCTCCTACTGGTTTTCTGGAGTGGGTACTCTGGAAGCGGTGAAGGTGACATTGAGATGTTGAACATGGGAGGGAAGGGTCCCGGATGAGTCTGGTACGTTCTTTTCACTCAGTCCATGGTCCACTTTTTTGATGTTCTGTTCAAGGAGTGTAGACGATTACAGACATCCCATGAAGTCGTGTGTCCATACAGGGGACGTTCAATGTCCAATAATACAGCTGTTCCTAGGAGGTGTTCCAACCCTGTCCATAGTAACAGAGGACGATCCAGAGTAGATGGAGAAGCAAGATGGAGTTCCCTCCTGATGGAAGACTTTCCAGGAGGCGGCGGAGCAGAGGAGGAATAGGAGCGGAGGAGGCAAAGCGGGGCGGAAATCAGAGGAGGAGTAATCGGAGTGGAGGAGTATAGGTATATAGATGAAGTGGGGTAACTTGACTTGGGAGTTGGAAGAGGATGGGTGATAAACCTGCGCATATATGAGAGGCTTGCTCATGTAATGGACTAGTTTATCTAGTGTGATCCGAACATAAACCGGGGAGGAGGACATGGCTAGTCCAGAGACAGGGGTTCCGCAGTGAAGCGACTTTCGGACATCGGAGGTCATGGCATTTCCAGTGGTAAAACCCGGAAAAAGGTGTCCTGCCTATACCTATCAACAGATCGTGGCAGGAGAGCAGGTGGTATTCCTGAGTGGTACTAGGAGAACCAAAGGGATTGAATGTCAGACATTCCGGAGGTGACTTGCCAGTATGAAGCAGTGGAGAAATCAGATATAATAGGAACCCAGAGATAATTATGTAGTGTTCTGGAGTAGGATAGTTATGATCAGGAAATCAGGCTGAAGGATTGGACATAGGAATATGGAGTTTTTATTGGAATGGAAATTTTAAGGATGAAGGATCCTAAACAATAATGGAAGGGTCGGAGAAAAATCGTAGTTTATGAGGGACAGGACTTTAAACCTGATGGAGAAGTAATTCTCAGACATTAGTATACTTGGTAAGGTGTGAGTTCGAATATACTGTTAAGGTCGTGCTCAAAGGAGAGGTTACTCAAGAGCTTCAGCTTCAGCTCATGCGCTGCACCCCTTACCTGAGTACGTGCCCTTTAATTTCCGGGGACAGAGGGGAAGTCCGACGGAAGTCCGGGAGTTCCGGAGGACTTAGTGTCGGTGGAGTTCGGCAGAACTCTGGAAGGTTTTATGCAGGGACGAGTAAGGCTACTATGGAAGTCCAGAGTAGAAACAGAACAGAGGTTAGACTACCCTAAGGTAGAGCCGGAGAATTAGTCCTAAGGTTTAACGCCTAAGACTTGGAGGTGGACAAGAGGTGAGACTCAAGTCCTGGAGATTGCAGGAATGAGCATAACTAAGATGATATTTGAACTG